GCAAGAAAAGTTATGCTGTGTCCAGTGATACCTGAGGTCATTTTTCCCGTGCATTTTTCTGGTTATCTTTTGAATCACTTTAACATCTGCACCATAGCATCTCCTGGCAAAGAATCTCAGAGCTGAACATTCTGCTGAGTGGAAATAAATAATTTAATGTGTTTTTCACTGAATGGCTTAAATGGAAGTGGCTACATTCTTACACAAAGAATCATTGAGTAACTGAACCCCATTCATTTTTCCACATTTACTGTTCTGCCCACACACCCTTTCATACCCTTCATACCCTTTCAGGAATTACTGGAAGCTGACAGAAATTAATGATCACTTAAAGTTATATTCTCTGCACTACAAGTAAGGTTTCTGAAGGCTTTTTAACCTTACTTTCCTATTTTCAAGATTTCTTTCTGTCTGAGATCAGCCAAGAAAACACGTCACGTATAGGTTCTGAAGCATCTAGATTTAATTGTTAAAACTGTGGACATTCAGTCCTCAGAACTGGGTCTAACAATTGAACCCAATCAGCCTGTGCCTGTACACCACAAAGAAAGTGCTCTTCTTCTTTTTTGCAAATACTGAGGAACAAACACAGTTCTCTGGAGTTCTCTGCTAAGAGCCATGAACAATGTACAAGACATGCCCAATCCTTTACTGCAGCGTGCTGAGAAGACAGCTCTACCCATCTACCTCATACACACTCTTGGCTAAGGTTGACACTGGCAGTGTGTGCTGAGCCCATTTATCTCCTCTGGATTTGAACTCTGTCCTTGAGCGTGAGCTTCACATTCTATTATCACAGCTGGTGAACGAGAGGCATGGATACTCTTCAGCCAGCTCCAGCCCGCCCTGGGTTTGAACGCCTGACCCCTGTGCTCCTTGCTGCAGCCAGTCGGCAGCTGGAAACATGTTACTGTACAGAGAAATAGATATATTAATGTCCTCCTTCAATAAAGGATATGTTCCTCAAAGGAGCCTCAAAGGCTGCTTCACGGAAGGAGGCATAACTCAAAGAATGCTTGCTGCTTTGCCTTATAACGAGCTAGTCACCTTTGGCAGCAATTTAAATACCTAACAGGCCAAAGATACTCATTATGCCTGAGCACATCTGACAAGTTACAGCTCCTGAAAGGTCCCATTCCTCTTTCCCTCTCTTCTGCCCGTCCCTGATCCAATCTCATGGTTCCTTCTCTTTCTATCCCCCCTCCTTGTTTCTCATTTAATTTTTTACTGAGGTGAATCAGCCGCTGTTCCCTAATTGTTGCTTTTGTTAGGTTAGTTTAGAGGGAATTTTATGACTTTTCTCAGACCAGCAAAGGATCCAAAGGCTACCAAAATCAGTGCAAGGCATACATGTGGCAGTGTCGTGGTTTAGGCCTGATTGACAGCCAACCACAATGCAGCACCTCTCTCTCCCTTCCCCTCCGGCAATGAGAAGGGACAGAGAGCCAGGCTTGGGGTTCAAGATAGGACTGGGATGGGGGAAAATCCCCCTTTTATGATCATGAGCAAAAGGCAGACTCGTTAGGGGAAGAAAAAAAGAACATACATTTATTACAGACACTAACAACACATAACAGAGTAGGACAGTGAGAAGCACTGCCACATTTTGAGAACACCTTCCCCCCACCCCTCCCTTCTTCCCGGGCTCAGCTCTGCTCCCGATATCTCTACCTCCTCCCCCAGTGGCGCAGGGGCAGGGAATGGGGGGTGCAGGCAGTGCTGCCACTTCCTTCATCTTCGGTGAGGGGAGTGTCCAAAACTTGTTACCCCCTGCTCCATCGTGGTCCCCCTCTCACAGCAGACAGTCCTCCACAAACTTTCTCTGACTTGAATTCCTCCCATGGGCCGCAGCGTTCCCCACACTGCTCCGTCATGGGTCACTAACTTCCTCCGACTGGATTCTCTCCCACGGCTGCAGCCCTTCCCGAGCTGCTCCGGCGTGGGACTCCCCCGCATGCTGCAATCCTCCCAGCACTGAATTACAGCAGCGGGGCTACCTTTTTCCATGAGACCCCGGCCTTCTTCGGGCACAGAACCTTGATCAGCCAAGCAGGAACAACAGGCTGTAAATCAATGTCTGCTCCACCGTAGATCTTCATGGGTGGCGGGGGGGGGGGGGCCGCCCTGCCGTCTCACCACAGGATACAGGGGGGTCTCTGCTCCGGCACTCCTCCCCCCTCCTTTCTTCCTCCGTTCCTCCACTGACCTTGGTGTTCATGCAGCTGCAGCAACTCCTCCTCACAAGTCCCCCTGCCCGTCACCACGTCCCTTCTTAAATACGTTGTCGCAGAGGCGCAGCCAATGGGCTCAGTTTCCCAAACAGAAGTGGAGCTGACGTGGAGCTGGGGGAGCTTCGAGAAGCTTCTCACAGGGGGCCGCCCCGATAGCCCCCTCCCCTGCCACCAAAAAACTCCACCACTCACTCAACCCAGGACAGGCAGAAGGAGGGGGAAAGAGAGAGAAGAGCCTCTTGCTTTTCAGCTGGTAGATTGTCTTCAGAATTACTAGTTACCCTCTCCATAAATGTCGTATCTAACATGTCAAATGCTAGATGTGGTTGTAACTGCAGCACCTACAAGTGTTGTGGCTGCTTAGAAGCAGCAAGGCTGCAATATCTGTTGTGAAGACTGAATTACCAGCTGTGGTGTGATACAACACACATTTTGTTGTACCACCACTTAACAACAAATGGGGTTTTCACAGTCTTCCTCTGTGCAATTTCCTGCCTGTGTTCCTTTGAGTATTCATCCTATTCTTGTTATTTTAAAATAGAACAAAAAGCGTGTATTTCTACAGACAGAACCTCCCCAGTTTATCATCCTGCATCTATAAGTAAAGCTCACGGCAAACCTCAAGCAATAATTTTAATCGTGTTACAGTACAATTATTTCTCTGAATATATGGTTAATTAAAAGAAAATTAAAAGAGGGTAACTCTTCATTAAACTACTTGCAGATGTTTTCTGGGATGGACAATTATTCACTGACTTTGTGTCTGCCTGCAACTCTGAGTTGCACTGTTGCTACCAAATTTGTGTGCAAGGATTTGAAGTATGCTGGAAGGAAAGAGTAAAGTTAGACAGCATGTTTTTTTTTTCTGTACCGTTCACACATTTTGCACGCCACTGCAATTTAGAGGCAATAGCATAGACATTCAAGCAGAAGAGATTACTAAGGAGAATAATGTTGGGAGGTTTTTTGTGATGTTTTCATGTAAAAGAGGTTTTGCACAGATTATTATGAACACTGTAATTGATAGTGAAAGGTGTCTACTATTACAAGTTATAATTAGCCAGGTGAGTATTGAATACTGCCCTAGTAAGGGCAAGGCCAACAGTAATGCAAAGTAGTTGATGTGAAAGGTACACTGTTATTGCTATTAAGGAAAGCTGCAAAGATATAAAGTAGCAGCTTGGAGTTCTGCTTGCAAAGTAAAAATCAGTATTTCCTGCCTTATTGTCATTTGCAGTAGAGGCTCCCACAGGAGCACAGGAGAGGTCAGGCGGTGTTTCAGTGACACGCAACTGCAGGAGGCCCAAGAGAAGTGAGCTACCACTTAAATCGAGCAAGGCTCACCACATCCAAAGCACCCTAGAGGAGAAAGGTGTTAAGGGGCACCAATGGCCAAAAACATTTAGACTTTGCTCTAGTGAGTATAGTTGTAACAGAATTTGAGAATTAAGGGAGACATTTTCCCCTTCAAAATTAAGCAATAGCTATAGATGGACAGACTACACATGTCCCTTGAGAGAGGACAAATTTGAATTTTTTAACAGTGGCATTAATTGCAAGGTTATGGTGGATGAACATGTATTTTCTTCTACTTAAACTCTGGATGTCAGCAATACAGAAATGCGGACATACATTACACCTTCAAAATTATTTGGTTTGATTTTTTTTCTTATACCTATTGGTGGTATCACTAACCACAATAACACATTAGATTTATTTTAATGGACCAATCCCAGCTGCAGAAAAGTACTGAAATCTTAAAACAGTCTATTCAGACAACCACAACACACTTCTTATTTGTCAGTTACCAACCACAGGATTGTTCTTGCCCTCGGCACAACTGTAATTTAGGGACAAGAGCTGCACACTGCACCATTAACTTCCTACAGAATATAAAGGACAAGAATCTTAGAATGGTTTGGGTTGGAAGGGACCTTAAAGCTCATCCAGTCCCCACCCCCCTGCCCCGGGCAGGGCCCCCTTCCCCCAGCCCAGGGGGCTCCCAGCCCCGTCCAACCTGGCCTTGAACCCTTCCAGGGAGGGGGCAGCCACAGCTGCTCTGGGCACCCTGGGCCAGCGCCTCACCCCCCACACAGGGAACAATTTCTGCCTTACATCTCATCTACATCTGCCCTCTTGCGGTTTAAAACCATTACCCCTCGTTCTATCCCCACACCCCCTGACCCAGAGTCCCCCCCCCACCTCTCCTGCCCCCCCTTTAAGCCCTGGGAGGCCACTCTCAGGGTCCCCCCGGAGCCTTCTCTTCTCCAGGCTGAACCCCCCCAACTCTCTCAGCCCGGCCCCCCAGGGGAGCTGCTCCAGCCCCCCCAGCATCTCCGTGGCCTCCTCTGGCCCCGCTCGAGCAGCTCCGTGTCCTTCTGCTGTTGGGGGCCCCCGAGCTGGCCCCAGCACTGCAGGGGGGTCTCCCCAGAGCGGAGCAGAGGGGGAGAATCCCCTCCCTGGCCCTGCTGCCCCCCCTGCTCTGGCTGCAGCCCAGGGCACGGGGGGGTTCTGGGCTGCCAGCGCACGGGGCTGCCTCACGGGCAGTTTTCCCCCCCCCAGCCCCCCCAGCCCCTCTCCTTGGGGCTGCTCTCCAGCCGCTCCTCGAGGGCCCAGCCTGGATGTGGCTAAGAAGCAAAAGGACATATGCCTGATTGTTATATTTTCCCCTCCATAAGTTATGAAAACATCTTTCAAAAAGGACTCTGGTGTTCAACACACGTTCAACTTGCAAACACACCAAAATCTGTGGCAGTGTACAAAACAGTATTAATAGAGTAGGAGTTTTATTTATATCATCAGTATGGGATATCAAACTTTTTACATATACACTTCAATTTCTTCTTTGAGAAGGGCCAACGTTCCAAACAGTAACTTTTTTTGAAGGTATGAATTTTAATAGAACCTTCAACTTATCAAATGTGTACTCAGGAAACACTGCAAAACTTCGAAGCAAATTAAAATGTGTAACAAAAAAAAAATAACTTAACAGTGGCACTACTTATCTACAGTCTCTTTTAAACTAATTTCAGTCATCATTTATTATTCTCTTTTTATCAATAAAGATTATTTCATGGCTCAGGAAAGGCAGGGAATAGCTTGTAGTTTAGTATTCAGTTCAGGTCTGATCCTGCAAAGTTAGGAGGAAGCTGAGGAAAGGTATCTCAATGCTGACACAGCATGTTTAGACTTGGTCTCCTAGCTCACCCACACAGCTGAAGCAGTACTTTTGTGCAGACCATACTCTCTTTAGCAAAGGCCTTTGTAGAGTATTAATCTATTCAGGCAAGTCAATTTTGTTCTACTCAGTCGCTATCATATTCCTCTATTTTTACTTCATCTTCCTCCATGATTGCTTGAGCTGCAACAGGCTGAGGCTGGCTGCAAGGTAGTTCACTTCCACTGCACTGGCTAGAAGACAGAGGGAATCCATCCAATTCATTTTCATTCGTTCCATTTTTCTCCGTTTGTGCATCTGTCTCCATAGCATGCACATTGGCACAGTCCCTCTCTGAGCTACCAAATAAGTCTGGTATCCCTGGATCTTCATCAGTAAGTGTTTCAAGCTTTAATCTGTAAAATTATCATTACAACAGTAAATTACCACAAAAAAAACCCATATGCTCACACAGAAGCTGCAATGGAAAAGACTGCTCATGTACCACGCAGGTCACCCTTCTCCACTGGTGCTTAACAGCTCTCACATTTTCTGACAGTAATGCCTTCCATCAATCACAGTTAATTCACACTATACACATTCTGTGCTTACATCACCTTCGGTATTATGTTTTTACAGCTCTGCACGTGTCTTCCAGGTATAGATACTTGTGTCCAGAACTCAACACCACACAGCTGACATGACGGCCTACAGAAGGCACAGGAGCTTCTCTCGGGGAAAGGACTGCCCTGCACAGCCTCAAACCACAGCAACTGCAGGATACCAGATTATGTCACTTTCCCAGTACCCACTGTTGCTTCAGCTTTCCTCCTTATGGTGACAGTGGTTTTGCTGAGCTTTCCTCACACGCATGAACTGCCAACAAGTTATTGACAACAGCCCATGGTACCTTAGACTCTCTCCAAGCAAAACCAAAATCCTTTACGACAGGAAGTAATTTAACTTGAAACAGGCAAATTAAAAAAGAGTGGAAAGGTAACATTTTATATTTTATAATTTATTATTTGGACTTCTCAATCTTTCTAGCATCCACGTATCAGTATGTTACCAATGTTCCTTTATTATTTTCCCACTCTACATGGGAATCATAAAAACTTAGTTACTGACAAAAAACTCATTCTGACACCAATTCCAGATGATCAAATACCATGCGCTCTCCGCGACGCCAGTTTTCTTACTACAATACCATTTCCACTCCATTAATACGTAATAGAAAATAAATAAAACGTTCTTATTTTCATTGAAACATCTGCACATAAGTTATTTTAAGGATAATAACTTAATAACTTAATTTTGTGCTTAATAACACAAAATAAAATATTTTCAATTAGGATTCCTGAAGGAAGCAAATGCTTGCTAAGATACCTACACTTCTCTATACTTCCTTCCCAAAATAGTAAAAAGATGAAAAAGGATTACCATGTTTTCAGCAGAAAGTTACTTCTGAGATAAAACTTTAAGTGACACACAGACAACTTATTAATGCAGATCCAAAACATTTATCAATATTTAAAAGTACACTGCATACAAAATTAATGGAATAAGTAAGTCTACAATTAAGTTGTAAAGTTATGAACATCTAGATGAGGGAGACTGCAAAGAAATACACCCACTAAGGACACTTCCCTTTCTTCCCAACTAGCAACTGAAGTGGCTTTTAATACAACCGTTGCAGAACAGGGTGGTTCTTGGGTAATACAGTCTTTACCTCAATGGCCAGTATTCCATAAAGTCAGACAGCAATACCACAGGGATAAACAAGATGCTTTGTCAGATGCCCTAACAAACTCTCAGGAGGAAAGAGTTAGTCTCATTCCAGCTGTGATGTTGATCCTTTATTAGATAGAGACCATCACAATTAAAACTCTTTTTAAATTTTGGAGCTATGAAAGTTATAGAAATGTAACTGAGTCTCTACTAGTATAAATGATGTCTATGATTCAGAAGGCTCACTAGAGTCACAATATAACATGTCATGCCATGTCACCCTGTAAGTACTACATGATCTGTAAGTAGAGCACTACAGTCTCTCTGTTGAAAAAAAAAAGTATTTTTTCAGTATTTAACATTTAAGACAGAGGAACTTCAGTAGCTATAGCTTTATTAAAAAAAAAAAAATATGCATTCTAAACAAAGGTTTACTCTAAGTAGTCCAGTAGGCAAATTTCCATAAAATAAAAACCAGTGCCAATAAATAATTTCAGAGGAAGCACTCATTAAAATATTTTATAATTCCACACATATACAACTGCTTCAAAGGAAATAAGAATGATTCCCCATTACACTTCCTTACACCTCCAACATGCATGTAACACAGAATGTCTTATCGAGCTTCCTGATTAATGTTTTATGTCATGACAAACAATAAGCAAAGAGCACTATACCCTTTGCATCAATTCAGTTTTATTCTCACATAAATGTTTTTGGTTGTAAAAAAATCATTTTGTTCAGATCATGTACTAGAGAAATACAGATGTGTCTAGGACAGAGATAATGTTTGATACAATGGAAAAGAAAGCTAAAAAAGGATCAAAAGCAGAACTATAGTAAAAATGTTGCTACTAACATTGTAGTGATAAATAGATTTGAACTAGAAAAAGTTTCAACAGGCAAAATACAAAATTATCATGCTGCAAGTGAGGGAAAATGTGACATCACAGATGTACAGTGAAGATGTTTGTCTATGAAAGGGTTCTTTTCCTCAATATATTAAGAAAGACAGAAAGTCTTACTTTAAGATAAGACAGAAGTCAAGTTTACCTTCCAAAATGTCTTTTCAGTGGTAGTCTCCCAATGTCTTGGATAAAAGCAATCTGAGCTAAGAACAAAGAATCACCCATATCATATTAGGGAGATCACAATGCACATACAGTTAAACATACTGGAAAATAAGTAATCCATAACTTTAGTCTAGTATTCCTTTTGCAGTATTTTTGATACCAAACCACTGCGCACACATGTATGTTTTGTTTGGTTTGTTGTTTTTTTTTTTTTTTTTTCAAACTGTTTACCATGTTACCATAATATATTTACAATTGTCTACACATTAAAAAAAATTCCCTGACATTCATCAACTGTGTATTTATCACATATGAGTTATTATTCCATAGCCTACAAAATTAATTCATCCTGATGTGAAGGCTGTGTGCAAGGACCTTAAGAGACTGAGTGAGAGGGCATCATGATGAAATACCAGAAATCCATGCAGTGAAAAAGGAAAAAATTATTTCACATACTCTAACATGAGGACCCCATCTTACACACTTATAAAGTATCATATATACCTCACTTCTGCCAAGAGAATCACAGAATGGTTTGGGTTAGAAGGGACCTTAAAGATCACCTAGTTCCAATCTTATTGGAAATATTTTTATATTCAACTTATTCTAATTCTTTCAGCTATGTAAGTTTTAAAAATGTTCTTGATGCTGTCTCAAACCCACCAGGACAACTTTAATTTTGGCTAAGTTACTAGAAATATTTTTGGTTATCAGCTATATGCATTTACCGTAAGCTTTTTTTTTTTCTACTGAGAAAGCACATAGTATTGACATTTTGGGTGACAAAATTTTTCAGTATGCTTTAATTAAAAAAAGAGTCCAAGATCAAGAGTTACACCCATCTTACCTTGGTTTCTCATTGGATTTGCTAACATAGCAAGATAAGGCAACAGCTCTGTCTGAAGACACTTGGGTGGTAAACAGAAGCTTGAAAAGAGAGATTTGGCAGCAAGGCAATTTTCTTGATACTGTAAGAGTTAGAGTAAAAAAAACAAACAGAAGTTAAAAACCTGGTAAATCATTATTAATGTACATATTCCATAATATGTACATATACATACATATATACAATATGTATGTAACTATATATATACACATATATATACTTTATATAGATACCATAAAAAACAGACTCTTTGCTTGCCTGCTGGATGACTACATGCAAGCTACTGAAGAATAAGACCAGAAAAAAAGATAAGATACTAGAGTTAACATATACAGATCATAAAATTCCTTCATTTTTGCCTTTTGCTGGGCATTAAAATTTCTAGAAAATATTTATCCCTTGATTATAGAATTCCCCACCTATCCAGGCCAATATTTTTTGCCAGATACAGCAAGAGAAGTATAAGTACAAATGTAAAAATTGCCAAGAGCTTTGGTATCTCATGAACAAGCTATTTCTGATAAACACATAAAACATAATTACAGCAATTTGTTTAACTTCCACAACAGTTTAACGTGACATAAATTGCACAAAAACTTAGTTCTACTTTTAGGAATACTTTACAGTATTTCAACACTAATTGTGTCTCCATTAATTTAGGATTAAGACTCCCCTAGCAGTATGCCAAATTGGACACAAGAATCAGACTCTGTCAGAGGCCTCCAATTTATTCTTCCATTAAAGGAATAATACAAATGTAACTATTAAAGCAAGTGCTTTTTAGAAGTAGTTTATATCAAAATAGGATATTTGACAAGTTTAGCACTGTGAGTAAATCACAGAATCACAGACTGGTTTGGGTTGGAAGGGACCTTAAAGCCCCCCCAGTCCCACCCCCCTGCCCCGGTCAGGGCCCCCTTCCCCCAGCCCAGGGGGCTCCCAGCCCCGTCCAACCTGGCCTTGAACCCTTCCAGGGAGGGGGCACCCACAGCTGCTCTGGGCACCCTGGGCCAGCGCCTCACCCCCCGCACAGGGGAGAATTTCTGCCTTATATATAACCTAAACCTACTCTCTTTCAGGTTAAACCCATCCCTCCCTCGTCCCATCCCCACACCCCCTGACGCAGAGTCCCCCCCCCCTCTCCTGTCCCCCCTTTAAGCCCTGGGAGGCCACTCTCAGGGTCTCCCCGGAGCCTTCTCTTCTCCAGGCTGAACCCCCCCAACTCTCTCAGCCCGGCCCCCCAGGGGAGCTGCTCCAGCCCCCCCAGCATCTCCGTGGCCTCCTCTGGCCCCGCTCGAGCAGCTCCGGGTCCTTCTGCTGTTGGGGGCCCCCGAGCTGGCCCCAGCACTGCAGGGGGGTCTCCCCAGAGCGGAGCAGAGGGGGAGAATCCCCTCCCTGGCCCTGCTGCCCCCCCTGCTCTGGCTGCAGCCCCGGGCACGGGTGGGTTCTGGGCTGCCAGCGCACGGGGCTGCCTCACGGGCAGTTTCCCCCCCCCAGCCCCCCCAGCCCCTCTCCTCGGGGCTGCTCTCCAGCCGCTCCTCGAGGGCCCAGCCTGGGTCTGTGCTGGGGATTGCCCCGACCCACGGGCAGGACCTTGCCCTTGGCCTTGTTGAACCCCATGAGGTTTCCACGGTCCCCCCGCTCCAGCCTGCCCAGGTCCCTCTGGATGCCATCCCTGCCCTCCAGCGTGTCACTGCACCACACAGCTTGTTGGTATCTCTACTACTCAACTGCCATTCCTTACAACAACAAAACTGAATAAATAAATAATCAAGCATTTACCTTTTTATTGATAAATAACCATTGGGGTTTATGTAAAGGCCGGAATCCCATCCCTCCTTGGTGGTGGGCAAAGGCTCTGGATGTATTTGAATGTATTACCCCTCGGGTTGCCACAGATGCACTGTATTTTTCCATCACAAGACGTATCTAAGAATGAAATTGGGCATTATGTGCCCTCAAGGACACATAACTCAAGGTCTCTGTACATTGTATATCATTTGAACTAAAGCACACTCTGTAATTGCAGTGACACAACAAGCCCAGACATGTTTAGATTTCTGTGAAACTTATAGCAGCTGAATAAAAAAGCTAGCTCAATTACTTCAGGAAAATGGCATACAGACTCCAATACATTTTAAGCATAAATATGTTTTACTTAAAAATATGGAATATTTTACAAACATTATAACCCACTATAATAAAATACTGACAGAATTTAGACAAAAAGTTGGGCCTCCATCTTTTCTGCAGTTGATGTACTTTAGCAATCATTAACAATTCACTGTCACCTACACTGTAGGTTTGAAGTAAACATTCATAAATACTTAAGAGAATAGTCTGGAAGCTCAGAGAATTTTTAAAAAAAAAGTATGTGTGTGTAAAAACACGACACTTACATTCCAATTACTACAGAGGACATCAGCTGTGCTCAGATATTCACTGGCTCTCACTACATCATCTATATCAGAAAAAAAGTCTACATAGTTCTGGTGAAGGTATAGATTAAACATGCTTCCAGACATATGCGACTTTTCCACAATAACCTATTAGGAAAAAAAAAAGAAAAAGTTTGTTTTACACAGTGTATAAGGAAAAGCATCCTATAAAAGTTATGATACATTTGGATGGTTATGGAACTGGCACACATGATCAACAGAGTGACACCTGTATACAAAAGGGAGCTCCGCTCCCAGAGAAGGCTAATGGTGGGGATGGAGCAGGTAGACGCTACTGCTGTTTTCAACTCTCTTAACGAGCGGTAACGGGAAGGTGAACTCAGACTCCTCGTGGCAATGCACAGCAAAAGGATCAGAGGTAACAATCACAGGCTGGAGCAACGGAAAGTGCACCTTCTACTACAAGTCCATCAGTGAGGTGAGAGAATTTCTGTTCCTGGAGATATTCAAAACTTGACAGATCAAGAGCCTGGGAACCTAATCTACTTTTGAAGTTAGCCTCCAAGGTCCCTTCCAGATTATTCTAATTTAGACAGACTGAACACACATATATTAAGATCAGTGACAAAACCACTGTGCTTGAGAATTAGCATCAGAGTTTGTTTTGGTTTGTTTTTTTTTCAAACCAAACTGGAATCAAATAGTTATTGCAGGTGTACCTCAGGCTGTATAAGCAATGTGTCTCGACGGTATTCTGATAAGTGAGCAGGCAGCTGTGGAAATTCTGATTCTGACACTGGTTCTCCTACAAAGGATTTTACAGTTTTTAGTCTTTTAGCATCAGAAATGTTGTTACATTTCTGCACATAATCAAAAAAGTCAGAAGACACACATTTCAGATTTAATATTCAAAATTAGAATAAAAATTAGACAGGAGCAAGAACAGGGTAACTGCATGAATAGTACTTTTTGCATATATTGAGCATCATTTTTAGCAACTGTCAACTCTACCAGCAACTAGATTACACCATTTTCAGTTCCCAGAAAGCTCCTGATTAAGTACTTAATTATATAGTCAATATTATATAGTCAACAATATGTAATAAATTATATTACACTTCACATAACAAGATTTAATTATTTTCATAATACCTCATCTCCCTATTTCTCCTCAGATGATTTTGGAACCGATATTGTGAATTTTTACCAAAATGTGGACAGCCAATGGCATTATGGATCCTGATTTAGCTGAGTACAGATGGTACTAGTTTAGTAAGTACCAAGTTCTTATGAATTATAGTTTTTAAACATTCAAAACCCAGTACTGTATTCACACACAGGGACCAGAGAGATTCTGTAAATTTACAGAACCTGAGTGTTTAAAAAGTAGAACTTTTAGTAATAGTAAGATAGAAAGTATTTGGAGAGCTGGAAAGAGAGAGGGTATGACAGAGAAGTGTAAGTTTTCACATCAGAAAGGAGAGAGCCCATATGTCTATTAAAGCGAAACACAGCGTTAAGATGAAAGGTAGGGAGGAAGAAACAGTCAATACACAAATAGGAGAGGCAGTAGCTATGAGGCTGCAGGGATGTTCTGTAACCTTCAGGAATACAGATGACTACAGAACATAACTGTACAACAATGTATAATTCTGCACAAAAGCAACAAATTCTGTAGAAAGCAACAAATGTGCTAACTATCTATATAGCTTTGTGTACGTGACAGCACATGGACATAATGCAACTAGAATTATGTAATTTTATTACATACATGTAGTACATCTTAATGAAACATTTTATTTACCTAATAGATACAGACAGCTGCAATCTCAGCTACCACAAACTTTTATTCCCGTTTTTATACTGTTATTAATGACCAGACATGCAAATGAGAGGTCACCCTAGGCCTTACTTTAGCAAATCTATCTATTAGCAGCTGACATGCTTTGCCCATTGAAAGGAAGAAGTTTTCTTACTTTTGCAGTAAATTATTTTCCCCAGAGCATGGAAAAGAAAGATGGAAGCATCTTTGCCACCAATAGCTTGTATCTCCTGGTCTTCTGAAGTATCAGATTTACTTTTCTTTCCTACTTTAGATACTGCCACTGCTTCATGTTTTAGTCTGGAACTCCTTTTCTTCTTTGACCAAAACTCTTTCTCCAGTGAGCAATCTATCAATAAAAGCAAAAATACAATCAGGAATTAAAAAAATTTTCTATTATATTGCTACTGTTAATGTTCTAAACAAACAAATAAAATAAAAAAAACCTTACAGGTTATATAAATAGGGGCACTAAGATAAAACACATTTATTAGGAAGACAACCCAGTCACCTAAGCTAGCATGTTTCATTCCACTTCTGCCCCTTAAGCCACAGCTGAGGTGCCAAGTACTTTCTTGAATAATAAGTATCTGTCTTTAAGAAAACCTAGCATTCTTGCTTATAGATTCTAGTTCTGATGCATCCCCAACTTGCCTTTCTTAAAAATGTATTGCTTTAAAGCACAAGTGCAAATATATTTAAATTATATTTCAGTTACGTTCTGTTCACTTATCAATTTACCTTCTATATGCATTATCTGTATAACACCCTCAGGCAGCAAAGAAAACCTTTTGTTTAGGTGATCCTTCCAATGGCCTACTAATTTCCATTATGTTTTGAGATCCAAGGAATAAAACCCTTCTACTCCAATTTAAAACTCAATTTTTCACCCACAATTTGATTAAGTGGCAGGTAAACGTTCTTTATTAAGCACTGAGAACTTACCCTTTAAATATTTGCCATTCTTTTCTCCCACAATTACCATGGTTCCATTTTACCCACTAATACTACTACAAAGTGAATGTATAGCTTGTGTTTACACAACTACACAAGTGAAGAAAAAAAATACAAATGTAAAAACTAATACTGCATTCTCAGATCAACAAGGAGGTGAGGTGCCTCCACAATTTACAAAATATCACTGGCTGACAGACATTTACCTAACAAATACCCGAACTAAGAAATGTCTATTCAACACGAAGGAGGCTCTTCTCGATCTGTTAGTGAAAATGCAAGAGATCATACAGTGTGGTATGACTTGAGTACATGATTCTGAGATGTCATGCGCAGAAGCTGTCAAGCCATGAGTTTGTCTTCTCCCAAGTCCTCTTTATAACTCTCATGTTTTTACATTTCCAAGTTTATTTATTCAAAATTATATAAACTGGTAATTTTAAAACTATTTAGTTTTTCTTAAGTATGTAGAAGCTACTCAGTGAGCCACTGCAAACCCTCCTCAGGTATCACCAACATATGATTTATTAACTTAATGGCATTGTTATCAAAATGGTTTTCTGAGAGGAATTTTTTATTTTTCTGATTAACAGAACAATACAAATTTAGCATACTACGAGACAACATCAGAATTTTGTTTCCACGTCTGCAAGTTAAACATAGAAACTTTACTCCTTCCCTCATGTAATTTAACACAAGTAAGTTAATTTCAGTATACTCTAAATAAACTCATCAAGCTACAACACTCCCTCTTACAAGAACCTGAAACTACATTTAATCCCGTATTCCATGAGCACATTTTCTGTTTGCAAGGTGGATGGGAGAGAAAATGAGTAAAAGCAACAAGATCATTGCTAGCTTAATGACTTACAGCAGAAGACAACTGTTTAATTCACTTCCTTATTTCTAGATCAAACATGAATGCTGGCACCATCTAACGGTTCTTAGAATGAACTACCATGCCAGAGTACTGCTTTTAGAAAATCATAATTATGTAACTCGCATACATTGGTTTCTTAACAATTATTGAGTTCCAATGCTTATAAAACACATGACAATAAGCCTCTTGTTTTCTTTTGATGTTGGAACATTTAAGATAATCCCAAACTAAGTCTGATTTGAGCATTGTCCAACCAAGTACTCTGAAGACTACTAAAACACTCAACTTTGAAGTTATTCTATAATAAACTCAGTAACTTCATAGTAGTTCATGCCACTTCACAGCTTTTCAGTTTACCAACAGCCGTAGGAATGCCAAAGCAAAAATCAATCATTACATAAATGCTGTCTACAAAGTCAATGGGCTATTTCAAAAATGGTTCAAGGGTAGAGATAGGGACATGGAGAAGTATAAGAACAAAGTAATGAAAATATCCCTTTCAAACTGAGGTTGTATCATTAAAGCTTTGAACAGTAAATACACACCAGTAGCAAAGATACCAAGAAGAGAGCATTTCATTAAATTACATCAACACATACATAGGAGATGTTACTCAGTTTTAAGACTACAGTTAACAGTCATGAAGAGGAACATTTTCAGCCTCAAGAAACAACCCCACAACTTTGTGCCTTTTATTCCTGCTCGAGCAGCATGTCAGAAATGTTCTGCACAGCTCACCTAGCTGTGCATGCAAGAGTAAACATATCTTTACAGCAGAAATGGTCAAATGTCATACACTTAAAATCACAGGTATTTACCTTTCATAGACAAAAACTGAAGACTGTTTATTGCACTTCTTATATCACCTGAACAACCTCTGCAGAGCAACTCCAGAGAAGTTTTATCAAGCGCATAGTTCTTTTCTCTGTTCTACAAGGAAAAGTAATATTCAAAGTAATAAGAAAAAGTAGAAAAATTAGTATTTGAATATTATTCTGGCTATGGGGACCTACCTCTGATACACACCACAGAGACTGCATGACCATCCACCATATGCTCAAACCATGTAATACTGCTAACTTCAAAACATTTAAACCATTTAAGCACGTTGCCATATTTTATATAGCAATATTAAAGAGAATAATGCACATAATTATTTGCAAGGTGTCACTCAATATTAGACTTGGTTGTAATCAGTTCAGGAATAATACAGGATTTAGGCCTTACTGCATACAACTAAAATTACTTCTATTCCTATTGTTTGTTTCATATATAGTTTCTGTAATAGGCAGGAGAATTTTCAGAAGTAACTTTGAAGACTTAGACCATAGATCAAGCGGAACTAATCTTAAAAAAAGACATCTTTCCAGTTTGTTCCCTGTTTTCTGTTGGGTAGGACTGGTGCTTTTTTTGGGTGGTGTGGGACTCTCCTATCAAAGATCAAACAAATACAGTAACAAGTATAAACAACATATTTCAGACATAAAAGTCTGGAAACTTTTGGTCCTAGCACTGCACAGAAGTTATCAGTTTTGACAACTTACCGTAAGAGCTTCTGCTGCAGCTATTCGATTAAGAACTTTCATCATATTTGTTGGTGCAACAGGCTTGAAACTGTTCAATTTCATTTAAAAAAAAAATTAGTTAGTTTCTGACTTCTCATTTATTTCACTCAAGTTTTAATGAGATAAAAGATCTTACCTAATATTGGATATACACAACTCCTCTAGAATTTCCACTGGGAATAGTGACCTCTGGTTGCTGTCTCCATGGAAGTTATCAGAGATTATAAATATAAGGGGACATCTACTTGTACGAACAAATCTCCTAAATTGAAAAATAAGCAAGTATGGTAAGAATCAAACTCCAGTTTACAGCAAGTGGCTAAAGCTAATCATTAAAAACTTATTTGCAACTGACCTGAGGATTTCATGTAGACTGCTAGGGTCTCGATAGAATTGGTTAGGTATGTCCTATTCAAAACAAACAAACTGCCATCATTACATTCAGATGTAAATATTCTCTCCCACAGACTGACTGTTATGGCACACTATGCTGCTACACATTTTTCCTTCTAGTTAGCTTGCTTTCAACTAAATTTGAATGCAGCTAACTCTTAATGTTACAAAGGTAAAGATAAAAAAAGACAAAGGTAAAAAACCACAGCATGTATTTCTTTCTTTCATTATGGAAAACAATTATCTAAAAAGAAAAATCTTCTTTATGTCCTTGCTTCCTAAGAAATAGCCTTGCGTGATTACACTGCCTGCCAGACAGATTTTTACTCAGAGGATAAATACTCAAAGTAGCAGCTCCACTGAGGAAGAGGGCAGGATATACTACCTGAGATATAAAAGGACCTACACAAGCAAGTGACTTTATGAAGGGAAGTCACAGAAGACTATGCTTCCTAAATTCTACAGTATGCCACATTACTCAGATCAGAATTTTTGTCTCGTTCTTTTTCTTGAAAGTTTACAGACAACTTGATTATCAAAACTTATAAAATTCCTCTCAGAAAAAAAGTGAAAAACTCAGAAAGAAAATGCTATTGAAACACACTCCTGAATAAGTAAAAATAAAGTCCCTATGGCTTACAAACCTTCACAGTTCACAACTATGCCCAAAATACTGTCCCCTGCTTAAGACCAAGGAATGAAAAATTTCAAACACCTTCCGATTGTGTTAATTCTCATGTGTCTTCTACACTCTCCTGCATCTTTAAGTAAGAGGAATAGTGTGTTCCCCTCTTCCTGTTTATACACATATATATTTCTAGAGAGCTAATCATACAGAAACATGGTTATGACTTTTCAATATTGTTTTGATCTACTTTCTGATATTCTATTACTTATTTCTGTACACAAACTAGTCTCAAATTTCTGCCTGACTATTAGCTTATATAGTTTAACTACAGGTAGAACTTGGTTCTAGACTGCTGTAGAGACTCAACAAGTAATAAAGAACTCACCTGCAGTAAAGCAGATTAACTTTTTGCAAAACCAATCTACTAGCTGAAGCTAGTTAGCATGTCAATATTATAATAAAAGGTATTGTTTTCAAAACAAGATTTCACGAGTTTTCACTTACTTCAATAAGAATAAGCTTTTTACCATTTTCTGAGGACTCCCCAAGCATCTGAAGTTTGTTATACTTATTTGCTCTTAATAGAAAATCTTGAAAGAGAGCTGCTTGGGCCTGACTCGGAAACGTATGAAAATCTGAGTCTGAAAAAGAAAACTAATTAAAAATATATATTCTATATTATATCAAGTAGAATACCACAAGATAAATACCACAAGAACTAATACCCACCCATGCTAATTTCTGACAGTAGCCATTGAACACCAGCAGCCAAGTCCTTTGGCAAACACATGACAAATACAAGAGAATTTTTCAAGGGTAGAATTCAATTGTGGACCCAGACTAAGACAGACTAACCTATTTTTATTTAATTGGCTCAAATGATATCCAGGCTATTATACAGCTCTCTATATTGATTTGAATTGAAAATTATTTTGAAGTAAACACTGTAAAAAAATTAAATCCCTTTTCAGATAAAAGGAAAACAAAGATTCCTACTAAACACTAAGGATCTGACTTACAGGGATGTGGATCTAACTTCATATGTGACAGACACAAAAGAATAAAAAGTGCAGAATACAAAAATCACAAAAGTGGAATTTAAAAAAGGAAAAAAAAAAGAAAAGAAAAAAAAAAAAAAAAGAAGAAAACCCGAGATATTTACCATGGCCAAACATATTTCTTAAGTCTTCTTTTGTAAAGTCTAAAGATATTGGATTGGTCCATTCTTGCACCTGAATGCCAAGATCTTTTGCTAATATTTGTATAGTCGCAGTCTTTCCACAACCAGAAGGACCAGTCAGCAGTAAAACAGAGCCACCCTGTCACAGGGAAAAAGAAAAAAATCCCAAACATTATATAGACAGACTGAAAGTTGGCTGAAGATGAATACTGGTTTAATTTCTTCTATGGTTTCTCTGGTAATGATTCTCTTTTCCCAATAAAAACTGAGTTAAATGTTTTGTACTATTAATTCACCTGTTGAATATTCAGATAGAGCTAGATCAGAACTCTGAAAGCCTTGCTCTCAGTTTTTAATGTATCTGTTTAACTGCACTGTAGACTACCAACATAATAGATACTGAACTGTAGACTCAGGTCTGAAAAACACTTGTTAAGACAGGTAAATTATGCATGTGTCTAAGAATGCATCTTATCAGTCAAAGGGTTAAAAACATCCTATTACATCAAGTCATACAAGTGGAAATTTGCCAAGATACTTAAAATTAATCTGTGGGAGATAAAGTTACAAGCACACATTGAAGAGGTATAAACTGACTGTGTGTTAGAAAATACGATTTCTGAGCAAAAACAGAATCCACCTCTTAGCAACATAAACCCAAAACAAATGTATAAGCTCTAAGCTATGTTCTTAACAGACTTCTTATAATAGATACATAATGACTACCTATAAGTTACAGTTTTTATCTGAAATTAAACTAAAATCGAATCCAGCTCATTTGTATGGTTTTACATCTCTAGCTGCTAATTTTAGCAAGATTACCTGCTTTGGCTGCCTTTGAAACATGCGCATTTTTAACCAGGTTTCAACTTCTTCAATTTTCTTCTTTTGCACAGCAAGGTCATTCTAAAACAAAATTAAAATACACGAAATGCATATTTACACCTGTTGGTTTCCAAGACTGTAATGATGAGATTCAAGAACAGAATATATGCTGACTAAAATATTAACAGACATGTATGTATGTGTATATTCCACTTACATATGTTTATGCTGTGTAGAAGTAGATGCAACAGTTAAGGATAATCATTTCAGCCTGTTCCCTCAAACAACCAATTTTCTACTGCTTGCAGTTGGGAAATAACAAATTATATATTATTTCTAAAGTAACATTACAATCTTAGTGTTTGTGTCAGTATGCTTTATAGCTACTGCTGGAGCTAGTATTTTTTAGGCTCTACCGACTAATACCGCATTGGTTTTTGGAACTTCTGAAAAATCTCATGCAGCTTACTTGTCTTCTAGACTTGTAACACAATTCCTCTCCAGAGATGAGCTATTAAATAAAAGTATAAATATATAGTAAAGTATATGTATATTTTAAATATATATTTAAAATAATATTATATATATTAAATATATATTTAAATATAAGTATTTGAATATAAATTATAAGTACTACACTAACTTATAAAAACAAGCACTGAAAATTCAGAGACAGTTAACACACATGCTGATACCTTTGAAACACACTGAAGAAGCTGTTCCATGATGAGAACAGACGGTGAAGACAGGTTTACTACAGGTTTGAGTCTTTTCTCCTAGAAGCCCTAAGGTACCACAGTACTTCCCCCACCCTCCTAAGATGCATCAAGAAAGCAAGAGTGCAAACTACAGTTAGTCAAGTACTGTGAACAACATTCTAACAGACCAACTAACTGCTGTTGAGTAACATGCAAAATAATTTCTGTTATCTTTCCCATAACCAGTGCACTAACTCAGTTCTCTCCCCTTTCTTTAGCTGTGGATTTTCCTAGTATTCAGAGCTGTCAGATCTGGCTGAAATTCAGTAACAGGTTCAAAAGTTTAGGTGTGAATGGATAGCAAACAGAATCTCATCAGCAGCTTTATCTCCTCAGAAAGCTCAGGGAAAAATGTGTCTCCTACGTATAAATAGCTCATTAAAATCCTAACTACAGACAGTAAATAGATCAAATTAGTACTTCACTGACCTAGTAACACAGGATATATTTACAACCTGACCAATACAGATAATGAACAGAAGTACAACACATTACACTATAACATTACTACTACATTAGCACTTTGAATAACTCTCACACCTGAGTTTCAGGTCTGTATCTATCTACCCACGGCTCATCTTGGGACTGGCTCCAGTTTTTCCTGGGCTTGTTACAAGGCAGATCTACTGAAGATGACTTTGTTCTTCTTCTGGGCAGAACTTTAGTTTTGCTACTTTCTGGCACAGAAGACAGGACTTTCTTCTGCTGAGGGTTTCTTCCAGAGTTGCCTTCCAGTGCCTTCACAGGAATGGCACTAGAAGAAGTATTTGTGTTGCCCAAGAAGTCATCAAATGAATGTGCCAACCAATCTGTTACCTGGTAAAATAAAAACATTTTGCTATTAATGTAGTACTCTCTTCCCCTTAACTGCGTACAGCTGTCTCTATAAAATTCATCAAGTATATGTAGGAGTCTCTCATAGACGTAAAGAGCTTCCTTAGCATTGAAAGGTATACTACTAGTTAGCAACAAACATGGGCACTTATGCTTTTTGAATGTGTTCATTACAAGCTTCTTCAGCATTAAAAATAAGCTACACCTTACATGTTATATTTTGCAGCAAATTGGAAATCCGAACAAGTTGAAAATCTGAACATACACTCAAACTAAAGAAGTAAAATTAAAACAGAGGTAAGAATGAAAAAATAGCATAAACTTATTTACACCATTTTTCTATTACGGTCAAGTTCATGTTGTCTCTGTATAGGTTTCAGTATGTGGCTCTTTTTTTATTTTCTTTTTTTATTTTTTAAGATTTACAATGCAGTCATTTGTGTTTAAAGGTTAGAAATAGGCAACAGAGAAAAATTATTTAAGCAACACAGTAAAATCAAGTATTATTACTTGTCTGCTGGGTGAGGAAACTTGATCTAGAATCAGCCTATCACGTATATCAGAGGTCTGTCTGACTGTGCCACTGCTAACAGTGTTGATATTTAATTTTGGATTTGAGAAACGCCTTGCTAGGTCAAGTGTAAAAATGTACACTCCAGAGCCACTTTTCAGCCTAAGGTCCCAAATAATATCACAGCAGTCACACTGCTGCTAACAACTGCACGATAACCTTCTAGCATAGGAATGTAACACGCTACATGCTGAGACACACTTTTGTGAAGACGCAGGTAACAGAATAGACACGCCAGCTCCAAAAAGGTCTGTGAATACTCCAGAGTTTACATGCCTTATAAATGAATGCAAGAGACAACTACCATACAAGAAATTATCTGAGAATAAGTGGCATTAGCAGCTGGGAAAGAGGATTTGTCCCTGTGCGGTTTGCTTTTAACGTTATTCTGACAAAAGCTATTTTTATGATTAATTTGCATATTTTTATGATTAATTGCAGCGGGCCTGATACCAGCATGCAAGGGGGTTTCCTTTTTACACACTACTCCAGCAAGAAAATTAACTTCATACAAATAGGGGGGGGGAAAGAAAATAAAAATAAAAAAACCCCACGCAACCGAAGAGGAACTGCCAACAAGACCAACGAGTAATTATCGGGCCTAGAAATACGCTAAAGGGAGATGCCGGCCCCTTCCCGAAAGCTGCGGAAGCCTTCCTCAGGGCACCCCAGCCTGTCCGGGATAGCGTGTGCGTGTCCGTCCGTCCGTCCGTCCGTTCCCCCACAGCTCCGCGGCCTACCTCCGCCGGCGCCGCCTGCCTTCCCGAGGCGCTTCCAGACATCCTCAGCCCATCCGCCGGGCCCATCCGCCGTGCAGGCTCAGGGAAGACACTCAGCACCCACCTCTCACCCCCGCTGCCGGGGCAGCCGGCGCTGAGGGAGCATCCAGGAGGTGCTGCCGGTGCGGCGACGGCGGAACCCGCCTGGCCCTGGCCCTGGCCCAGCCCCCGCACCGGGCCACGGGGCCCTGACGGCGCTTAGCTGCCCGCGGCGCGCCTGCGCGCCCGCCCGCCGGCGCAGCGGGCAGGGCGGGTGGCGCCATCGGCGGGCGGCCGAGGCCCCCGCGCGCGTGTCTCCTAGGCGACCCGCGGGCGCCGCCGGCGCGGCAGCATGAGGCGGCCCAACGTTTTGCTGACCGGTGCGGGACGGCGGTGGCGGCGGGACGGGCCCGTCCCACGGGCGGGAGAAGCGGGAGGGTGCCGGGGGGTATCCGAGACGCCGGGCCACGGCGGGGCTGACGGGGGTGCGGGCGGGGAGCACGGCCGGTGCCGGGCTGGGCCTGCGAGGCGGCAGGGGGGGAGGCCCCGGCCCCGTGCGCAGCCCGGGGGGATTCGGGGTTTGGGGTCCCTGCGGGGGCACCGCCGGGCTGCTCCGCATCAAAACTCGGGCCTTGTCCATATGAGCTGGGGCTTTTAAATGAAGCATGGTTTACTTTTGCATACTCCGGTTAGAATAACGCTTCTGCACAAAGTGAGCGTTTTGCAAGTAGTTTTGCGAGTTCTTTTAACCTCTAGACCCGGCTCTTGTTTTTCCCTTTTCACGCAGCATTTTGCAATCTTTCTCTTACACAAAATTACCGATATTGACAGGCAAAAGCTTCTTTTCTGACTGCTTAGAAGGTTATTTGCAGAGGATTTGCAATGCTCTTCTCCTACTGTTTTATACGGGGCTTTGTGTGTAGGTACTCCAGGCGTTGGGAAAACCACACTCGGAAAAGAACTCGCGTCAAGAACGGGGATGACCTATATTAATGTGGGTGACATGGCAAAAGAAGGTAGGCCATATTAACAAAGTAGGCCATCAAAATACTTTTGTTATTTTTATTTTGTGTAACTATGTGCTTGTAGTGCATGTATTGTATATTAAATGAAAAGGCAGTGAATTTGCTTTAAAAGAAATAATTTTGGTGGCCTGAGTTTAAAATGCATTTATGTAACAGTAGTGTACATTGTATTAAGTAATAAATAGCAAACTTATTCTTACATGGATTTGTAAATGAAGAGTTCCTTGTTCTGAACACGATTTTTTGTTTGCATCCTCCTGAAATAAACATAACACTATAAATAGTTTTAATAACTGTTGTTACTTCACAAACTTCCGCATATTATTTTTGCTGCAGGAGAACTGTATGAAGGCTTTGATGAGGAATATGATTGTCCTATTTTGGATGAAGACAGAGTAAGTCCAACCACAAAACTTAACATTTTTGTGTTTTGACTTTATGTAATTTCAAGTAACTTGACTGTTTCTGGTTTCTTTTTTTTTTTTTTTTTTTTTTTTTCCCCTGTAGGTAATTGATGAACTAGAAGACAAAATGAGTGAGGGTGGAGTTATTGTTGATTATCATGGCTGTGATTTTTTCCCTGAACGGTGGTTTCATATCGTTTTTGTCCTTCGTACAGAAAATTCATTTTTGTATGACAGACTTGAAAGCAGGTATGTCAGTGGAGTAAATAAGGAGTAAAGTACTGTTGTGTGACTTCATTGGAGATTTTTCTAGAGTATAAATTGCTGATTCTCTATAGAATCACTGCTTTATAGTTCTCTGCATATCTAAGACTGTCTCAGTATTGCTCTTGTTTTTTAGGGGCTACAAAGGGAAAAAGTTGCAAGACAACATTCAGTGTGAAATTTTTCAGACACTTTATGAGGAAGCTATGTTGTCATATAGAGAGGAAATTGTACACCAGTTACCCAGCAACACTCCAGAAGACTTAGAGAGAAATTTGGATCAGATTATGCAATGGATTGAGCAATGGATGAAGGACAACAATTGACATTTGGTGAAAAAGTAACTCTGGTAGATCACTTCTTGGAAGGGTTTAATAAGTTACATTGAAAATTTTTGTATGGTAAATTAAAACCAATTTTATTGTAATTTGATATCGTTGGGGACTAGAAGGTTCAGAATAGCCAGTTTGTCAGGCTTTGGAACCACTTCTGAGCACTCTGGGAGAGGCACACGGGAGAAGAGAACTGACACATGCAAAAATTCAGCAGTGAATGAAAGGACAAAAAAGACATGGTTGCCCTTAGTAGCAGGAACTAGGTTCAATAGTAGAGAATTTTTTTGAAGCTTACCATTAAAACCAAACCTTCACTCTGTCCCCAAGAAACCTGTAAAATCCTGATAACTAATGGTGGTTAAGAAGCATTTGATTTCTAGAGGTTAAAACAGTGTCCTGGGAAGGAGTTAGTCTGTTTCTGAATTGTTAGTCTAAAACCTGATATACCCCACTGTATTCTTGAATGTGTGGAGGATAATGTAAAGTGAGGGGTGTATGATATAGTTTAAGGAGGGTGCTTTATTTTGGAGGGAAGAGAAGTAACTTGGTAAGAGAGATATTTTAAAATTATTACACAGAACTTTGGGAATTACAGTGTAAGGAAACATCAGCTATATCTGCACTGGTGTGGAATATGAATAAGTTTTCTTCTTTCTGTATTCTCCATCACCCATCCCAATCATGGAACATATTTATCACTGCAGTTTTATCAAGGAAATGTATCATTTGGCCAGGTAACAATCTGGCAGTGATCCAGAACATGATTGTTATAAATTGAGACCACAATGGATCATAATCCAATTATAATTTTATTAATTATAGCAAGTAGAATATGAGCAAAGACAGCGCTGGACGACAGGGGAGTCTGCGCTCCGCCAACTGCCGTACTCATCAGTTCAAACAGTTCCTTTTTATACATTTTTACATTCGTGGTTGTCTTTGATCAGTACCCCTTCTGCTTGCACAAGTATCTGGTTTGTGTAAGCAATTGCGGTTATCTTGTCTCACGCAGTCATCTTGTCTCACAGGTTATCTTGTCTCACACAAGCGGTGTCTGGCAGCTATTTGCATAAGCAGTTTTTCTGTCTTTTGCCGCCTAACCTTTACATTGAGCTTAACATAAATTTCAATAAACAATACCCTTAGTTCATAGTTTCTTACATGATTACACTTTAAATGCTGGTAGCCATCTGTTCTAGTTGCTGATAAAGCCTGGGTTCCAGGAGAGCAGGGCAGTGCAAAGTAGAAATAACCCTTCTTCACTGAAGAAAGTGGCTTGTAAAGCCTTGTGAAAGATTCTGTAGAAAGTGCTTGCTAATAAACTTTTCATATATATGAGTTTGAAAAGTAAAGCTATTTGCTTTAAAATTTCTATTGTAAAGAGTACTATAGTTACATATTTAAGACTATTTTTTATTGCAAATTCGGTATAGATTTTTTTTGTGAGACTCATAGAGGAAGACTGCATCAGCAGTTTGACCCTTGTATAAACCAAAATGGTGAAAAATCTGGAGTTTCCTTGCAGAACTGGGACCAAATGCTGTGGAAGCACGTGCATATATGTATTGAACTGCTTTCAGGGATATGGCTTGAATAAATTGCTCAAATAAGCCTGGACACCAGGTGGAAAGTGAGCGCAGGGGTTTGCAAGTGTCTGGACAACACCAATTCTTGAGAACGCTCTGAATGACCACGTCTTTCAAAGGAAAATCTTGTTTCTAAAAGCCGCTTGGGGTTTTTGTCAAGGGCGGGGGGGAGGCTGGAGGCAGAATAGAGACCTCTCTTAAAATAAAAATAAATAAATAAAATAAAAGCAAACAAAGCGCAGTAACTCGCTGCCGTTGTGTCTCAGCCTCCCGGGGAGCTGTCGGCTCGCTTTCCGGGAGCGGGGCGTGGTGCTCCCGCCGCCCCCGCCGAGGCTCCAGCCCGCCCCGGGGCGGGACCGGCCGCGCCAGGGCCGGGCGGGCAGGTGGGTCCGGGGACCGGGAGGGGACCGGGAGGCAGCGGGTTCCCGTGGCGGGGTCACCGAGGCGCTCCCGGCCGCCGCCGGAGGTTTCAGCGTTTTACCGTGCGCGGGAGCGAAGATTTCTGGCGGCCCGAACCCGTCCCGGGGGCGGCCACGCACCGGCAGCTTCGGCTTTCTCACGTCAATGTCGTTCGGCTGCTTTAATGGTGTAGTTTTTCTGTCTTTCTAGATAAAAATCCTTGTTTTGCGGGACGCACTGTTCGCTTTGCCAGTAAGCGGAGTGCCCTCAATCAGGAAAAAAAAAAAAAAAAAAAAACACCAAAAAAAAATCCACAGCCAAACCCAACAAACAACCCCAGGAGGAGAAGATGGAGGAAGCAGAAGAGGATGACATGACACGTGGAGACTTGGGAAATGGACTTGGAGGTCTCTATGAAAGGGAAAAATTACAAAACTACAGTTCATTCAGATCTCAGAAGGGATCTGGGAAGGTTTACAACTCTCCCTTGTCAGCAAAGAGTGTGGAAGAAAGCGACGCTGTGGCTTCTCCCAGTTCAAAGCGAAACAATTTTTATGATGGATCACCCAAAAAGCCTGTCACTGGTTCCACAAGACAAAACAACTGTGGTAAGAATAATTCAGAAGTTAATTACTCAGAAGAGAAAAATCTCGTGTTAGCAAAGCTGAGCAGTTGAGCGGCTTCACAGGGTATCATCAAGCTTATTTGAAGCTGTTTGCCAAAACACTTCGAAGTCTCTGAAGAGGCCCAAAAAGTGTGTGTGCGCTGCGTGCCTGCAGGCACCCAGCGCAGCCACGCAGGTGAACTGGTGCAGCCTCGAAGTCTGCTGTTCACCTCCCAAAAGGAGAAGCTCAGTGCCTTCGGGGCAGCAGAGGAGCCTCTCTTCCTAGATCTTCCTCCCAAAACATCTAAGAGCAGCACTGCTTTTCAGTGAACGAGGCCATGGCCCTTTTCAGTGTAAAATGACAATTTTTAAAGTGTTCAGTTTTGCATGTGAAAGTGGCATTTAGCGAAGAGCATGCTGGGGTCGGGGGGGGGGGGAGGGAAACACGACACACGGCATTGTTTTTATCTAAATACATGCATGAAATTGAACAGAGCTGCTTTGGATTCCTGGTCTGTCTTCCTAGAGACTGTATCTAAAGCTTATAGCTAACTATTAAAAATCCTGTTTGCTATTTAGTTGAAAGTTGTGAATTGGCATACTTTTGAGGTTAAGAAGTTGTTCTTAGAACCTGTGGATCTCTGTTCTCACGGTGTTGGCATTAATTTTTTTGTGAAGACAACACTGCTGTAAATAAAAATCAAACACAGGTTATGCTATTCATTACACTTTAGCTGCTTTAATTTTTAGCTATTTTTAGTATTTTGACTGAAGTATTTCAGTATAACTTGCTTATTTCTCTCCTTCAGAACAAGTCCCCACTATCCTATCCACACACCTCAGTAAGCTAAGTCAAGTAATTATTCTTTATTGGTATCAGCATCTTCAGTGCAAAGATTTTACAGCAGCAGTGAAATTCCTATTGGTTTCACTGTCCTTCTGCAGGTCTCTGTGTGGTGATTGTCTTAGATCAGGTCTTTCACGCAGCAATATCCATGAAAGCATGACTAACGTCTAAATGAACCTGACTTTAATTTATTAGGAGGCTGCATCTTAACATACCTCTGCAATGCTCAGTTTAAGAAAAATGGTACCCGTAGTAGGTGCTTACCGGCTCTTGTGGGATATTCCACCACTGTACTTCACCTCTTGAAAACTGCTCCTGCTTCTAAATAGTGCTAGCTACTGTTGTGTTGAGTGTGGTTGTTGAAAAGTTACAATCTGAAAAGAATCTAAAAAATTAAGTTATTTTCTGAATCAAGATGACAATATTGTTGTGGGTTTTTTCTTTCTTTAAAAAAACAGGAAATTCTAAAATAATTTTCCTAATTTTAGGTTTCTTTAAAACTGACTTTTTTTTCCCATTTCACTTCTTTAGCTGTGAAATAATGTGTTTGAGCTCAGTACCTATTGTTTTTTTTTAATCTGTTTATTAGCTCCAGAAGAAAAAAAAACACAAAGGAACATTCACCTCTGCATGTTGCCTGCTTTGAGGGTCAAGCAAATTCTTACATTTTCTTTTGTAAATATCATAGTATCTCATTGTTTAGTATTTCCTATCAATCCTATAGAATCTAATACTGAAACATCAAATGAAGAACTAAAGCAACGACTTCAGGAAGCTCTAGAGGTTAGTAACTGTGCCAAGTGTGCTGCTCTTGAAATCTGTATTTCCTTTTAATGTAGCAAAGCAAAGCACAGTGTTTATCTGAAGATCCTGGCATGTCTAGTCTTGGATGGAGTCAATTGCTTGAAATTAGAGCTATAGTTGAAAGCATCATTAAATTTTATGCCTGGAAATCAGCATGTGAAGTGCAGTTAATACTCTTGATATTTTTTTTTTTTTGGTGGGGAGGGAGCAGGGGACAGGAGGGGGAAGTATTCTTCAAGATGTAGAGAATATTAAAATGATTGTACTCCTTTTCTAGCAGGTTTTCTTTTTTTATTAAGCTTTGGGGCCTGAAAATCTGCAGTGTAAACAGAACAGTCTTTGGGGTTTTAATTTGCATTTTTGTTGAAAGTTATTTAACTCCTGCAATTTAATTTTACTGTGGTTAAATGTGTTGACATGTTGGCATCAGTCCGGGCAGAAAGAGCAGGTTGATCTCAGCTGTAAAAATACACACTTCATCTGCACTGTGTTCTACAACTTCGCATGCAGAACGTTCAGTGCACAGCAAGTTAAAATGTCAGGGAACCTTACTCATTTTCAGTTAGACACAACTGATAAATTGCCACTGCTCCCAGATACAATTTCAGTATTACTTGTTGAAGTAATAGAACTGAAAGAACAATGAAAAAAAAGTTTTGTATGACCACAAGTGAACAACTGAGTGACCTACATAGAGGTTAAAGAAAGTTAGGTATACAAAGCAGTAAATTTTCCTTTAACTCTTGGAAATTTAAAAACTGCTTTCTTCTGAAGTGGGGAATGTGGCATAAAGATGTGATTGGTATGCACCTGGAACAGGAATCTGTCTTGTTTTGTTCTGGACAAGTAGTGGTTTAGATCTAACAATCCTAATATGATATTCATGCTACAAAGCATGGATATATTGTATAATGTATTTATATTATGTCATATTAATATAGCATTTATATTTTAGTATATATTTGTAATATTCACCGTTGCATATATAAGAAAATTTATTCTGTTCTGCTTACTTATTTTAAAGCTCCGGACCTATGTTGATAGATACAAATTCTTTAGCAAGGCAGAACTGCAGTGATTTATTTACCAAGTACACTGGAAGAGAAGAGAAGGAATAATAATTACAAGTATTATTCCTTAAGGATTTTTTGCTAGCATGCACTGTTAGCATTTCTTCATCACCAGCAAGATATTAGTCAGAAAAGAATCATATAGGGTAGAAACAGGAGAAGATTGTTTTTTGAAAAGGGCAAATATACATGGCTGTTACAGTCAAGTTTTAACAGGATTACCCTGGCTTTTACTCAGTGTACCTATTTTATTTTGCTTCAGGAAGTTGAGATTTTGAAAGCTGAGCTTGAAGCATCTCAAAGACAGCTTGAAGGAAAAGATGAAGCCCTAAGAATTCTGCAGAGCATGGTAGGAGTTTTTCAGAAATAATTTAGGTACTTAGTGGTAAAGCAAGGAAAACAAGAAATCTTCCTGCCACTCCTCATCAAAACCCTGGAACCTTAAGTTCTTCCCAGAGCTATAATTTAAAGCATTGAGTCTGCAAGTGTCTACTGACTTTGCTTCTATGATTTGCTGCTTTCTCTGCATGGAAGTATTGTGGTTATTCAAGAAGACTTTAGTGTTGTAGCAAATTTTCATAATTTTATCTTTTCTTGAGGATTTATCTATTTAATGTAAAGTATACAGCCTTCTTTCCAGTCCTTTAAGTTAGAGGTTTTGCCAGTGCTTGAAATTCTGCTGCAAAGAACAGATATTTTCAGATATAATGGTATAGTTACTCTATCTGTTGTCTTACAAGACAGTATACGTTAAATGTTAGGTCAGTCTTTTGCTCACAGTTTGTGATATTTTTATTTGCTATCACAATGAATTATGTTGTAATCAGTTCCTGTTTTTAAGCCTACTTGCATAACCCATTTATGGTTCTGCAGTTTCTACCCTCAGACATTCATAGTAAGTTACACTTGGATCAAAGTATAAGTATGTTGTAACCAGTTTTTTAAAAGCTGATCTTGTGGACAATCCCTAAAGAAAACATGATGTCATTTTAAATGATGCCACATTTTTTACTAGAAACGATAATGGGATTGAAACACAAGTTTCTTATGCAACATAGCTATTTAGTGACTTGAAATTAGAACCCACTGGGACTTACAGGCAAGTTGCTAGCGTTTGTAATTCTGCACACTTCTGTTTAACTAAGAACATGAACTTCTCTTGATGTAAAACTGAAAATTTGGCTAAAGCCAAATTAAGTAAACTTAGTTACAATATTTGAAAAAGTTGTGTGTTTTTTTTTTCAGGCAGTATTTAATAAAGCCACTAGTCATACAAAAGCAATACTTCAAAAAACTGAGGAAGAAAAGAGAACTTTAGAAAAGGTAAGGGTGCATGTTTCCTTCACACCTGTGCAAAAACATAGAAGTCAATTGTTATTAAGGGGTTATCAAACGTTTTATTTAAATCAATACAAATCTGTCATTAGTTCCAGGTTTTTTTCAAAGTATTCTGATTCCTTTTTAGTAGAAACGGAAAATGTTAATGTATCACTCTTTTGATCTAGATGTTTTCATGTTACGGAGTGTACAAATAAATTCTCAAAGTGACTAGAGTTCTTTCTGTACTTTCAGCTGGTCTTTGTTGTTTCACAGTCATTCATAGTGAGTTGCATTACTTCTTAGTTATTAAGCTGGAACTTCCCAATGAGTCTAAGAAATGGGTGCCCAATTTTCATAGGGGAGGTGGGGCGGAGAAGGAAGGTGGCATTGAGCTACCTTTTTAAACTGACTTTTATGCTTTGTTTCTTTTCCTGTGTGACTTTTCCACAGAACAGTAAGGTGAGAGAGAAATGTGGCAGCATGGGTTTGTTTTTGTCATAAGCCACTACAAGCATTAGTTCATGCAACATGGTCTGGAATCCACAGATCAGCTATGCAGAAACTTTTTGGTGTCTGGCACCAAATGTATTTTTAACAATATCATCAAATGTCATCATTGTTGGTCACCTAGATCGCTGCCGGTGCCAAACTCAGCACCAGCAGTTCCTCTTCTTCCTTTCGATGGGAGGCTTGTATTCAGCTGCTGCAGGTTTGCTTTGTTTCCACAGGAAATAAATATTTTGCAATGGGAAATTGAATTTGATCAGGATAGATTTAAAAACATAGAAGACACATGGACAGAAAAATATGACAGGTATTTGACTTACACTGTGTATCTTGGGTTTTTGTTTTTTAATTGCACTGAATGCTATATGACAACTTTCTTGTGTTCCAAGTTTGCTTCATCAGATTTTCTGGGGTTTTTGTCTTTTCCTCACTTCCCTCCAGTTTGGGAAGATTTATTTAATTTTCATTCTAGTCACATTTGTATTTTTCAATTAAAACTACTGAAATTATTAAGTGTCAATTCTTTAGTGTGTATATAGGCTAGCTTTGCTATGCTGAGATTTCATTTTCATCCTATTACATTATTATGTTAGCTAGCTTGGGCCAGACTATCCTTACTTACTTTAAATGTAAATGAGGCATAGAAAATAATGGTATGTGCATGCATGTGGAAATATCATTTGCTGGTTAATCATTGCTTTATTTTCTTGCATTGTAGGTATGAGCATACGTTCAGGTAAAATAGAATACTTTTGAGAGAGGCTGATCAACTGGTTCTTTGTTTAAATAAGACTTACTCTGGCCGGACAGCAGATGTGGTTAGGCAAGCAGAAGATGCCAGAGGCACTAAACTAATAACGCAGTAACAGACCTTGAAAATGGGACCAGCAGGCTCACTTATTTAAATGTAGAATTGATATCTCTGAAGTCTACCCATCAGAGTTACACAATTATTTCAGCGGAAATTTTTTATTTAAATTTTTAAAACTTTGGATCAAAGAATAAGCCAAAAGGTTACAAACTATTCATTTGTAAGAAGAGATTTGTTAAGATACTGTGTCTTGTTCACCTGTTAACTTAGTTACACTTGTCAAGGGGTACCTCTTGAAAACCCCTTTGGCTTTCATGTCTGAGGAGATTGGAAGTGTAGCTGGCTAGTTTGGAGCAACAAAACTAGTGTTAAATGTTGAAAGCTAGAAATGTAGCTTCAGAAAACTGCCAGCCAGGAGCTTGGTCCACTTTGCAGAAAGGTTTTCTGGTATCTGCGACAGCAGGATGAGGAGAATGTGTATTTCCCTTAGTTCATTCAAGTGAAATAATTCAGGCTACTATTTACAACAAAACCATGAATTTACAGTATTGTGCTTTTATTGACAGCTGAAGAGATACACCAAATATATTGTATTCCTTTAACATTTAGGACTTTAGACTGCCACTTTTCAAGAAAGAAATACTTAAATACTTCAAGGACAAATGCATTACAACTGCATATTGTATGTTCTCAGGTTGCAATGCTTGGAAGTACAACTGCTCTTGAGAACAGTATTAAGACTACAGGAAGTTTACTTTCTAAAATTCAGACCAGAGCCATGTTGTCACATGTCCAATAACAATTTTTTTCTTTCAAGGAAGTAAGAGATTTTTAGCAAGTGTTTCAGAGGTTCATAATTACAAATTTGGGTTTCTAATGGTAATGTGGTATTTAAACTCACCCTTTATTAAACTTTGAAGTTGTTGGCACCATCTACTTACATGTGAATGATTTTTTTTTAATTTTATTTTTTCAACATTCACTTGAACATACCTGGATCCATTGAAATTGGTTGTGTGAGGGTGTGGTTTCATGAACAAGGTGAGCCTGTTTGAACAGCGCATGCTATCTGGGTTGCAGAGAAACCTCTGTATGAGCGCAGAGATTCCTGGTTTTGCTCCCTGCAGAGCCACCTGCAGCCTGGATAAGGAAGAGTGACTCCACAGAAGTCAGCCTGGTGTGGCCTGCTTTCTTAGTCTTGGTTCAGTGCCAGTCAGACCAAGCCTACACACAGAACCTCCCTCAAAAAGTTAGTTAGGAGTAGTTTTAGGTTGCTAATTGGCTCCTGGATTGGATCTAACAACATACTACATACTACATATTACTGGTACAGTACATTTTACAAGTGAGGAAACAGCTTATTTAATGCTGCAGGGATAACTTGTTAAACCGAATACTCAACTCTTTTCAGTTTTGATTTTTTTCTTCAATCCTTTCAGTAATCCTAATTTAAATTTACAGAAATATTAGATACAATGTTTAACAGGCTAATAACTTATTTCATTTGAGTGCCAATTAAAAAAATTTTTTTTAAAAAGATAATGGAGCCTTTTTCAAACTTCTGCAGGATATATTGTGAAAATGCAGCTCTTAAGGAAGCAGTGAAACTGAGAACAGAAGAAGTTAAAACTCTTAAAGCTGAAAATGCAAGTACGTCACCAGCAGCTATTCCTCTTCACATACTGTTTCTCAGGGGTAATTCAGGATTCAGCTACAAAGGAAGCTTTCTGTTGGCATAGCTTTTACTGGTAGCTGGTATCAGTGGATATGTAGAAACCCTTTTTAATCACATAAGTGTTCGGTTTTCTTCTCACATTGTCACTTAAACTGAAAAAAAAAAAAAAGCAAACCAAAACAAACCAACATGAGATAGAAAAAGTCAGGTATGCATAACTTAAAAAGTAGATCAGGTGTGAAAGAAGTACACCTATCGTATCTCAGTGGTGTGGTGACACTCTGGGTGTGGAGGGACCCAATAGGTCCATGCTCCCGGTCCTGTCCTGGAAAGAGGCAACAGCAGCCGGGGGAGCCATCAAGTGCTCCTGCGACAGTGACAATCTGTGTCAGAGGCATTCACTTTTAACATACCCACACAAAGATTCCTATAGCACAAACTTTCAGCTTGATGGCTTTATCGTGGAGCTTTTCAGACTGCAGGTTGTGCAGGTACCTGGCTGGGTCAGATAGCTCAAGCCCGTCTCCTTTGTTTTTGGTTTCCAAAAAAGCTTTAAAATAGCTGACATACATAATTATTTTCCCAATATTGTGCTATTCTAAAAGAGCAGCTGCCTTAAAGTTTAGAAAGAGATGAGCCCTTAATACTGAGGCAGAGTAATATATGAGATGATCTCTGTAAGTGGGTCATTACCTATAGGAAAATACAGAAGGAAAGGCAACTGGGATCTGAGTTTGTAGATCTACATAGTCTCATTGCATTCCCAAACTTGTGCTTAAACTACAGAACGATTAATATAGGTGTGGTTAAACACAGAAATTAAGAAACCAGAGCAGCAGACTTTTTAATCACTTTCCTTGTTTTATTTCATAGTCCTGAATCAGCAGTGCTTGGAATTTCTTGCAATGCTAGATGTGAAACAACAGAAGGTTGTTCAGGAAAACATGTCCTTGAATACAAGCAGCATTACAGATTTTACAGGTCTTGAAGTAAGTATGACTTCCATGTTTTTCAAAATGGCTGGTTCAAAGCTATGTTTATATTCAAAGCATATAGATGAATTTTGCTTACTGATTATTTAACAGTCCATTTGGACCCATTCTTAGCTAATGACAATATGCCCTTGCATGCCTGTTAATCGGTTTGCTGATTTGTGGTGCATCGATTCCTATTTTGCAAAGCAAGAGCAGACAGAAGGAGCATCAGGCTATCTCTCACAAGCCAGCATGTTTTTGTTTGTTTGTTTGTTTTCTTTCTAGTATCTTAATTTTTAACTGCTATGCCTGCTGCTTTCCTTTAAATGAAAACAAAATTCTAATGAGGCCTCCAGGAAGTAGCGTATACAAGCTGACAATTTTTGCCTTCAGGTTATCTGGCAGAAGGTTTCATGCACATGGTTGTGAGTCAAAAGATATCATTCCTCAGTCTCTTGTAGCTCACTTCCCTGACCCTTACACTCCCTTTGTAGTTGCAGGATGTTTTTTTGTTAGTCATGTGGCATCTCTTGTACTGTGTTGTGTATGCAGATAGATACTTAACTGGTGGTTTGTTTTGGATTTTAAGCTGGCAGTTCTTGGAGCATGCACCTGCAATACTTCTGGAGGGCAGCCCTGTCCCTGTGCTAAAATGGCAGCTGTAACTCGAAAGCAACTTCTTCACCTCAAGCAAGAGGTAACACTGGTTGGTGCAGATATGTAACACTGCTTGGTGCAGATATGAATAAGCAGAGGGATGCTTCTGCTCAAAACCAAATAAAGCCAGGAACATTCTACTGTAGCTTACACAAACTAATGTGTCTTAAAACATGAATCCTTCTCAGAAAGATGTAATATTTGTTTGTAAAGCTTGTAAGGCCCTAACTTCTGCTGGCATAAAACTAAATATGATATCAATAAGCTCTTTCTCATTCTTTTCCTTCCACCCATACTTTTCAATCTAAAAAAAGGAAAAAACACTCAAGTGTTTGAACTCTAAAAATATATACACAGTGCAAGTGTGGACTACCACTGGTCCTTTCCCTTCCTTTCTGGCAGTGTATTCTACCTCTTCCTTGCTGACTTCAGCATTCACAGGCCTGCTCACCCAAGTAGATCAGGAAGCTGATCTTGATGAAAACTGTATATTTACATGATGCTTAAACTGGTAACATGATTTTCAAGCTCTTAAGGTTTTTAATTTTAAAAATTCAAAAACTATAGAATTTCACTTTCTGATTTGGTTTTGACTCTGCAAGTGTGGCAACCATCCTCGTGGTCCCACCGCAGAAGTTCCAGTTGACTTACTGGTATTAAGAATAAGTACTATTACATCCCTTTTGTACCAAAGCTATTATCCCTGACATAGATACCATTCCTTGGTACCTTTTCCACCTGCCCCAACTTGCATATGCCCTCCTCAAGCTCTTCTTCATGTGCAGAGACAAATAAGCAGTGCTGGCAGCTTGCCTGTGTAGGTGGGTGGTGGTGTGTGCATGCGTAGAAGAGGAAAGGTAAGGACTTCCATACACATTTCAAAGTGTATTAACATGGCAAGAAAGCACTTTGTTTTCTACTACCTTTCTGATTATAGTTATTTAAAGGTTGTCTGTATTAATAGTTTCTATCTGTCTCTGAATATATATTTTATATCCACTGTTGCTTCCAAACTGTTTAATATACATTTTCTCTGAATTAAAACCAGATTGAAAATCTGAAGAAGAGTAAAGATGAAGCTTACATAGTAGCAGATGCCTTCAGAATTGCATTTGAGCAACAGCTAATGCAGAGGAAGGACCAAGCCCTGAGGCTTGCAGAAGTGATAAAGATTAAGAAGGACACAAAATTTATGAACTGGAGACGTCTAAAGGATGATGGTAATGGCATGCTATAAATCTGCAATGGTTGACTAGAAAATAAGTTAGCTGATGAGTGGCACGGGGCACGGACAGACTTTCTTACTGTATTAAATGTATGGTCGTGGTTTAATTGCTGACTGAGGCTTCTGAAGCGTCAAAAAAGGAACAAAGTTCTGTCAAAACTATCAATATGTTAAATAGTGTGTCATGTAGTTGAAGAATTTCTACTGGAAGTTTCACATGTGCAGGGCAGGCTATCTGTGTGTAAGTGGAATGCATAAATACTACTGTAGGACGTTGAAGGTACCAGTCTAGGCTTTTAATGTAGCCCTTTTGCATTACACATTCATGAACTGTATCATCTGAGTAAAAACATGCCTCAATAAGTAAGCTGTTATCCAGGATGACAATAACATTCTGGCTATTAAAGATATTTATTATGAAAGCAGCACAACAAAGCTAACATCTGGCAAGTTTAGCCTGTCCATTATCAGCAATTTAATGTGTGGTGTTTTTTTCTCAAATGATCTCTATGTAAGAATTAGGGAAGGAGGAGAAACGCAAAAATATGCATACTGAGCTTTCACTGAAATACTGAATACAGTACTGTTTTTTATTATGTATGTGTATCTACATCAGTATTACTCTTCTTACACTTCACATGGTCATCTGTGAGTTACAAAGCACTGTGTAAAAGAAGTATTATTATTTTCTTCTTTAAGAAGAAGGATAAGGAGAGGTATTTAAGTTCTTATGCCACAGTCAAAACCATAGCAGAATTTAGGAACAGGACTTCAAGATATATTTGTGTTAGCCGTTGACCTGGACATCCCAAATTTAGAAGTGCTGTGGGTGTTCCAGATCCCTTGAATGCCCTCAGGAAAAGAGCATACATCTTGAATATGTTTCCCCCATACAGATACCATTGTTTCCAAGCCCTATATACTGATACATACATTTAATAATTTTAATGTATTTTAATATTTTTACAAATCTTAGAAACTTTTAAACTGCTTATGTGAAAGAACTTTTTTTTAGGCTGCCTACTACTTAAAAGACAATTTCCACAAATTGTTGTTTAACTAGAGTTTCAAAGTGTATTTTCCATACAGCAAAAAATAACTTTATTTTCAATTTACCCATATATATGATGAAAGGTCTATTTAGCCTTTAAGTAGTGGCACGTGTGGTGCCACATGCAAGTAATCTACTGCGTTACATGCAATGGGAGAGCTGTACCTTCCTTGGCCCTTTTAGAAGAGATGGTTTCAAATCCAGTTTTATGCATGCCCATTTTATTCTGAAGTAGTTTTTCTCCTAAGTAATTCCAAAAGTTTTGTGCTTCTGTTTTTCTTAGGACATGTCAAGTTACAAGGGGACAGGAACAGTCTGGGGCAAAAACTTTCCAGCCTGCTCTCATCAGACGTGGACTGCAGGAAGGTCGAAGAGCTAGACAACCCCCATGAAATCCTGAGGATGTTAATAGATTTGGTTAGTATTTTGTTAAACTATTCATTGTGAGTCCTTAAGGGAACAAATACAACTTTCAATTTATGTACACTGCCTTGTTCTTAGCTTATAAACTACTTTATTTTCTTTCTCTTTTAAACACACACTCAGGTAAATGACAAAGAGGAGGCTCTGGCTCATCAAAGAAAGGTTAGTTACATGCTAGCTCGTGCAATGGAGGCAAAAGAGGATGTTTTGGAACAGGACGGAGGAAATGTCATGCTGGGGTCACCAGGCCCCATACAGGCCTGCTGCCAAAACCTCCCATCACAAAACAGTGCCTCATCGGTTCCCAGTGCAAAAACATTTGAAAATCCTGTAAAAATGCTTCAGAAATCAAACTCCTGGCCATCTGAGGCTACACACTGGGAACAAATTAATCCACGTGGGAAAGCAGATGAAACTGTAGTGATCTCTATATAACCGTCTGCTGGAATAAATTTTTTTTTTTTAAAAGAAGTATCTTGTGGAAATGCCTAAAAGCGTCCTATGATTACATCACTGTGGGCCAAACTATGTGGTAACTACTGCTTTGGTGAAACAGCCAGATTTAATTACTACAACAGTAACTTCCAAACAGTATGAGGCAGCCATCAGTCGCCCGAACCCTGGCTTTTGCCTCCCCCTTCGCTGACGCCGCATTCCCTGGTGACGAAGCTGACGGAGTAAGAGTCGTGTCACCGCGGAGGGTGATGTCACGACAAAAGGCAGCGGGAGGTGGGGGGAGGGAGGACGGCACGAGCCACGCACGCCCGCGGCCTCGGGTACGGGGAGGGGTTGAGCGGGGGCGCGGCGGCGCGCGTGGAGGCACGGCGTCAGTCGCACGGGGCGCTTACGTCAGGCCGCCGGCTCCGCCCCCCCGTCAGCCTGAGACGCGGAGCGCTGCCCCCGCGCAGGCGCGGGGCCCGGGGAGGGGGGGGGGGCAGTGGGCGTATTCGCGCATGCGCTGAGGAGCGGCCAGTCGCACAAACAAGGGGCGCGGCCTTGGCCGTCCCGCAGGCGCCAGCGGGGCGAGGGGCGGCCTGGGAGGGGAGCGGCCGGCGCTGGCGGCAGGGGGGGCGGTGTCGGTGCCCACCCCAGGCGGAGCGCGGCGCGGCGCGGCGCGGGAGGGCAGCGCTGCCCTGTAGCCTGAGGGTGAGGACGCGGGTGCGGAGCCGGCGGGAGCCGCGGTGAGGCCGGGGCGCCGAGGGAGAGGCGGCGGCGGCGGGGGGAGGGCGAGACTCCGCGCGTCCCGACAGCGGTTGCGGGTGTTGTGCCGGCGGAGGGCCTGCCCGCAGCCGCGGCCTCCCGGGCCGCCCTCCCTGGCGGGGCGCACGGGGCGGCGGCAGGAGCCGCTGCGGGCTCGGCGCGGCTCTGGCCGGCCTGTGCCCCCTGCCCCCCCCCCGCCTGACGGGGCCTCGCCTTGGCGCTCCCCGTGCTGCGGTCGCTCGGGGCTGTAGGCGCCAGCTGCCTCCGCCTTACCTGATCCGGCCAGGGATGCCGATCTCGGCTGAGGAAAGCGTCAGAAAGCAGGCGTTCCGCTCGGAAGTTGTATTTCAGTCCTGGAGGAGGGTTGGCCTGCTTCAGAACTGCGAAGGCAGTCGTTAGTAAGAGAAACTTGTTACAGTAAGGCTTTTATGGTCTCTGTCGCGTCAGCGAATGCACTCTTTGGAAATAGAAGGTGGTAATGAAACAAAAACAAACCCTTGCAGATTTTAGCCGACAATTTGCTGCTGGCACACTAGCAGCTAACTGCATAGTACTTTTACAGCAGTTCGTGCCCTGTATGGTGTGTTAGATTGCTTAGGTGGTTTAATTGCGGTTAGAGGTTTAGAGAGATTAGTGATGTTTTTACTTACTTCTGTTACATTTATTTTAGACAGTGACGAGCGGAAAGACGACTTTACAACCAGTAAGGTTATAAAGTAGGTATGTTTATTCAGTGCTGGATGCACGGGGGATCGCTCCTCCACAGCGTGCATGCCCTGGAGCCAAAAGTGGCCCCCTTTTATGATGCCAAAGTTACGTATTCGTCAGTTCTAATACATATGCATTATAATTCTGGGAATAGGGAGGGAATATTACAATTAATTCTGAGAAATCATTAACATATTCCCTGCCCCAAGTCCCTCCCCATCATGCCTGCGCAGTGTCTCTTGGTGGTCGTGGGCAGGGGTCTTCTGATGAAGGCTCGTAGTCTTCTTCACCGTGTTCACTAGTTGACCCTTACTTTTGCGCAGACTCAGTTCTGTAGTTACACACATCTCGTCCTTTAGGCCTTGTTGGATACGGTTTGTTGCTAACTTGCAGCTCCTTTATCTTGGTGGCTCAGTAGTTCCTTAATTATTTCAAGGACAATGGTGGGCTCATCCTGTTTTTCTCTCATTCATTCTCAAGGTAGTTACCTAGTTAATGTTTTCTTGAGAAATCATCTGGTTAATGCCTCTTCATTCATACATCAACAGTAGGGGACAGAGTATAATGGCCATGCTTGCACCATACACTTAAAGGCATAAAGTGTTTTAACACATGCTTCTGGGTAAGCTGGGAAAAGTTCTCAGTCTGTATTTAAATATGAGCTATAGTGGCAGAGAACTGGTTATTAGTACATTCTGAAGAAGTTAGTAGAGCACAGAAAAAGATTCAGTTGACTGCTAGTACTAGATGCTGTTAGCATGAGGTTGTCCAGTATGAATATCTGGTTATTAATAATGTAAATCAGAGAAGATAGGAATATTGAGGGAACACTGGTTTCCACTGAGGAATAATCTTTCAGACCTGATGTAATAATCATGTTCTCATGACTCATTTTCTAATGCTGAGTGATAGATGCTGATAAAACTAATGATGGTGGCACTGTGGGCAGTATGTGAAATATGTGTTCTTTCAGCTGAGCAAGTGGATTCTTCAGCTGTGGGCCTGACTGCTGATGATACTACTGATGTGTTGGAGCACTGCTGAAAATCAGTAATTGTTGGCTGTTTTTTTCTTGGTGGTGTGAATGTTCAGAAAGCCTTCTGTTCGGAAGAGCAGTAAGAAAGCACTGTGGATGAATGAAAGAAAATCTTCGGAAGCTGAAGTTGATGTTGGGATAGAGTTGTCTGACTGGTGCTAGTGATAATACCATAATGCTGTTGATAGTTTTGTTCTGAAGAAGTTGTGCTGAACTAATGTTGCTCTTTAAGGTAGTTTATTTTTTTGCTGTGTGCCACACAAGCTTTTCTTTATGCATCTGAAAACTTCTGTAATTCTGTATCTTCAACCCCTGATTCAGCTAGTAAATTTGCAGTGTCAGCAGCCCCTGCAGGTTTTGGGTCAGAAAATGAATCGTCTTGCTCAGCAAGAATTTTAGTTTTTATTTGACAACATTTAAGTTTCTCACAAAGCATTTGCTCAGTTGTAAGGAACTTCCATGTTAAGTTGATTGCTGATGAATTCTATGTGTAGTTGTACCCTTCAGGTTGTTTTTTTTGTCTGTAGGGCCTCAAGCCTGTGGGTAGGTGTGTGGTGTAGCAGTACTGGAGGGGGTTGAGAAGGAGAAAGGTAATTAAATACCTTTAAGGAGGGGGAAGAGGTATACTGTGCTTCATGCAGCACTTCATTTCTGTAACACTGTGAACTTAGATAGTTCTTAATGGTTGTGTTTCTGTCTGAGGCTTTGTTCTAGTTATGGTAGCTTCTGGGTGGTAAGCTGGAAAAAACTACTTAAATCCTGTTGTGAGGATAAGAGCTTTGATACAGCTTTCTCCTCAGACTAAATATAATGATTAAACACAATGGTGGAGTTGAAATAATGTAACTTTACAGTGAGCAAAAAGACATTCCTCATAACCTAAAATTAAGATGCTACTGTGGTCAGGTTTCTGGAGTGAAGACCTGTGTGCATATATGTGTATGTGTGTTTCTTTATCTCTAAACCTGATCTTGTGTTGTTTTAGCATGCTCTGTATGAAAGCAGGCCTGGATTCTGCAGTGGTAGTTAGCTGTGACTAGCTGGAGATCTGATAATGTCTGTATATATAAACACTACAGAGTGTTTTTTCAGGGATTCTTAAACACCAAAAGGCGGCTTGTCATCAGACATTAAACTGGTCAGCTGGTAATAATTAACTCACCCATTTTATATTACAAGTTATCACCACTGAAAACTACTAACTACCTCTGAGGGAGACTGTATTTGAAACAAAATTTGGCAATCTGTACTGTAGCTTGGCCATTCTCTATCCTATTAGACTTGTGTTATCTTCTCCTTTAAATAAGTGTGAGAAGTTGCTTAGAGTAATGTTGGTTTTAAACTCTGGAATATGTGCCTGTTAGAATTGATTTATAAAGTATATAAGTGGTCTATAAAGTGTTTTTAAATGCACTGACACACTTGCACTCATTGCACAGTCATCTAGATCACTTCTGATATGCTTCCCTTAGGTAACAATTTTTATGTAATAGAATTACTGCCTCCATTTCTTAAGATACTGTCTTTATGCAATTTAAAGTGCAGTATCCAGGAGTTTGCCTCATCTGACTGGACAAATAATGTAAGCAAACCTTCACTATTCTCTTTTGCTCCATTTAAGCTTGCCTATTGGATGCCTCAGAACATAAAGAAGGGTGTTTGACCAGTTTTCAACGTGACCTAAATATTAACTGTTTGGAATCCTTTCTGAGATGGCCACAGAATAGCTCACTTCAGTACTGTTCACCTCCAGTGTTCCAGGTACAAGCTTCCTGGCTTCACCATGGTGACTACTGCCTGGCATAGCAATTGAATGTTGTTAGTTTTCCACTAAATAAACTTGAGTGAGATAATAAAGAACACTGGTCTTAGAGCACAAGTACAAGCTTTGAAAGATGAGAGCTGAGGTGAGTTTGTTTAGAAATGTACCAAACATACTTGCCATTTCTCTAGCTAAACTCTTAGTGTGCTTTTCTGTAATACATCAGAAAAAGGTGTTATTCTGTCTTGAAGCTGAAGAACACTCAGACAACAAAACCAAGATCTGACTTAACTGAGGAAACAAAAAAGGCTCTTTGCCAACAAATGTACTTGGTAATCCTTGTGATCGGTGTGTTCTACTCTTCAAGTGAACTTAGCTGCTGCTTAAGGAAGTGAGCTGTACATAAGGAATCATGGTGTGATGAGAATTGATGGACCTGTAATGGTGTAAAATGTTCAGTGTGACCTGTGTCTATCCATTAATATGTCCTCTTCGGTGTATTTCAGGCTGAAGAAGTAGTAGGTGAGCACCACAGCACTTCTCTAGGTATCAGGCCTTGTAATTTACTCGTACAGTAGACAGATGTCTTAACGAAACGATGGACCTAATTAGCTCAATTCAGCACTGTAATTTGTGAAAGTAAATCTCTAAAACTAAATACAAAAGAATTTTTATAACAGTTTCTGGTGTGATCAAGATACCTGAACAGAATTAGTTTCAGAGGATATCTTTAAGTCTAATTTATTGGTGACAGATGTTTGTTTCCTTCATTAACAATTAGGGGTTTTTAAAAAAGTTATTGGTGATTTTTAAAAAATAGTCAAAATTCTGCTTGCGGTGAATTGGGAGCTTAACATGCAGGGTTGTAACTCTGCAAAGAGTGTTTTATGTAGATAATTAGGGGTCAAGCAGCCAGATTTACAGATCTGTGCCAGGACCTTGTGCTAAGTTAAGTGTTTGTTTCACTTTGGAGACCTGTTTTGGTGGAGAAAGCAAAAAACCTGATTTTGTTCTCCCTGTAAAGTACACGGCTTTCTATTTTTGTAGCTCTTTGACTGGACTTCCTGTGGGCTAAGAGTGGGTACCAGTACAAAGAAAGGGAAATGTGTGGCTGGAAAGTGGTGAGGGGCCTGTGACCACTGCTCCTTTTGGTCACAGCTGTTAGTCTGCATATTAGTTATAACTTAAGTTGTACTAGAGTGGTAAGGTTGTAGAATATATCCCTACAGGGAATAAAAATCAGCATTATGTATTTCTTCATTCCCCAGTTTACCTCATAATCCTTCAGTATTTCTAGTTTATGCTATCTGATAAACTGATGGTCAGTTTTGTTGCTGTCCAGAAATACACGCATTAAAGATAGGATCTGTACTTTAATGTTTCTTAATGAATTGCCAGAAGCTATTAAGCTTGGACGGCTTTTAACTGAAATAACTTCCATTTCAAGTTGTAATCTCCCACTTGCCAGGAGGTTGTGAAGTGAGTTGATTGTTACAGGCAAGAGCTGTATTCAAATGAGTGAGAGAAATGGCATTAAGTATGTACTTGCTGATATTTGCTCATTAGATAGCTGTGTGAGACTTGCCTTACGGTGCAGCATGCTGAAGACAGTTGGAGTGACTAATTCATGGCCATGGATGTCTATACAGTGGTATATTCAGATTATTTATTTTTGCTTGTATGTGGGCACAACATACTTCATTAAGTTACGATGCACACTATTTGTTTCACCTTTCTTGTGCTTTGCAAGTCTCTATTTGAACTATGTATTAGCTTAAAGTTTTTTTTGTCACATGCACATTAATGTGGTGGTGGGTGAATGCACAATTCAGTGAGAGGAAACTTTATACCTCAGTGGAGTAAGACAGACATAGTATCCAGATCAGTAGATGCAGTGTGGTGTAAGTGATATGAGAGGATTTAAGTATTTCTTTGGGCTCTAAGCTTTGAGAAGAGACAGTACTAGATGGTCAGAGTGCATTGAATGGGGTAGGGTGTGAAGTTAGCCAATGCAGAGACTACATTCACTGAAAGGAGTGGATGGGAAACTGGGCAGGCCACCACAGATGTGGTTTAGGGATCAGAGCACCTTCAGTTTACTTAAGGGAGGTGTAAATAACATCTTGATTATATGTTATAAGTAATTGCCAATATGGATGTCCAGACATAAAAAAGATGTGAAATTAGAAAGCGCTTGAGTGATGAAAAAGTGATAATATTGAGTGGCTGGAAACCTTAATTAAACAAATGAAATGGGATGTTTTGCAATAGGGAATGTGATTAGTAAATAGCTTTCTGATGAGTTGGTAAGTCTCTAAAAGGATGTAAAAAAAAAGTATTGTTTGGGTCTCAGAGAAAGCTAGTTAATGGGTTTTGTGTTTTAAGTAGAATAGAGATTGTCCTGGTTTTGGCTGTGACAGAGTTAATTTTCTTCCTCAGAGCTGATACAGTGCTGTGTTTTGGATTTGGTGTGAGAATAATGTTGATAACAGACTGTTTTAGTTGTTGCTAAGTAGCCCTTATCCTAGGTTAAGGGTTTCTCAGTTTCCTGTGCTGTGCCAGTGAGGAGGTACACAGGAAGGACAGCTGACCCCAACTAGACAAAGGGATATTCCATACCACAGGATATCATGCCCAGTATATAAACTGGGGGGAGCTGGCTGGGGGGGTCGCTGCTTGGGCATTGGTCAGTGAATGATGAGCAATTCCATTGGGCATCACTTGTCTTTTCTTGGCTTTTATTTACCTTTTTTTTTTTGTTGGCCTCCTTTTCGTACTGTTTCACTTTAGTTATTAAACTGTTTGTGTCTCAACCTGTGAGTTTTACCTTTTTTTTTTTTTCCCCACATCTTCCCATCCTACCAGGAGAGGGGAGGAGTGAGTGAGCGGCTGCGTGGTGCTTAGCTGCTGGCTGGGGTTAAACCATGATAGACTCTGCAAGTTTTTTTTTCCTAGCCTTGGAGGAAGGTTTAAGAGGGGGATTTGAAGGCAGCCCACTGGTCATCATAGGGGGGAGTACTGACCTCAACCTGCTTAAACACATTGTGGCTCTGTGTTGACTGTGGTACTTCAGTGCTTTAGGTGGTTATCTGCTTTATAGTCCTGATATATTTTAGGTTTTGGCCTGTGTTTACTGTTATCTGAAGCATTTGGTCACAACTGAAACTAAATTGAGATTGATTAGTTGGATAGCTTGGGAACTAAGAATCTGTTTAAGTGTCATGTTCACATGCTCGGTGTTGAACTGCTTGTCAGGTTTGAACTACTAAAGGAGGTGCTTTTCTTGCTGGTGCTTCTGTCAACAGGATACTTTTTGTGCTTTCTACTGCAGTTTAAAGCATGAAATGTCTGCAATTATGTAGTCATCATTTATTTAAACAGCTCACTTGTGTTGCAGGGGTAATGATGGCCTGTTTTGGTTTTTTGCCTGTGAACTGCATGACATAAAATTTTTAGGGGGTCAGACTAGAAGATCCTAGTATCCATTCTGGTTTTGAACTTCCTGACATTATCATGCCGTGGTATGTGCTTTCAAATGCATTTGGCTTTAACAAGGCAGCCTCAATTTCCTGATTTAAGGTGGTGTTTTGAGCGTATTGTGCGTCATGTACTGAGTATACTGTGGAGTGTGTTCAGAGCACTTACAGGTTGACAGTCTGCAGCCCTGTTTTTGCTTAAATTTTGTTTACATGGAGAGAGAGTAAAGTGTTATTAAAAAGAAAAAAATACTTCATAGAAGTTACCTTCTAATAATAACGCTTTAACTTTGTAAACAGCAAAATGCTGTGAATCAAATACTGTATTTTTCTCTTTAGGAAAGCTAAAGCTTCACAACAACTGTAATTAGAATGGACAGCTACTTTAAAGCTGCAGTCTGTGACTTGGACAAGCTACTTGATGAATTCGAACAGAATACAGGTTAGTTACTGCACTGATTTGTTTTGATGCATAATAATATTGGTCAAATGACTGTTACTGGGATCTGAAAGTAACACATGCTAAATAAAAATGTGTATTGATGAATAGATGGGATTTAGAGGGAGTACACTGTAGAAAGAGAGCAGTTTTATAAACTTTGCTTTTGATCTATTTTTGTTTAAAATAGATGAATATGACTGCTACAGAACACCTCAAAATCCATATGACTCCAAACAGCATTCGCTTTCTTCAGTTCTGGATTGCTTACAACATGCATACCCAACACCAAAACTGCAAGAGGATGCTAACAATTACACTTCCTCAGAAGAAATCTCTCTAGCTAGCCATACTGAAACAAGTGAAGCATTTCTTAGTTACTCACCACAAAATGAGAAGAGTGTTGCTGGACCTGATCTTTTGTCCACTGTGGACAGTGGTTCCTTAAATGAAATTCAGTCTTCAGACCTGGGAAGGTGTAGTATACCTCTGTGTGATCTTGTTAATGACACAGGTAACTTAATCCATGCAGTGGCAGCTCATGAAGATACTCAGAAGTTGCAGCCGGATGAAAGCCAGTACAGTGAAGGTTTGATTGGCTTTGGCATATCTCGCATACATGTTCCTACTTGTGTCCCTTCAGCTGGTTGTAGTGATGTTTCAAGTACAGAGCAGAGTGATGGGGACTTGATGCCACGAGATTCACGACATCTTAAAACAGAGGAAATTAATCAAGTAGTTTTAAAATCAGACAGTTACGCTACAACAAAGATCTCGGATCCATGTGGTGACCAGCACAGGACAGAATCTGTAAAGTGCAGTGAAGTATTTGATCAGCTTGAACAAACTGCTCACTGTAATACTGCACAGGTCCCTGTAACATCACAGGATTTGAGTGCGTACAGTCCCAAAGATGAGAAAGTGTATGAAAAATTGCCTTGTGAACCACAGGATGAAAGTGTATGCTCTGCAGTAAGCAAAGAGATGTATGGAAGAAATGCCATAGAAAAGATACTCTCAAAAGATGAGAGTAATGTTGAATCCATGCCTTCAGATCTGCCACAGAGGCCTCAGTTTTACAAAAGCCATGCAGCATTATCTGGAAATTGTGTTTTTCCAGACTCCTCATGTCAAACAGGAGCTAAAGTAGAATTGGAAAAGAAAAACACAGACGAGGATGTAGGTAGCGAAGAGCTTAACAGCAATGAAATACTAAACAGTGTTTCAACTTCATGTATTTCGGTTGAGGATGTCCAGACCTCACTGTCATGTCTTCCCCTTCCTGTATCTATATGTGGTTCATTAGTTGTAACAGAAGAGAAAGTTAATGCTCTACCTGAAAATGAAATGGCAGAGGTTATTAGTGATATTTTAACTGTTCATGCTGGAAAGTCTAAAACTGATCGCTCCAGTAGGGAATCCTCTGAAAACACAGACTTGTGTGAACAGGAAGAATATATAGCTGAAAGCACTGTGGAAAAAAGTACAGATGGAGAGAAGTATGATACTGAGAATGTAACAGATGACAGTGATTCTCAGCAAATCAAAGCTTTTGCTTCTGCTTTTCTGGAATATGAAGCTGATCCATATGGTGTTGGTATAGATTCTTATTACAATGAAATTATGAGCTCAGATATGGCTTACTTTACTGTCGAAGAGAACATTATTAAAAGTGATACCCTAATAAGTGATGCTGAGCTTGATGATTTCTTGTATGGACAAAGTCTTCAGTCCAATGTGTTGAAGCCTTCAGACAATGATAGTAACTTAATGGAAGATGATACAGATGAAGGGAATTTAACAAATGTGAACAACCTGGATTTCACAGGGGTTACTGAAGAACATATGCAAGCAAAACTGGAGGAGATAACGAACATTAATAGTAACTGTAAAATATCTCTTACTGCCCATGAATCGGAATCTGCAACAGAAGAGAGTATGTCTTGTATTCAGGATGTGACTGAAAGTGGTAGTGAAGCACTAGTTTCTAATGTTTGTACTGAAGGTGCAAGACCGAAGCAGTTGCTTGGCCTTTCCCAAGGATCTGCTGGTCAGAGACCACTGAATAGAACAGATGTACTTGAGAGAGAAAACAATAAAGAGAGTTCTGTTACCCTAGAAGCAACACCCTCAGGCACCAGCATAAATGTTAGTAAAAATTCTGACCTTGCGCACTCTGGGGAAAGCAGCTCCGAAGCTGGAGGAAATCAAACATCTGAAAACATAGAATCATTTAAAATACCTACAACTCTCTCACAGAAACAGCCGGTGTGGGTTCCTGATTCAGAGGCACCCAACTGCATGAAATGCCAAGTCAAGTTCACGTTTACAAAAAGAAGACACCACTGTCGTGCATGTGGAAAGGTAAGTTATTAGAGAGAGGTCCTATTTTACTGAAAGCAAGTTAATTCTGATTTGAGGATAACCAAAGTATAGAAGAGAAAGAATACTGCCAGAATTTTTCTAGGCTCAAAGTATTTTGTTTTTTAAAAACATAATTTTATTTTTCCATCATAGAAGCAGACTTTGGAAAAGACTTATATTAATTATGAAACGTTTGACCTTTTTTTGTGAAAATAATTAAGGGAAGGTATGGAGAATGTTCTTATTTTATTTTCCAATACTGGCTAGACTAATGTGCGTTGCATAGAATGAGGAAGATGAGACAGTGGACTACTTCATCATAGTGAATCAGCGTTTTACTCAGCTTTTAAGTTAAGCTTAAGTATTTAAGCTTAAAAAACTGAGGTGGTGATGATACTGGAATTCAGGTAAGTGGTTATATTAGATGTAAAACACTGTCCATGAATCTGGAAGGATTGCATTCTTTCAGGAGCTGTAACAGCAGTACCAGTGCAAAGTATTTGTAGCCTAAATCTGTCTCCCTGTGTCTAGATGTATAATTTTCCAGGGGGGTCATCTCGGGAGAAAAGTATGCTACTTTTGTGGGATGAATGGTATTCACCATCTGAGCAAGTAATCTGTAGAATTTTTTCAGCCTGTGGTGGTCTGCAGTGAATAAAGAGTCAAAGTTTATTCTTAACCCAGAATTCTCTTGTGACCTGCTGTGGCTTACACTTGTACTAGTGTATAAATGGAAATACTAACAATGCTAATGAAATTAAAGCAAAAATTACTTACTAACTTTTTGCATCCCCACTGTTGAGAGGCATCTGGAGAAGCTTGGTAACTTTTTCCCATGATGCTTCTTCTAGAACTGTGTATTCAAACCACAGTACTCATTTACTTCAACTGCAGTAAGTGTGAACTAAAATGTGGGCCTGAATTTGGGTGCCAAAAAAGTGAAGAACTCGGTGACAACTTAAAGTCATTGAATTTAATAATTTAACAGAATATCCTATTGAAGTTTTGTACACAGTTCTGAGTGGGTTTCGTTTGGTCATAAGACTGACTGACTTCAAGTTCCTGTTTACAATCACAGTGAAATTTCTTGTACCTTATCTAGAGATGAGGATAAAAGCACCCTTCACTACACAGTCTGGCTTAGCAACCCTAACAGCTGATGATGGTAAACCTGTGTGTTAACAGAGGGGTTTTTGGCGGACTGGTGTAATTGGAGGGACCATCACAATGCATCTTCATTGAGAGAACAAGTGAAGGCAATAAAGTTTAGATAAACTTTACGGATACTGGAGTGCTATGCAGTTGTAACTCTCATAACTTTTCTGAATGTGCAATAGCTTAACTCTTTGCCTTGTAAGGCGTTTTTGTCTTTAAAAAAACCCAAAACATTCCTTGTGAACCTGTTTGTGGGTTGTGGTTTCAACCACTCGGACATAAGGAGAAACTGGTAGGAATTCACAGTTGTCTTCTGTGGACTATTCTGGATGACAATAGTATAGTTTCCATGTGGTCCTACAGCTTTTTTTATCAATGAAAATGCCAACAGTTGCAAATTCTGTCTTCTGTGCAGTGGAAAGTGTGAGGTTAGCGGTCCCTGCTTTCTCTTCCATCTGCAGCACTTGTAAGGCCCAAACAACTTTAATTTCTTTATTTAGGTGTTTGTCTCTCTTTTTGTGGTACCCTTTCTCTTTCTAGCTCAACCAGAATCAATTAATTTGCATAGCAGCCTCATCTTCATCTCCTTTCCCCTGTTACATTTCCTATCCCTTAGTTTGTGTTCACCTTTTGTCTCCTGTGCATTAGAATTAAGCTATCTCCTCTGTTGTGGGTCCCAGTGGTACCAGGTGTAAGAGGAGAATACCAATTGCGAAGGATTCTACTGCTTAGCCTTTGTTTTTTAAAAAAATAATTTTATTTTTCCATCATAGAAGCAGACTTTGGGAAAGACTTATATTAATTATGAAACGTTTGACCCTAAGGTGGATTGTAACTGATTAGCAATTAATCTTAACCAGTTACATTCTAAGCATCTTTACTGAGCATGTGCACTTTCAGTTGAGGTAAATTACCTGTGACACTAATGTAGAAGCAGTTGGAATAGTTCCTTTTTGTGAGCTCATATTACACCAATCAAGTATTACTGTTTTTATAGTAATTTTTCCTACTTAAAGGAGCTCATTTATAATAATTTTTTTTCTTTCCTATGTCACTACTGTTTGGTTTTGGTTTTGTTTTTTCCCCTTAATTCACTTTTTTTTTTTCCTGGAGATAATTAGAAGTATCACAAGACTTTACGTTCATTCCAGTTACTTGACTCTGATCAGCAGTACAAGGCTTCTTTCAGACCAAGGTTTCAAAAGATACGTTTTTTAAAGGCCATGTCCTGGTTTTCACTGGGAGAAAGCTAATTTTACTTAATAGCTAGGACAGCGCTGTGCTTTGGATTCAGTATGTGTTTTGGTATAGGAGCAATGTTGATAATATATTTATGTTTTTACTTGTTGCTAAGAAATCAAGGACTTTCAGCTTCCCATGTCCTGCTAGTGTGCAGGTGTACAAGAAGCTGGGAGGGAGCACAGCCAGAGCAACAGACCCAAGTTGGCCAATGGAATATACCATATCATACAGTGCCATGCTCAGTATATAGATGAGGGTTGGCTGGGAAGTTGGTAGGGCTCTCTTCCAGGATTTTGGTTTGGGAATCTTCTCTCCTCAGGGATAACTAGCCAGGAACAGGCTGGGCATCGGCAGGTGGGTGGTAATTTCATTGTCTATTTCTTGTTTGTATATTGTCCTAGTATAATTATTTTTATTCTATTTCAATTATTAAATTTTTCTTATCTCAACCTATGAGTCTCCTTACCTTTACCCCTCCAATTCTCTCCCCCATCCTCTGGGGCAGGGGAAGGTGAGTGAGTGGCCATGTGGTGTTTGGCTGCAATCAGGGTTTAAAACATAACAGGCCAATACTGACTCTAGAGTCTGCATATAGGTAAAAATAGTGGGATTATTTGAAAACTTACAAATCACCCTTGAAAAAACTTAAGGGAAAAGTGAGAAAAGCACCGGATATTTATAGGAACTCTTGTAGAAAACAGCTTTACTAGAGACATAATTGTTTCAATGGGATTGTGCAGGTGTAGTCCAGGCTAGAGATGCACCTTTCCTCACCTCTGCTTAAAAGCAGACAGGATATATATATCCTGTTGGAGTAGAACAACATACTTTGTTCTTTCAAAGCAGTCTTCAGCAAGCATTTAAAATACTTCACTGAAGGTAACTAGTAACGTGATAGCAACTATGCTTATTCTTTCTGACAGAGTTGGGGAACCTGCTTGACTAACATTGTTCCCGAACCATTAGTAAATAGCTTGGGAAGGAGTGAGCTCTGGCCTAGGTAGTTGTCTGAGGTAGAAGAAGCAGCTTGGGATTTCATGACAAACTGATAACACTTGTGGAGAGACTTGGTGCAGTGCACTGTGCTGCAAGATCAGTGGATAAGGAATGATTCGTAGCTGGTATGAGACTAGATCATTTTAACCATTACCTGAATCCTAATGGGAGATTCCAACAGTTATTGTCAGAGATAATACTAAAGCAGTAAAGCGAATCTGACGCAATTCTGTGGTTCGGTTTGTATCACTGTTGTTTAATGTGAAATAGTTATGGGGTTAGCAGAAGTAAGAGTGATTTTGGGAACATGTCGTGCAATCTGGAATTCTCATCACTTCTGATAAGCATTTTAATATAATATCACTTGTTGCTGTTCTTTGTTGTGTATGTATTGTGGGTTTTAGATTTTTTTTTTCCATGAAGGTTTCTTCATGAGAGATTAAAATACAGGCTTGAATACAGGCTGCAGAGGGTTTAGAATCAAATAAGTGTATTTCTTGGAAGGAGTTTTCTAATTGCTGTGCAGTTGTATACCAGCTGCTTCCAGCTATGATCTTAGGAAAAAAAAAAAAAATGTAAAAAATCCAATTTAAGCTATTTAGCGAGTACCTGGCCTTATTAGATCTGCTCACAGCAGGAAATTTTAGGTGCTGCTCTATTTCATAGCTGAATCTGAGGGAGTAGTGTCAAGAGCTGAGTGCCAAGCTGTGTAATGTGGACATTTCTGGCCATGTGCGGAGGGTTGGTTTGTAGACACCTAAGGATTGGTCCAACAGACATACCTGACAAATTTCAAAAGCCATTGGTATGGATAGGTTAGTGGTGCAGTTCTGAGCAACGGAATAGGAAGAAACCCTTAACAAAAGCAGACTTGATAGACTTTGTAGTTTGGCCCAAATTGTGGCGCTTTTGAGATTCTTAATCGTAGCATCATAGAATGGTTTGGTTTGGAAGAGACCTTTAAAAATCATCTAGTCAAACCTTCCTGCTGTGGGCAGGGACATCTTGCATTAGATCAGGTTGCTCAGAGCGCTGTCAACCTGACCTTGAACACTTCCAGTGATGAGATATTGCCAACTTCACTGGGCAACCAGTTCCTGTGTCTCACCACCCTCGTTGTAAAAAAATTTCTTCCTTCTGTGCAATGAAAATCTACCATCTTTCAGTTTAAAACTGTTGTCACTTGTCATGTCACTACAGGCCCTGATAGAAAGTCACTCTCCATCTGTCTTAGTGCCCTGTATATATTGAAAAGCCACAGAAAGGTCTGCCTGGAGCTTTCTCTTCTCCAGACTGAACAACTTTCAGCCTTTCTTCATGGGAGGGATGCTCCAGCCCTCTGACCATTTTTGTGGCCTGCCTCTGAACCCACTCTAACAGGTCCATGTCTGTCTTGTGCTGGGGACCCAGATTTGGATACTATAAAAGCCTTTGTAATAAAACCCTTTTTAGTCTAGTACTTCCCCTTCTCATCAAACAGTATAAATGTATTGTAAGATACATTTACTAAAGCTGCTTTTCTCTTTCCCTAGTTCCAAAAATGTATATGCATGCTTTATATAATGCAATCTGTTTTAGTAAAAGCAGTAAATAATAATACCAACTGAATTCAGGAGATACTGGGATCTTGTCTATAACATTTAATTCAGTCTTTTTCTGTTTCAGGTTTTTTGTGGTGGCTGTTGTAAAAGAAAATGTAAACTACAATACATGGAGAAGGAAGCAAGAGTCTGTACTGGCTGTTATGATGATATTAATAAAGGTAAAAAGTGTTTTTTTAGTAATTGCAGTAATAATTAAAGTACGGTAGGGCCAGCTAGCATCTCTTTAATCTTTGTTCTTTTGGGGGAGCTTCAGTATTTTAATTGGTTTGTGTTTTTCTATTTCTGAGATGGAGGGAAAAGATAATTGTACTCTTAGTTGGATTTCAGTTATTTTAAACATTGAGTAGTGAGCTGGTTATTTTTTTATTAAAAAAAAAAAAGTAGGTTTGAACTCCATAGTATAAAGTTATGCTATTGGGTCATGTGGCAGGAGTCTAGCAGGAGTGATCCTCCCTCCACAGTAGCCTTCTATGTGTTTAAAGGCCATACCCTTTCTTGTTCTCACATGTTATTTGCCCATTTTATGTAGCTTTCTGTCCTAATGTTTTTACAAACAGCTTAACGGTACTACAGTAATTGAATCATAAGATAACCTTTTCCTATCCGAAAGCTAAGTACGGATGCTTATGGAAACATCAGGAGAAAAAAAGTGAGGTTCTATTAATAAATACTTAAGTAACAGTTAAATTGAAAATATACCAGCTTTTTAATATGCCACCTGACTGGAATTTGACTTGATAAATGTGATATATGTATTTGCACCAAGGTACAGGTATCTTATGGTTCAATGTAGTCACTCTAACAGTAGCAAGATATACAAGCAGTTCTGTTTCTATGTTAGGAGTGAATTAGGCAAATGTCCAGGTAAAAAATTAAGAAATCTAAATTTTCTTCTGTACAATAGCTTGCGTGTTAATTTTTCATAAGTAGTTCACAAATTGTGCCCTGCTCTTCCAAAAATATCCACCCATAATACTGCACTACAAATGAACTTTAATCAATTGTGAGATCTTAAAAACTAACCACATTTTTTTTTAGCACAGGCATTTGAAAGGATGATGAATCCAACTGGTTGTGTCCCCAATTCTAGTATCTCCTCTGAGCACTATTCTGCTGTTCCACCTTTGGAGGAATCCCAGATATCTGGTAGTGCTAGCTCTCCTTCACCTTCTGCATTGTTACCTATATTAGTAGTTAACCTGGTATTGAAGATATGCTAAATACAATATAATATATATTTTATATATAGAATTTGCAGTATATATTATAATATATAATATATTGTATACGCTTTCAGGATCTCTTTGGAAAGAGTTGTTTGTTGCATCATGGATATATAACTGGTATAGTGGTATTTCTTGTGGGAAATGGAAACTCTGTGAACTGGGACACTGGAAAGTTACTTCTAGTTCCCAGTTTTGATGCCATGTATGAACTTTACCAAGTGTGTTTAAAGTCTCCATTTATGAAATGGATGTTATTTTTTTTTGTTGTTGTTTATTTATATCTTTTTTTATAGATATTACTGTCATCATTTTTATACAGCTTAGAATATATCTGGCTAGTATTGTGACTGCCAGTCTTACAGTAGAACCAAAAAGTAGTTGTTTAGGGAGAAATAGCTAGGGAGCAGTAGGGGCTCATTCTCCGTGTAAATATGAATAATTAGTGGTTAAGTGTGTCCTAAACATCTGACCTTCTTCAGTGAAAACAAATTTTTAAACAGCATTATAAACTAACTTTTTTTACAGTTGTGGTGGTTTGAGACCAGAGGGCAATTGAGCACCACCCAGCTGTTCTATCACCCTTTTCCCTCTCAGGAATGGGAATGAGAAAAATGAGGCAAAATTAATTAGCTATGGATAGGGAGGAGCGCTAACCCATAATGGGTCACAGGCAAAAGACAGACTCATTAGGGGAAGAAAAAGAATGTCACTTTAATTCAAATGGTAACAAAAAACAACACTTAACAGACAAAGGGGGACAGTGAGAATGCCACTATATCTAATAACACCTCCCCTGTCCCTCCGTTTTTCCTGGGCTCAGCTCTGCTCCCAATCTCTCCACCTCTCCCAGTGGTGCAGGGGACAGGGGATGGGGGTTGCAGTCATCTTGCTGCTCCTTCCTTCTCAGGAGGTGGGGTGAACACAGCACATTCCTCCCCTGCTCCACATGTCTCCCCTCTCACATGATACAGTCCTCCACAAACCTCTAGTGTGAGTCCTCCCAACAGGATGCAGCCATTACCATTCTGATCTGGCATGGGTCCCCCCGTGTGTTTCAGTCCTCCTAATGCCAAACTACAATGTGGGGGGCTGCTTCTACCCTCAGGGTCCTGGCTTCATTTAAGTGCAGCCACCTGTCCTGGTGTGGGCTCCTCCACAGGCTTCAGGTCGGTCTCTGCCCCACCGGTGACCTCCATGGGTGGCAGGGAAGGTGGCCCTGCCATCTCCCCACGGGATACAGGGGGCTCTGATCCAGCGCACCTCCCCTCTTCCTCCTCCTTCCTTCCACTGACTTGGGTGTCCATCCTTCTCGTAATCTCTCCTCACAAGTCCCAACCCCCTCTCAGGTTCCCCTTCTTAAATACATTATCACTGAGGCACAGCCACCGTTGCTAATTGGCTTGGTACTGGCCAGAGGTGGGTGCAACTTAGTTGAGAAGCTCCTCATAGTGGCAACTGCTGTAGTCCCTTTCCCCTGCTACCAAAAACCCAGCCACAGAGACCCAGCATAAGAGTGTATTTCATATTTTAGTTGTGGCGTGCACTTCATTCTTATCTTACTACAAAAGGATGATTGAGAAAGTAGGCTTCCTTATACAGGAATTGATAGATTTAACTATAGTATGGCAGCTTCCTCTGCAAATACGAGTTTTTTGCATGTATTTGCCTATCTGGAGACTGGCTGATGTCAAACTGTTTACCTGTGCTTGGTTCCAGTAAACAGATTCTCTATGTATTTGGGAGGGGAAGGGGCTTCATTTTTATCCCTTTCAGCTATTAGAACAGTACATTAATATGAAGTCAGTGTTGTTTTCTTAACCTGTCCTAGGGCTGTGCCCCAAAGAACAGAGGAGAGTTTGGTTTGCAGATGGTATTTTGCCAAATGGCGAAGTGGCAGATACGACAAAACTTTCATCTGGAGCAAAGAGATCGTCACAGGACTTAAGTCCAGTAAACCCTGACTTGCCAGAGATGCATATGGTATGAATCAAGAAGTGTGTGTAGGTGCATGAATTATCTCTTGAAATACCTTTGCTTGCTATCGATGGGGCCCCTTATGTAACATAATACGGCTTCTGCTTCACAGCTCTTGGAATCTGAGCCAATATTTGATTATTTTGGGGGCGTTGACTGTGAAGTGCTTGGATTGAAATACTCTGTAGACCATACTAAAAAGGAAACCATGTTTCCTTTGGGGTGTGTATGTGAACTTGAAAAATGGTATGGCAAAAAATTTTCCAAAACAAGTTATTTTTCTATGCAGCCTTTGATAAACTGCTTTTATGAAAGTAACCTCAGCCATAGTTCTGAAACCTGTAATTAACAACACACAGTAGAAATCTGTGGGTTTCTTCTAGTACTTTTTACAGCAAGCCACAGTTTCCAGTGGCTTGTAGTTTGCCTGTAGGATTAGACTAAGTAGAAGTCGCTTAATGCCCTAGACTACTACATTATAGTGTGCAACAAAATCTATGTATTGCTTCTAATGTGAACTAATATTGAACTGAGAGAGGGACTGGCTTTTTTATAATGGATTGCATTCAGGGTGTTGAACTAGTTGCACCTGACAAGAAGAGTCCGAAGAAGTGGTGCGAGTTCGTTGTGGAAAGATTTGGAGACATTCCTCAGCTGGAGCCTTTTTAAAATAAAACATAGCTCTGAAGCACTGTCTCAAGTGGTAAAATAAATTCTGTGATTCTAACAGCATTCAAAAGTTTTTTAAAGAAATTAGTAAAGCTAAGGACCAGACCAGATAATAATTATTTGTATATGGAGGATCTGAACAGTTACCAGCTCTATAGCATGTAAATCAGCCTTAATTCATGAAGAATAGATAATAGTAAATGTGACTTCATTTGAACAAGGATGGACTCCGATAAGTTTCAGTAATCAAAGGGTTTCGTCTGCCTTCCATTTTGAGGAGAGAGTAGGGTATTTGCACTTGAAAAAGATGAGCAATGTCTAAATGCAGCAGGGACAAAGTGAGTGGGAAGCAATTAGTTGATGATTCTTGTATGCAACTTTAGAAGTTCAAACAAAAGCCCTGTACTGCAGCTCTAAAGCAGAGGATGTACTTCACTAGGTAACACATAATCCTGAACATGCTGCCACAGGATGCTGTGAAGGTCAAAAGTATGAAGTGATATGAAACACCAGGAAGCCAATTTGTGGGGAAGAAGTCAAAAAGAGACCAATTTAATTGTCTTTTTGTCTGTGTGTTTGTGCGGTGTTATTTTGGGGGTTGGTATATTTTTAAATTTTTTTGGCATGTATATTCTCTAAACAGAGGATTTGCTGGACACTGGCATAGTAGGAGAACTGTTACAGGGCAAGCATATAGTTGTTAGGTTTTTTTCTTCTTGTAACACAGTCTTCCCTATTGAGTTAGGATGCAAATCTAACATACTTGAAAGATGGTAATGCACCTCTTGATTTTTTTTTTTTTTTTTTTTTCTTACTCGATAGCAGTTTATACCCTAATGCGCCTATGCTCATAGCTTGTCATACCCATTTTGCTGGGGGAGAAGCATAGGCTTGACTCCAAGCTAGAAATTAATCAGACTGTAAAATACTAGACTCAGCTATTAGTACATAGCATAGAAATAGAAATACACTTGCAGTACTAAACTGCTGATCCCAGTGATGGCAAATTACAATGATGATAATGTTCAGTAGCTATACTAAACAGATTCCTGGAGGGGTACTTGTTTATTGTCGATTGTGTTACATCTGATTGTTGTATGCTAAAATGACTGATCTGCAGCGCTCTGATAGGAATTTTGTGTTACCAAACAAATAAATTAATGATTCGTTTTCACCCAGTGTAATTCCTAAAGAAGGGGAGGGGGAAGATTCAGGAGAAATTTGGTGGCTTTCTTCTTGTTTAGAGGAAATACATTCTCAGTATTTATGGTAGATTTCTTTCTCTTTTTGCTTCTAGAATGCTAGTAATGAAAGTTTAGCTTACTGTGAGACAAGACTAGATTATTTTTTCTTCTTCGTAGGCTGCAAACCCAGAGGAAGATGACATATTAACTGATGTAAATCCAAAACTGAAGGAAGAAATTGATATTATTACAGCAATGGAGGAATTACATGCTTCTGTTTCTTCGGATGATGCACAACAGGCTGTTCCAGGCCAGAGTGCAGTGGTACATAGTTATAAATCTGTAACTCTAGAAACAAAAGAGTGTTCTCCTACTGCAGAAGCTGAGAAGACTAGTTCCAGTTCAGTTGATCAGACTGCAAGTGATATGCCTGTTAGTCCTTCAAGTTACAGAGCACTATGTGGTGTTGAAAACTGTGTTCGTAAAGATATCAGCCTTGTTCCTGATGGTGATAAACTGCCACCACTTCTGCTTGAAATGGGTGAAAAAGGAAAAGGTAAAATTTGAGGAAATTGTTAATGTTTAATCACCTGATGTGAGATTTTTAAATATGAACTTCTGCATATATAATTTGTATTTTAATACAATTCTAATATCTCACTTATTTGCTGCACGTTGGATTGTTGGATAATTGAACATGCATTACTAACAAGATCAATACATTATGAAGAGAATACTTCATCACTTAAATGCATTATAGTAGTGACTGTACTCACTTATGGTAACTAACAGTACCAGTAGATGGATGAGGAGACAGCATACACAACTAGTCAGTAATTACCAAAAGAATGGTAGCCATAGTTTCCACCTTTGTTACAAGTTACTGCTATATTTTTATATATTCCTTGAATATTCGGGTAACCTATTCATTGGTTGATCTGTAGCTATTCTAAGTTTGAGAATAATTACCACCCTCATAGGACAGGAGGATGGGACAGCCTTACATATGCTATCATCTGTAATTCTTGTTTTAGATAGTTGGCTGACATGTTGAACTAAATTGGGTGTTAATTTATTTAGATCCTCTAGTGGAAGAACATCCATCTCACCAACAGGTCACCCTGCTTCTTGTGGAAGGAGGTCCTAATCCGTTAACTTTTATCCTAAATGCGAACTTGCTTGTAAATGTCAAGCTAATAACTTGTGAGTAATACACATTTTCTTTTCTATTAAATCCAGCTTTCTTTTTCTTACTGTAAAATCAACATTACTGTGGTATCTGTCTTTTTAATTGAAGATTCTTCAGAAAAGTGCTGGTACTTCTCAACAAATGGATTACATGGTTTGGGTCAGGCAGAAATTATCATTCTGTTGCAGTGTTTGCCAGATGAAGAGATTTTTCCTAGTGAAATATTCAGATTATTTATTGACATCTATAAAGATGCAATGAAAGGTATGTAATTTTAATGTCTAACTTTTTATAGTATCTTCTTGTTGACCTTTAAAGTTGGAAGTTGATACATAATTTTTCTTGAAGCATTTGTATTTTTTTAGTGATTCTGTTGGGAAACCTTGCCATGTTAGCCATGGATTCTAAATAAAAAACAGGAAGAAAAATATTTTTCACATACTTCCATAAATATCCTGTTTGTAGGGGTTTTTGTTGTTCTTCAGTCGTATTGTGTTGGAGATTCTGGGTATAAGTCCTTCTCTGTGATGTAGGACATCTAGGATTTCATTTGTAGAAGGACAGTACTCTTATGTATATAAATACTTGAGGTCTGTTAATCGAAGTTCGTCAGTTGGTGTGTGCCAGAACATTGTACACTCCAGGGTTTTTGTTATTTGTTTGGAAGAACCTTGTTTCATATCTAAGTTCATTTAGTTCATAAATATAGAGCACTCAGTCTGTTGGTTTAGATGAATGTCAGACTTTCAGGAAGATTTGAGATATACTGTATGGTTCACAAGTCTGTAGGAGACCTCTGGTTAGAGTAGTTTTCTTAATACTAATGTATTACTTATCCAGATATATAAAGACTCTCTGTCTGTCTCTCTACAGGAAGATTAATAAGAAACATGGAAAACATTACATTTACTGCAACTTATCTCAGTAACAAAGAGCACGGAGGATTCCTGTTTGTTTCACCAACTCTTCAGAAACTTGATGATCAAATTCTGCCAGAAAACCCCTTTCTTTGTGGCATTCTCATCCATAAGCTGGAAATACCATGGGCAAAAGTTTTTCCAATCCGTTTAATGTTGAGACTGGCAGCAGAATATGGGGGTCAGTTACAACATTTTTAAGTATCTGTATAACTGTAAAATTCCCTTTGGGAAACAGAAGATTTTTAGACAAGGAAAATATTTCAAATCATATTTGTAGTATTTTATATTACACTTGTGTAAGACTGAAGTTTCACACATGGGAAAGCTACCTATTTGAAACACTTGGGAATTTACATTGTGCTGCTAGGCTCTCTTGATTATTTTTCTTTTTTTCTTCTTAGCTGCTGAGAAAGCTAAGGAACCAAAACTGATAGCAGTAAACTATCAAAATGTCTGACTTCTGTTGTCATAGGAGAAGGGTTTGAAGGGAGGTTCACAAGCTCAGTTTACAATTCCGACAGTTTAGGTTTTCTGACTAAATCACTGGAATTAGCAAAATATTACTGCTTCATAAAATGGGTAAAGGTATTCATTACTTCAAAGGATAACTTACTCATACATTTGAAATCTCTAGGCCTGTAAAAATGCAGGAGGCATTTTTTCAAAGTGAGGTGGTTGGAGAGCATGTAAACATGCATCCTCACAGGTTGGGCAGTGGCAGACCTCCACGCGGTAATTACTTTCCACAGTCTGTTGCAGGCTGATGCAAGCTTTTTCTGCTCTCCCAATGAGATTTGCATTGACTCTGCGCCAGCCTCACCAAAAGAAGGTGTTTGTACAGATTCCCATTGCCTTGAAGAACAGATAAGATAGTTTAAGCAAGACCTGAAAATAGTTAGATTCCTAAATGCCTTCTAGAGGTGTTTGTGTACTTGCTTGAATAGCACAGGCATTTGAGTAATGTAATTGCCTTTTTGTTTCCTGTTGCACTGCTGCTTAAGTCATTTAGAGGGACCTGGACAGGCTGGAGAGATGGGCCAATGCAAACCTCATGGAGTTCACCAAGGCCAAGTGCAAGGTCCTGCCTGTAGGTCAGGGCAACCCCCTGTATCAGTACAAGCTGGGGGATGAAGGGATTGAGAGCAGCCCTGCAGAGAAGGACTTGAGGGGGTTGGTGGATGGAAAACTGCCCGTGAGGCAGCCCCGTGCGCTGGCAGCCCAGAACCCACCCGTGCCCTGGGCTGCAGCCAGAGCAGGGGGGGCAGCAGGGCCAGGGAGGGGATTCTCCCCCTCTGCTCCGCTCTGGGGAGACCCCCCTGCAGTGCTGGGGCCAGCTCGGGGGCCCCCAACAGCAGAAGGACCCGGAGCTGCTCGAGCGGGGCCAGAGGAGGCCACGGAGATGCTGGGGGGGCTGGAGCAGCTCCCCTGGGGGGCCGGGCTGAGAGAGTTGGGGGGGTTCAGCCTGGAGAAGAGAAGGCTCCGGGGGGACCCTGAGAGTGGCCTCCCAGGGCTTAAAGGGGGGGCAGGAGAGGGGGGAGGGACTCTGGGTCAGGGGGTGTGGGAATAGGATAAGGGCTAACAGTTTTAAACTGAAAGAGGGCAGATTTAGGTGAGATGTAAGGCAGAAATTGTTCCCTGTGTGGGGGGTGAGGTGCTGGCCCAGGGTGCCCAGAGCAGCTGTGGGTGCCCCCTCCCTGGAAGGGTTCAAGGCCAGGTTGGACGGGGCTGGGAGCCCCCTGGGCTGGGGGAAGGGGGCCCTGCCCGGGGCAGGGGGGTGGGACTGGGTGGGCTTTAAGGTCCCTTCCAACCCAAACCTGTCTACGATTTAGAGAGCAGGAATTCAGATAAGATGCAGCAGTTCCTTAAGTGGTATGGATTTCAAAAATGTGTCATACACAGCTTTCTTCATCTGAGTACATTTTTGATAAACAAGCCTACCATTGTAGAAGCTGTAAGTCCATAAATATAAATTGCTCAGTTGTTTATGGATTTCTTGAGTGAATAGTGGATTTCTACTGGCCAGGCTTCTGTGCATGTTGACAAAGGTGGTAGTTTCTTTCTCATTATTCTTTCTCTTACCAAACTACTTGTCTAGTTTTATTTTTTTAACTAATTCTGCATCTTGCGACCTCACAATCCTGACTTTGCTGTGCTACTTGTTTTCAAATGGCTTCTTACTGTAGTCTCCTGTACCTCATTGACTTCCCTGGTTTCCATCTGCATGCTTGCCATTGTAGCCATGGGACTTCAAAGCATGTTACTTTGTATGAACATCATCACTTTATTCTTGCTTATCAACACTGAGTGGTACTTCACTTTGTATTATAGCATTAATATAATAGCAGGTGTTAATCTGTGTAGTATTCTTATTCAAGCAACTATGAAGCCTTGCAACCCCTCCTACAGCTGGTGACCCAAAGTCCTTGAACCCAAGGTGTTTCCATCCAGATCACCTATTGCAAGAAACATAGCTGACAAAGCATGTGAAAGCAGCAACAAGTCTCTGTGACAGAATTACTGCCACTAGGAGAGTGGCTCCACGCAATGATGCTGCAGGATTGAACTGTGGGTGGGGAATCCATGCAGTGTGCTGAAGTCCAGTCTGTGACAGAGAACTGGACAGGGGCTGTAGTTCCTTTGTCTGGTCAGATACTAAGATTAAGAAACATAGGCTATAGCTGAAAATAAATACTGCAATTAGCAAACTTTACAGTTGCTGATAGGTAAGCATGACCTTTTCTTTTTTCTTCCTTCACCCTAGCATATCCAACCCCTGTAGTAAGTTTCAGGCATCGGAAGCCACTCTTTGGAGAGATTGGGCACACAATTATGAATCTACTTGTTGTGAGTAAATGTTTTATTCACTTCCTTTGTTGTATTTACATAATTTAGATTATGTAAAATGTTCTCAAAACTCTGATTCTTGAGAGCAATGTTATTTTTGGCAAAGGGAAAGGGCAAGGGCAAGTATTTTTGTTCTTCATACCTGACTTGAAACTTTCTTGCTAATGAGTGTGAGTGAGAAAAGCCGTGTCTTTCACATTATATTGTTCCACATTAGTTCTGGTAGTAAGAAATGGCTTTAACTGAATAAGGAAAAAATGTTGACATTTACAGTGAAGCTGGTAGTAATCATTGTTCAGTTGCATTTTCCTCTTCCAGGTGTTGGTGTGGTGCAGGAATTCTAGTCTTAAGTCTGACATTTTTTAAATGTGAAAGATGACTTGACAGGCAGATGCTGTAGTCTAACTGTAATATTAATTACTTTGTCACACAAACTTAACCTTACCACAGTTAACCAGTCTGACTGTCTTATGTGAAGAAGTTTTTGGCAAAATCATCAGAGTAAGTCAAGTCTGTAATTTATGCTGTTCCCTGTGGAAGTTTTTCCTCTGTTATCCAAATAATCTGATTTAAACTGGTAGGCCTGTATTCCTGACTTAGTAACCTTCCTGTTCTAATTAATACTTACATAGAATCTATCCTTAATGCTGTCATCAAAAGTGCTGTAAGGCTATGGAAAGAATTGCATGTATTATTTAGGTGATCACTAAATCCTCTCCTAAGAGTCTAGAGACCATTAGAGCTGAGATGAATCTGTGGTCTTTGGCTCCTCTTTCCTTTTTTGACACTATTGATGTCCACGTCATTACATAAGGAATCAATCAGAGGTGTTGCACTATCTGAAAAATAGCGTGCTTTTTCTTAATGGAGAAACCTTACATTTTAATTCCATGAGCCAGCTCCCTGCCTGAATAGTAAAGTGCCAGTACCAATGTGGAATTGCATGTTCAGACTTTGAGGAATCTTAATGTTGTGTTGCTGATGAATGGGGCTTCTATGAAGTTTATTTTCAGCTGGATTAGAGTTACTTTGATTCTGGCTTCATAGCTGTGTTTGTAGCGTCAGCTTGAAGCAGACAGTGGGAATACGTACTTCTTGGCAGGATTACCTCTTTTGATGCAGCAGGAGTTTTAATTGTTAGATGACTGCAAAATGTTCTCTTGATGTTGCATTTTTAACTACCTGTGGTACAAATCCTTAGTTAAAGATCATATAAAAATCTCATACCACACAAGTGCCTGAGGTACTGGTAAATAATGGAGACATATAGATCACAGATGCTCTTTCCTTATTTTTGTAAAACCATACTAGCTTAATTGAAACTTCTAGTGAGCTGTTCATAAATACCCTTCTTGCTATAGCTGTGCTCACTGAGGAAGATACTGATGATCTGTCTCAGCGGGTGATATTTTTCAGCTGAACTAGTAAAGGCAAATGAGACCATCTTATACCTAATGTTGTTCTGGAATAAAACAGACTAGAGAGATTTTGCAAAAGTGGCTGAGATGATGGATGGTAACTTCTGTCAGAGAAAGGTATAAGAAGCACTCCAGTATTCAAGCTACAACTCTGCAAGTTAGATCTGTAGGGGACAGAGTGTAAACCTGGAAATGAACTAGAATAGTAGCTTCCATGCTTTGCTTTTCTGTCAGAGAAGAAGGACATTGAAGTATTTTTGTTATCTAAAACACTGTAAGATCCTAATGTGCATAAAGTAGTCATTGTCTAAATAACCCACTGGTAAATACAGGTATCTTGTCAGTGCTATAAATTTGTTAATATATTCAGTAAGGTACCCTTCACATACAGAACAGTTGGAAAAAATTAATCACTAATCTTTAACCGCCCTTAATGTCATTACTCTTTAGAAGTATTACAGATGTATGTAAAGTACTTTTATAACAAATATTAAAGATAAAAGGTAAGAAAATTATCCTTGTCTGCTAACGTAAAAGCTTTGTCTGTTATAGGACCTTAGAAATTATCAGTATACTTTGCATACCATAGACAACCTGTTTGTTCATGTGGAAATGGGTAGAAGCTGTATTAAAATACCCCTAAGGAAGTATAATGAGGTGAGTAAAATCATCCTGATTAGCTTTCTAATCAAAACTGCTTTAGTCTTTTCATATAATAAGTCACATCTTTTGTAATGAGCTCTTTTAAAGCCAACAAGAAAACAAAAAAAAAAAGCCCACACCAACAAAACAGAAGGTGGTTCTTAGAGGTTGTAATGTTTTTATTCTGTAGTTAGTTTCCAGGCAGTTCTGTAAGGGAATTCTCCACTTGGTAGCAGGTTGCTGTGCAGTAGACTCTGAACTTTGACCTGATGTAAGCGTGTGGTGGAGGGAGGCCATGAAATTATCTGAGCACAAATTTCCTTCTTCCTGGATGTCTTTGAAGGTGGATGATGATGAATGAAAAGCTGAGCTTTAGGATAACTGTTGAATGCTGAAAAACCATCAATTTCTTCAGAATCTTTTAGCATGTATTTTCAAGGATTATCTCCTGATGATGGTGTTTTACTTAAAAAAAAAAAAAAAAAATCAATCTTTCTTGCCAGTGTAGTTATTACAATTTGTTTACTTCACCTTTAATTGAAAAAAACCTACTGAATAGTAAATTGTGTGAGGCTTAATGCATGTTTTCAACTTCTGGCCTATAAAATCCTTACAAATGATACTCTGCATTGTCTAGTGGTACTGAGACGTACTCATCCCTTTCACCTGAAGTAGTACTTTTAATCATGCTTAGTGTTCCTCCAGCTAGTCACAGCAAACTGCATGGTTCAGATTCTCTGGAATTAACTAAGTGAATAATATTTGGCATTTGTTTTGAGAGTTGGATTTTTCTGATGTCTTATATTTGAGTACTGCAAAATGAGATGTGTTGGTTGAATGACCAGTTTTCTACTGACAGGTAATGAAGGTGATAAATTCTTCTAATGAACATGTGATTAGTATTGGAGCAAGTTTTAATACTGAAGCAGATTCTCACTTAGTGTGTGTGCAGAATAAGCATGGTCTCTATCACACACAAGCAATCAGTGCTACTGGACATCCAAGGAAAGGTAAGCTGCCTAGTTCAGTTTGTGGAAAAAAAAAAATCACATTTCTAAAGCAGAAATGTAAGTTGACTTTTAGGCTGCAAGGAAAATATGTATTCCCAGTAAATAGTTGAGATTAGAAGTTCAGCATTCAAGCAGACAAGTAATTTGATTGCAAAAAAATGTTGCTGTTTTATATCAACACTTAGTTACCTTTTACAAATGTTACATTAAATGGAGACTAATACTCTTTTCCTCTGTTTCCAGAATATTACTAATAAGAGTTTACATTTTCAGATATCATCAGATTCTTCACATATTTAGAAATTAAATTTAATATGGTGTGAATTAAGCAATATATTTACATATGTAAACAAAATACCTCAATAACTGAGTGTATGGAAATACGGTGAGTACTTCTATACAACACCTAGCAAAGTGATACAACAACCTATAGGGAGTGCAGAGGTATCTTTTAGGTTCTGAAAGTGTTACAGCTATGCACTGTGGCAGTGCATCTGGATGATGAGTCGTGTGTTTCAACAAGGCTCTTTAGTTGTGGGGGAACTCCAGATTGATAGGGCTGTGCTCTTACCATCTCTGCTGTCAACTTAAAATGTTGTTCTGCACTTCATTAAGCAAACCACTGTGTGTAACTAACAAATTTATGCAAATTTATGAATGGGAATTCACTTATGTCATCTTTCACTTGCTTTTAGTATGACTGAAAATGTTCTAAACTTCAGGAATATCATCTGTAAATAAATTAAATTTAAAAGTTGAGTGGCATTACTGTTTTAAAAGACAAAAAACAACAAAACAACCCCAAACACCCACACCACTATTTATTTAGCTGTGTCTCCTCTTTGTATATGAAGCTCCTCTGGCTTGCCTCTGTTGGCTTGCCACCAGTATCTTAAAAGGATACTGTATGGACTCAAAGTAAGTTAACAGAGCTGGTCTTTTTGCTCAGGTCTAAGCGGAAAAAATTCTTCTCTCTAAAGAAACTTATGTTTCATATCATCCTATCAGTAAAAGATGTCTACTTTCAGTATAGCAGTACCTTTTTTGCCTGCATTTTTAAAAAGGAATGCAAGTTCAGTGGTTGTGGTGACAAACTTGGGTGATATAAAGTGGTACTCATTTTGCTTCTGCATTTTATAGTTACAGGTGCATGTTTTGTGGTGTTTAATGGAGCCTTAAAAATGTCTTCAGGATTTCTAGCTAAATCCAGTATAGTTGAAGGTAAGAATTTTCCTCTATGGTTTCTTTTTAAGAGAACCTAAAAAAAAAAAAAACAAAACAGCAGTCTTGTGCAAGATCTTTATTCCTCAGTAAGCTAAACTCTTTCTTTTCATGATTTTTAACTTTGTAGAAAACCTACTGCAAATGCTGTATTAAAAAAACACATGCTAGTTCACCTATTTGTTTTAAAACATAGTAAGTTTTAACTCTTTTTGCTTTAGTCAATGCAGGCCTGTTATTTACGCTGCCAATACCTAGAACTATTTTCACTGCTGTATTGATGAAATACATATATACATAAATGCAAAAAACCTTCCAAGATAAGCCTAAGATTAATCTTTTAGTCTTACTTCTGTTGACAAAGTTTTTCATTACTGCCTCTCTTATGTAGTATTTAATGCTGTAGTTGGGGATGCAGTGAATTTGATATGCATTTATTAATGAGCTGTAGGAGAGGGTTGGTCCCACTGGAATTTAAGCCAAGATTCTACTAAAGCTGTGCTACTCTTTCTGTAGATAAGCTGGATTTTCAACTGTTTTTCTTCTAGATGGACTAATGGTACAGATAACGCCAGAAACGATGGAAAGTCTACGTCAGGCGTTAAGAGACAAGAAGGACTTTAAAATAACTTGTGGCAAAACAGATACAGGAGACATAAAAGAATATGTAGATATTTGCTGGGTAGAAAATGAAGAAAAAACAAACAAAGGGTAAATGTATTACCAAATAAAAACATCTTAGAGTTCTTGTTCACAACTTTCAAATATCCATCTTTAATTTCTTGAAATTAATCTAAAGTATTTTTATTGAAAGGAAGTACTTGATACTAAAACCTGAAAGGGGTTAGAATAGTAAACTACCTGCAGTCCTCTAGATGTCACTAACAGAACAATTTTGGTTGTAGTTCACCAAAATTTAATACTGTTCTCTCTGTTCAGAAAGCTGACAGGAAAAGTTTGTGAACCCTCAGTTTCCTTTGAAAGTCATCTATAAAATCAGTAATCAGTTTTTGTGAGGATGCAGTTAACCCCCCTTAAACTCACTTGTCTCGGGCAGGCTTGGAAGTACATAGTACTGCCCTTGGCCATTCACTGCACGGAATGCCAGTATTCAGCAAAGTGGAATGAGATCTAAGACATCTTTATTGGATGTGATTTGAATGCTTGTTCATGTATCTTCAAACTTTCATTATACATCCCTAACTCAAAACTTGTCTTAAGTTATTTCTCAGGCCACAGGTTTAACTTGGTATGCCTTTTTGTGTGGCTTCTCTGACCAGTTAGAACAAACAGTGTTTTACCTGAGTTGGTTTATAGCTTCTTAAACTTTAAGTTTTTATGAAGTATTGTTTGCTCCCTATTTAGAATATTTCTTTTTGTAGCATCTGTATTTTTGTGATGCATGTCCTGTATTACTTTTTGTTGTAAAGCTGTTTAAATAGACTTTAAGGATGGCTAAACATTACTTCATACATGTTAATCTAAGTCATTAAATGTTGTCTTAATTATTAACCATACTGTTATCTTCCGTAGAATTTTAAGCCCCATCGATGGAAAATCAATGGAAGGAACTCAGAGTGAAAAAATACTACAAGGCAGAGACATTGAAAGAGAGGGAAAAGTTATGAAGTGTACTGAAGTTAGTAAATTAAATTGCTCTTGAGCCTTTTTGCTATGTTTTACAATTGTTAAGTGGTAAAGTGATCATACTAAGGGATACTACTAAAGAAACAAACTGATTTCATGTATAGCCCTATTGATAGACAGAATGTTCTCCATAGCTCTTTAAATTTACATACTTATTTTTCTTCTCTGAAAAAAAGGCTGTTAGCATTGATAACTCTATATGTAATCTAGATATTCCCACAGTCACTTAATAGACAAAATACTAGAAAACTTTGCCAGCAAACAAGCATTATAGCTTGCTCTGTTCTGCATTTACATGTAAACTGAATTACTCTTTTCCTTACTTTTAATATAACCAAGCTGCTGATTGTCCTTATCCTTTCTATAATTTCAGGTGTACTATTTTCTAAAGGACCATGAACTATCCAGTCCTGTTCATCACCAGTTTGCTAAAGAAATTGCTACTGCCTGCAGTACTGCTCTTTGCCCACAGCTTAAAACCTTGAAAAATAATGGGATGAATAAAATAGGCCTAAGAGTTTCTATTGACTCAGATATGGTAATCTTTCAATTTTTATTGCAGACACTCTTCAACTGAAACCTTGTTCTTGTAAAGACCTTGGATCTCTTTCTGAATGTTTCTAGCTTTTTGCCCTACCTCAGATCCAGACTGAGGGTGAAATTTCATGAAGAAGCTGTTTTAATGACTAGTTTTTCTTGAAAGGAATTATTCTGCCCAAATTCCCTAATAGCTGCTTGCAGTAAGCTATCAGTCCTTCCGTAGTTCTAAGTCTCTCTGTCATTCATCTGCCTCCGAGGTCAGTCAATCTAGAGAATTGCAGAGCTAATTTTCTGATGTTTTTCCTAAAAGTGTGTAGTCTTCTGCTGGTTTTGCTCCCTAATGTAGTTCCGTAAGGGATATTTGTACCAAAATCTGTACAGCAGAGGACAGGTCTGCCCAGCTGAGGCTGGAAGAGAGGGAAGACAGGGCTATCCAGCATGCGATGTCCCTCAAAGATCACAACTTTTGAACAATTCAGTTCCTTGCCTTTGAAGGTGTTCTGTGTTACACTTCTTTACCTTTTTTGAGGGAAGCTGGAAATCAAGTCCTGAAAGTCTAGTTTTCAGTAGTATATTTTGAAATTAATCTAATAGTAACTGTGATACTAGGATGTGATCAGATCACTCTTGGATACCAGACCGAAGCAGTCTGGGATGCAGAGGAAGGGGATGTGTGGCCCTGTAAACCCATGGTGACTGCTGCCTGCTTCTCAATGGCAAACTTTATAGGTCATGATTGACTTCAAAACTCATCCAGTTGACAGTGTTCTAATGTTATTTTGTCATTTCATGCTATCTGAAATATTCTTTTACTGATACTACACTTTTGTGTTGACTTGTTAATTAAAGTGTTAATGTCAACATTAATATATTTTCCTTCTAGGTTGAGTACTTAGCTGGATCTGGAGATTCCCTTCTTCCACAGAACTATCTGAATGAACTGGACAATGCTCTGATTCCTGTGATTCATGGTGGGATGTCAGATCCTGCAAGTCTACCATTGAAAATGGAATTAATATTTTTTATTATAGAACATCTGTTTTAATGAGGCTGATTACAGGAAATATACTGATTTGCTAGATCTGAACACCAAAGTTTTAATTCTACAAACACTAAAAATGTTAAAGTTTCTAAACCTGTTATAATAGATTTTCAAACTTTTTTAAACCCTTAAATCCCTCTGGTTACTTTACTGCAAAAGAATTGTAGTTTGTAATGTTTCAGAAAGTTCTGAAAGTTTACACTTAATACAGGTGCGGAAGGGGGCAGGTTTTGTTACCTCTTAAACACAGTTGTAGCATTTACTATATGTAGTGTAACTTTAAGCCATACAATCTTGCCTCTTAGCCTGGGATAAATGTGTTACTAAAAGTTGCTATGGTTAGATCTAATCTCTGCAGCATGTGATTTCCATGTGCAATGAGCTAAACACTGAAGCTGGCACAAAACTGTTTTCTTGCCATTTGAGATTCAAATACGAGATCTTCTGTAGGTGACTGCAAACTTCATGTGTCTGTACAAAATACAAGTGACACTTGTTTATGGTCAGCATGAGGAAGAATTTTGCAGGTATGTTTATGACGACTTTGTTGAAGTCCTTAATATTAGGATATTATGCTGCTGCTTCAGGAACATATGCTCTGAATTAATTTTTTTACAGAGTAAGTTTTCTTTCTTGTATTTATAAGGATTTATTGAACTTAAATGGATGCTATTTTTATAAATACTGATGGGTTTGAGTTCAGAAGTCCTGATGCCATTTGACCTTTCAAGGATTAATAAAAAACCAGATTACCCATGACGTAATCTACATTTAGCAATAAATCAGACAAGAGTTCTGCAATATCTTTTCTGTTCCTGTCTACTGCTCTTGCCACCTCTTAGTAGCCACCTGTACTTTCAGGGAGAATTGATGTATTAAGTGTGAATTTTCACGAACAGATTGATTTTTAGTATACATGAGGTTCTTGTATAGTATGTATTTTTGATATTGGGTCATTAAAATCTATTTATGTATTTGTGATGCATGTGATTTGTACTGAGGTTCAGCAAACCATAGTTGGGGTTTTGTTAACTGTCACACAACTGTTTATCAAGAACAGAACCAAAACTAAATATATACAAAATCTGTATTGTTTTCAGTAAAAATGCTGGTACTATTTTATAATGAGACTATGAAAACTTCGATGCCTTCTTGATGCTAAATAGGGGATATCTTATGTTTTTGTATCAAAAACAATTTGTAACTTAATCTGATCTGCCGTGCTCCTACCTGTGCTTGAAAATACCAGTTCTAGAAGAGTTCAAGGCTTCAAGATCGTATCCTGGAGGAAACCGAGGCAGCGTTTGAGCTAATTAACGTAACGTCCTCAGAGAAACTGCAGTTCTGGAGGAGAGCTGAGGACTGCGCCTCGCGCAGGACGAACCAAACCTGTCGCTGCAGCCGGACCGTCAAGGGAACCGCAGCAGAAAGGTGACAGCAGCGAGGGGCTGCCCGGGGTGGCTGTACGCCCACCCCCCCGCGCCGCGCTGCCTGCGCGTGGGGATAACCGGAGCAACGGCTGGCTCTGCCCACTTACCCTGTACTAACTCCCTTTAACTGATGATCAGTAAAGAAAGTTAACTAAAATGCTTGACGCTTTACCTCAGCTTTGGTGGTGGTGTTTTTTGTTCTTTACGGTGGATGGGTCTTCGCTGCTTTTTTTTTTTTTTTTTTTTTTTTTTTTTTTGGGGGGGGGGGGGGGGGGTGGGGCGGGGCGTGATTATCCTCGCAGTCCGGTTTCCGCCGCCTTTGGCGCGGGGGTGGGGGGGCTGCCTTGGCTCCGCTCAGGCGGGCCGCCGATTCCGCTTCCTGCGGAAATACTCCCCGTCAGCGGCCCTTCCCCGGGCCGGAGGGCGGCTGCCCCGCGGGGCCCGGCCCGGCCGCCGCCCGCCTCAGCAGGCGGAGGATTCCCCTTCCCCCGCCGCAGCGGCGGGGCGGGCCCTGGCGAGGCGATGGCGCATGAGGCGCAGGGTAAGAGCGGCGGGGCCGCCGTCCCCTCCCCGGTCCCGCGGTGATGGGCGTGGGGGGGGGGCCCGGTGGCGGTCCCGCCGAGTGGGGGGTGCTGAGGCGGAGGTCTCCCCTTCGCGCCGCCGCAGGCGCCTGGAGCGAGGAGGCGGTGGAGCACTTTCTGAGGTCGCAGCGCATCCCAGCGAGAGACGGGGCGGCCATTCGGTGGTTCCACGCCGCCAACAGCAAGGCCCGAGCCGCGGAGGCCGCGAGAAGTAAGTGTGGGCGGCTTCCTCGGCTTAACGTTGAGGGTCGATGGAGAGTGGGGCCTGGTCGGGCGCTCCGGGTTTGTCTTCCAGGTGGGAGGCTCCTCGATGTCTGCCTGTCCCAGGACAGCTGTCCGTCCCAGTAAACCACCGGGCCGGCATCTCCAAGGACAAGGTTTGGAGGTGGTACCCTTTTATTAGACAAACTTGCTTAGTTGTGAAAAGACAACGCGCTTCGAGGTGTGCCCACCCTCGCTCAGGTCATACAGCCCTTCATCCTCTACCATCAGATCAGAGCCACGGTTAAGGGGCCTTCTGGTTTCACACTTTCGAACTAAGCTTACCTGGAGCGGTGTTCAGGTTGTGTGTTTGCGTAGAGGAACACAAAATCTGCTGCAGGTGAAACTGGTTTCTCTCATGTGGTCATACTGAGGTTAGACCGCAGCCCCGCGTTGTGCCCAGCCTGGGCAGCAGTGGTCCCGTTGTCCCCGTTCTTTCCTGGGTGTTCTCACAGTGGGTCCCCCTTCCCCACGTGCAGAGGCTTCTGTTCGTGCGTCTGCTCTAGCGAGCAGAAAACAGAAGTGACCTGATTAAATCCATCCATCCCTCCTTCCCGCTGTCCGCTGAGGTTTGGTATCAGTGCTGTTAAAAGGACAGCAGGCAGTGGAGCAAAACCTCATGGTGAAACTACTGTAACTGAAGCCAGCTTTGCCCCAGGGGCCTGCCCGCTGAGCAGCAGCTGAATTGCTGTGAGGATAGGTGCTTGTGACGGCCTTGTCGGGGCTATACTGCAAGCCCCATATTTCTGAAACAGTTAAGGACCCCAGGGTAGTTTTGACCCTATGTGGGTGGGTCTTCTGGATCTTTTTAGGATTGTTTGAAATTGTGTAGTGTTGTAACACTGGGTAATACTTCTTAGATTCTATGGGATGCTTTTATTACTGCTTTCCCCCCCTCATTTTCTTCAAGATCATTAAAGTGTTTCAGGTTGCGAGCAGTTTATTTTAGTGAATTTTAATTTAATTTACGTGAATACTGGGGAAATGTGGAATTTATTTATGTAATTTTAAAAGTAATTTGCTTTCTATTGACTGTAAAATCATTATTATCTTCTTTAGTATTATTTCAGTCTAAGTAACAGTATAAACTGAATTCTCTGCAAAGCTGGTAGTTCTGCCCAGACTCTGAGATGCTTCTCATTACAGAAAGGTGTTTTCAACAGCTTGTATCGTTCTTAAGATTGCCACTCACTTGTCTTGTGTTTCAGCTGCCATTTTCCTGGCAGATGCTTCTGGCTGGCTGACTTTTTAAAAAAATTTTGGCTGAGGTGGGTTGGTCAGTTTTGAGAATGAGACAAGGGGAGTACTCTGTCTCTGGCAGTGTTAAAATCTTCTGTTTACCTTTTCTCTAAAAGGCTCTGTCTGGGACCCTGTTTTAAGAGGAAAAGATTTGAAATTTCACAAGAGTGGATTTACATTTTTGATGTTCCTTTTGCCATTCCTGTGAAAAAAATGTGGTTACTTGTCCAAATGTATTTACAAAAACCAATTTTCACATGCATGTAGATTTCTAAAGAGTTCAGTGGCTAAATTATCCAAAGAAATGCATATCTCTTGGTCATACTGGGTGATCTTTGTGGAATAAGTGTGCATAGTCCAGTGTAGAAAGATGTGCTCTGTAATTGTTACTCTGAAGCGGACACTGGAACTATTGGGTTTGCTTCTGGTGGAGCATTCATTTTTTTAAATCAACAGGTGATGTTCATATGATAGAAGCAGATGTTGTTCTTCGTGGTGGCAAGGGAGGAAATGGCGACCCTATTATGGCTCATCCACCTGAAACAGACAGTGACAACACGTTGCAGGAATGGCTAAAAGAGATTGTCAACACAGATAAAGGCATCAAGCTGGATTTTAAGAGGTATCACAAGACAAAAAGATTTTTATATTGTTTCTTTCTTAAAAATTCATAATTTTACAGGTATTGCTATCTTTTGATGATATGAGACCAGGCTTTTTTTTACTGTGCAATTTAGTGTAATGCATTCCTTCCTGAACAGAAGATGAGGAAACACAAGCAGTATTACTAAATGCATTACAAGAATAAAATCTTTAAAAGTGTTTTAACTACAAATAATAATTTTATATTTAGTGGATTAGTTACTGAGTTGTTACTGAGCAAATTTTTCCCGTCAGGAAAAGCTGAAATGATAGTGCCTAACTGTAAAGCTCCTATCAGTTTTCTGCTTGTGCAAAGAAGTTGGGAAAGAGAACCTTCTGGCTGGGAAATAGACAGTGGCTCCGTGGCTGCAAATGGGGCTGAGCCCCCTGGGTCTCTGCCTGGCAGAAGACAGGTCTCTCCTGCTGTCACTCCACTTTCTTGATGTCATTCTCTATCGTCCATGGAAGGGGGAATAAAAGTGTTGAGGTTTTTCAAGGAGCTTCTGAAAAGACAATTCCTGTTCCAGGTCTGCTGAAGTTCATAATCATTTGGAAACATCATCCCATACCAGCATGAATATCTTTATTTTCCCAGAGTTTTTTGGTTTTCCCCCTGAAGGAGAGGAATTCTGTTTCCTGATCAGCTCCAATACTAACAATCTACTGGGGATGTCTCAATTCAAGAATTAGGTGTACTTCTTTGAATATATGATCTCATACGACATATGAGTTGGTGGTAGATTTCTTCAGCATGGTTTGTGATACAGAAAAGTTGTATTGCTTTTTGTGTGGTAAGGTGCATGTATACTGAAGTAAATTAAATTTCTTTGGCCCAGCTTATTAATTAAATTTCCAGATATTCATTCAGAATTTTAACCATTGGCTGTTTCATCATCTTTAATGAAAAATACACGTGAAAACCCCATGGGATTGCCTTGAAAAGTTTGAAATGAGGTTTAAAGAGAGCTGTGATTTTCAGACATATACCTCTGCGACTCCTAACTTTAGCTGTATCTTAGTTTGCATGTACAATGTCTATTTTTGCAGCAGATGGAGAATCCACCACCACATTAAAAATAACTTCATCAGTGTCTAAGCATGCTATAGAAATGCAAAAATAAAAAGCGAGATAGCTGTAAAATGTGATTTGCACCTCTTGTTCTGTGTAATGCAGTCACAGTTTTCATGTGAAAGTTCATGAAAATACAGAAGATGTGGGCAGGCTAAATGCTTTGTTACAGAATCTGCAAATGTCTGCCTGGACAGAGATGGGAAAGGAAAAGAGAAGTAGGCGTTTGGTTTTATTTGTTGAGTTTGAGGGGTTTTTCATTTTAATTATTGTTTAAATTAATTTTAAAACATCTACCTCTTATTTTTCCACAAGGAATTTTCAGCCAAGTGCAGTGATTTTAAAAAAGCTTTTAAAATTATGTTGCATTATAAAAGTCTAATTGTATAAAAGCATTTAAAAAATACAGGCACACAGTGCAGATACACTCAAATGAGTGATAACAAAATTTGATGTTCTTTTGGATAATATTTCTTTGGATACCATTGCTGAAGTTTTGAAGATTATTTCAACAGCACTTGAAAAGAAATATTTTGTATATTTCTAATATGTCAGCTTGATTGACCACATAGTCACATTTCCTGCTGGCTTTATCTACAGGAATGAATGTATTCTGCAAAAGGACTTCAGAGTCCCACTTCAAAAATGACAGAGTCATTCTACATGGATTCAGCATTACGTTTAAATTTTCCAGATGCTGTGCAGTAAAAACAGTGCTGTCTGGGGTTTTTTTGTTTATTTCAAGAGATGCTGCCTTGGGCTTTTTTTCTTTCTTTACATTATCTTGTACTTTGTAGTAAAAAGGAAGTCATCCCACTGGCTTTGACATGTCTTGTATATGGAAAAATGTGAACTATTCTGGCCTCAGACAATGAGAAATACTTGAGCCAATAATGTTAACCTAAGCCATCACTAGCTTTTCTCTAAGACTTGAGCTAATACTGACTGAAAGCATTAAGTGGAATTCCTGCCACTCTTCAGTTTTCTCAGCAATACAAAAGTTAAAATGTACAAAATGTCTCTTCACAGGAAACAACATGGGCAGGTCAGGGAACAGTTTTTGGCTTTAGAGCTAACCTTAGGTAACAACTGGCTGCCATTCCCATTTTTGGCTGCAAATCCTGACATGATTCACCTGACCTCATCATGAGCCAGGTTAGGGAATAACTTGGTACAGAGCCATCCTCCACAAAACAATGAGAATAGTTGTTTACTACTTTATGTCCCCAAAACTCACAGACTGATGCTGAGGTGACCATCAGCACTGGTGTAAAAGAGGCTGGAGACAAAATGGCCTTGGAACTGGGAAGATGTGGTAGCAGTTAGCCGTCATCTGTGTTGTTCAAACAGGCCCACAGAGCACGTAACCTGTGGTTTATATCCGTGTAGGCTGAAGCAGTTGTGATCCTCTCCTTGCTCTTCACAGTGCCTTCTCTTCCTCTTCCTTTTCATGGTGCTCCTTTGACACCCAGAGGGACCAGTTTAGGATATTGAACGGGGAAGCTAACCCTGCAGAACACCGGGAAGAATTTTCTCTTGTCTCAGTTCTTTGTCAGGTCACAGCAAGATTTTGAGGAAAAGCTAGATGATGGCTTATTCGGAGCTCACAGGAGAAAGCACAGGTCCTTACTATTAGTAAGGAAATCACAACTTGGAACATAATGATTTTAAATTTCTGAATGTTACATAGAAAGTTAATTAATTTGCTGTGAGAGAAAAAAATTGCATATTTTCTTGGCATTGATTCCTTTTCCCCAATATTCCACATTTCCTTTCCTTCCACAGCACTGCTGTTTTGAAAGTTTTGGTAGGATAGAAAAAGAATTATTGTTTGTCTTCTAGTTACGCTTTTGATTTGAGAGAACAGTGAGAATATGTGACTTTTGTTAAACGCTTACAATGGTGCTACATTGGTTGCTTAAGTGACTACATCTCATACTTAATAATTAGCTGTAGGATGAACATCTGCTGGGCAAACTCCTTTGTGCTGCCACTACTATGCCACACTTCTGAGCTGTGGGAACAACCACTTCAGAAGTGCTAGAGCCTGTAGGGGCTTAATTAAAAGGCTTCCTAAGAGTTCAATAGCATCCAAGTCTTAACGGGACAGGAGTTAGAAGACCCATGAGCTAAGAGTCATGAAGAAGTTCATATTGGGCAGCAGGGACACAAGAGGCTTAAGTTTATTTACACCAGCAGTAATAGTTACCTTATGGTAGAAAAGGTCCTCAGCATTCACTCTCTGGCTTACAGGCAGTTTCATTAGCATATCCACCTACATATGTACTGTACCTTTCCCATCTTCATTCAGAGTGAGGTGTCTCATCTCACCATGTGTCATTGGTACAGCCTAGAAGCCGTGCAGCCTTCCTTGGAGCTTCTTGAACATGTGAAGCAGCATTTGAGGCGACCTGTTTGGATCAATGCAGACATCCTACCAGGACCTAATGGAAATAGTGCTGTAGTGGATGCAAAAGGGTTCCTCAACACTGTCACTTCGTTTTTCCCAAACGTAACCTTGTCACTGGGATGGACAACAGGCTGGCACCCTGACAAGTACAATAAAGGTAAAGATAGAAAATTTAATGCTTACACTGTGTAGTCTGTTTTCTTCAAATTAATAATTGATTCAGAATAAGTTATATGCCACCTGATCAGTTTGAAAATAATAGTGAGTGTAAGAAGAATTATTTTCTTTATTGGTGTATATCCCATAGTGTTTTATAGCAACTCAGTGTTTCAGTTGCAGCAGAACTGTATGAAAAATCTAACATTTGTTGTTAAACAGTATTTTATTCTTCATTTGCACATATTGAGGAATTTTTGGGGACAAATTACTTACACCCTGTTCCAGGTAGTCTACTCTCTGAATCCTAGGAGGATTGGTTGGTAACTGGAATTCTGGCGCATTTCCTGAAGAAAAATAGATTAGCTGGAAATTTAAAATCCTATCAGTGTGTTTTTGCAGTAGATAACTGAAATCAAATTGTAGGTTAACACTGTGTTTAACATTTAATTTCTGTTGAATAATTGCATTTTTGCAGTAAATTTTCCAATTTGTTGATGTTAGTAACTTTTTAAAATCTCAGGTTTAAGAATCTAGTTGAAGTTTCATACTGTTAATCCCTAACATGAATTTAGATCATGAACATGTAACTTTTATCCTAGGGTCCTTTTCACAGGCTTCCTCTCATAATTCTCACAACTGCTTTTTTAGGGTGTTTTAATCTATGCACATGCATTTGTGTGCAGTAGTATAGTCTCCACCAACATTGCCTGTAACTACAATGGCAAAATTAGACACCTTTGCAAATTTCTCATTGTTCATTAGCAAGATTTAATACCGTTATAAGGATTTTGATGTGTGTTACACAGTAATTCTATTAAACTATAATATGTCGTCCAGAGTATTTTCAATGCAGTAGGAAGTTGCTGGAAGTAATGTACTTGGACGTACTGTTCTGAGTAATCTTTTTTAATAAATGTAACTTTATCTCCATTCTAAATTTCAGTTTATGATGAACCTAATTAAGTATATACTGTAAGAATTGAGAAAACCAGCTTATTTGACTGATTTCAATTACAAGTTGCTGTTTGCCCAACAAAATATGTTTTTTTAAGATTTGATGCTCAAAGTCTTTTCAGTCACCACACTGCATATGAGTACTTGAGAAAAAAAATATTAACCGTTGTTGAAGATTTTCATAGCCTGTAGAAATAAGAGTATTAAATACCATTTTAACCAGCTCCAGTGCTTGTAAAAATCTTGACAACAGGCACTTGAAGCGTTTTAGATTACTTGAGCTTAGCATTTTTTAAGTACAAAACATCTTACATGCTTCATTTCTTTATAATTTAATGTCTTCTATTGCATTCATTCAATTTTTTTTCTAAATTTTTCAAAATGTTTTTTTGTTTTAAGGATCACTATCAAGTTAAAGCTAATCTATGTTGAAGTCAATGGCAACATGGTTTTTGGAGAGAGAGCAAAGATACAATTTCATGGATGTTAGAAAATGTCACATTCTATAGCTATATGTAAAATAACACTGCAATTAATAGAAATAAATATTTTCAATGTAAGTTTATTTTTCCATATTAGTATTGCTTTTCTCCTCTGGGACAATGGCATTTTTTTATTTACAATTATTTAATTTTAGTTACGTCATTGTCATGAAACCTATGTTTGCTCTTGTACTATCTTGCAACATAACCATTCTAGAATTTGTTGTGTCCTTATAGAGATTTTATTTGCGAAGAATTATTTTTAATTAAATGTTCTTTATTGTAGGCTATGATTGGATGATGGTGAAGGAAATGGCTCAGATATGCAGTACACTTCCCCAGCCTGTAACTTTCCCTGTAAGAGCAGCATTAGTACAACAGTCAATATCTGAGCTCTGTTGGTTAATGCAACAGTCAGATAGGTAAGTTTGAGGGCCTATATTTTTAGCTGTCTTTATTACAAAGGCACATGCTTGTTTATATTAAGTATAGCACAGTTATGTGTACATACTTAACCCAATTACACTGATAATATTTTTTCTTCTAGGTTATCCATTCAGCTCTTTAATTTCTTCAGTTCTCAAATTGTGTTGTCATACAGAAGTGGTCACTATTAATTTCTTTAAAATAATAAAATTCCAGAAACCTATTTTAAAATTATTTACTGTAAGTAGTGAATCTTGTGTAGGCTTGTAATCCAGTTGCATCATAAACATTTCATAAGATGAGTGTAGTTAAATAGACTAAGTAGTTGGATGTTGCAATTTGGAATTAATTAAATTTAAATACTTACATTTTATAGACACTTTATTACTGTATTCAGTGTTTATATTTTCTGTAATAATGTGATGTAAAAACATTAAAGATGATTTTTAGGTTGGAAGATAATAAGTGCTACACAGCTGATTTTGCTTAGGTACTTGAAATACATACAGTGGTTTCCAAAAATTGACGTTGTATTTCTTTCTAAAAATAGTTTTTATGAACCCATAACAATCTCACAGAAAAAATGTATTTACATGTAATAGAATGAGACTAAAACCTGCTTTGTGCATATTGTCTTTTACTCATCTCTTTCACCTACTTTGCCTACCTATACTTTAATAAAGTTGTTCCTTTAGGCACCAACCAAAGTAAAAGCCCAAGACAGGAAAATCAGAACACTGACTTGTATGGAAAATTTCTAAGCCATTAGAGACAACAGGTTGTAAAAAAATAAAGTGCTTTTTTTTTTTTCTCATTTATGGTGATGAATCAAGAGAGAAATTAGAATTAAACATTTAAAACTGGGAAACTAATTTTAAAATATTGTTAAGAGTATGTCTTGTGAATTGTGCCATTCTCAAATATGTTGTCATCGGATACAAGCATTATTGCCACTTAAATAATAGGTTTTTCTCTTTTAGCTCAGCATAAAAATCCTGTTTTTTCTTAGTGGCATGATTACAAAACAGAAATTCCTGGGTCAGTTTGCTGACGTACAACTAAATTCCGATTTTCCTGTATTTTAGATTAGTAGTTTTAATAAACTAAGGGGGAAAATGAAGTATTTGTCATGTGAAGATTGTGGAGAGTAATGCCTTTAAATGATACTCTGAAGTTCTTCAGGTTTTTTTAAGAGTTAACAATAAAGTCTGTGCAATTAATGAGAAAAGTGTATGTGATAAAGTACAGACAATAACATCCAGTTAATTGGGTGGCATCACTACAAATCATGTAGATGACAAAACATAGAGTACGAAAATCACCTGTAACTGAAATTGCTTCGTTATTTTCTGTTACAATGCTGTGCTTGTAACTATTTATTACTTTGTCAAACTTTAAATGCTGAGCCTGGTAAATTTCTTTTCTGGTTATCTGACTAAGACTTCTTATTTTATTCCTTGCTAGGTTTGGCAGAACAGTTCATACAAGGACCAAGCTACAGATAAATTGTTCTGGGTGGTGTAGGATTGTCCATCTTAAAAATTTTTCAGTCCTGTTTGGGAAGTTCTAGCAAGATTAGCTTTAGGAGCAAGATCTTGAAGTTTGGAGCCAAATCGTGTGACTTACCTCTGTAATGAGGAAAAAAAAATGTGTCGAAAGAATAGACCTCTGCAAATTTTAGTTTGTGAGTGTCAAATAGAGGTTTATTTAAAGACTATCAGTTGTGCTCTTCAGCTAGTCTGTTTGTACCAAGCTTTACGTGTGCCCTGTATGCAGCCTAGGATGTGTTTGATTGTGCCTGTTTCTCCGGGTAGCGTTTTGATGCAGCAAGTGCTTTTCCCAGTAACTTGAAGTCACTGTGGTAACTGTGTGAAGGCTGGAGAGACTCAGTGCTGTCGGTTGTAGCACAAATGCAAGATAGAGAGTGATGACTTCCCTGGGTGTAGAGGGGTGAGGGGGACAGGGACATATAAAACTGTTAATTCTAATAGTGCATAAATTGTGGTTGCTTAACTTTGAAATGTGAAGGAGATTAAGTTTTCAGTATTTAGTTACATTCCTAAAATTAAGATATCATAGTCCTAAATATTTTTAGGAGCTTATTAGTGCAATGTCTTTCTGTCTTACATGCTTTATCTTAAGATAATAACATGGGGTTTTTTTCTCTTTCTTTTTTATTATTTTTTCTTTTAATTTTTCTTGATGTAGATACAGCCTCACTGTTTGGACAGGAAAGGAAGATGCATATTCCATAGAAGATTTGCTTTACGTCCGAGAAAACTTTGATAAAAGTAGAGTTTATTATGACATCTTAGAGCCACAAAATTCTGAATTCAAAAAAGCCATAGGAGTAGCATAGTAAATACCAAGCAGGCAATCTCTGACCTTACAATACTTAGCTTCTTTAAATGTGGAGATTTCTTGTTCAGGAAAATACAATGTCCATCCCAAAGAATTGTATAGAACACAGCGGTGGTTTTTGGAGGAGTTTTTGCATAACACTTTATTGAAAGGCTTCTCAAAGAGAAATTTAATGCCACCTTTAATAGGTCAGACTTGTTACTCATGATATGCATGTTCCCTCTCATTCATCCAGTGGCATGTAGTAAAGTTTACTCATGTTACCTACCTTAATATACTAGTACTTCTTCCCTGCAAGCATATAGAGGGGAGAATGTTCCCAGCTGATAGTTGTGGACCAGAATAGTTTGCTACTAACTGCTTTTGTGTAAGACAAAGTCTGTGAGACAGTCAGTCTCTACCAAAGCCTGGTTTTGCCTTTTATAGAGGAGGAGAGGAGTCAAGACTGTATTAAGTACAGAACTTGCAGTTCCCAAAGGGGTTGTTTTGTAGCTCGTCTTGATACACTCAATTTTTAATGCCACTGCAAGTAATAATGTTCTATCAACATCCTAGTCAACAGAAGATTCTATTTGCTAGATGTGAGGAGTGGGATCCAAGATGCTACACATTCCAGGGAAAAAGAATGGTTATTTTTACAGAGTTAAAACTAATCAGGTTTTCTGCAATGTAGTAATTGTGCATTCCCCACCACAGCTTGGTTCCATGCTTTCTGAGCCATTGGCAGTATAGTCCTTGAATTGTGAGAAGGCTGAGTTGGGGTTGTAGCTGCACTGCAGGAGGTGGTGGGGCAAACAGATCCACCCCAAATGAATAGTCCTGTCCTGTACATAGAGCACAAAGATGGATTAGAGTGAGGTACACATCAGAGACAGCATCAGAAGAGCCACAATATAAGAGGGGAGTGCTGGTGATTCTTCCAAGAGTTTGAAACTAAATTTAAACATACCAGGAGTTACATAGAATGTTCTGCTGCAGTCTTTTTGAAAGCCAGAGGCTCTAAGAGTGAAGTAGCTGCACAGTGATTAGTGCTTACAGCAAAAATTGCACGTCGCTGTGATAGCACAGTTATTTTCTACATTCTCCTGGGTTTTTTTAATCTTTTTAATACTTTGTATTCTACAAATTCACAAATTTTAAAAATTGAACTTCCCTTGGAAGCTAAAATCATTGCGACCCTGCTTATCACCCGTAGGAAAAGTCCAGCCCATTTAATTTCAATCATTTTTTGCCTCTTTTGCTTCTACATCCCTTAAAATGAATACAGATACTCAAATCTGCAGATTGAGACGCAAGCTGGGTGTTGTTGCCTTCTGCCAAACATTACAAAGGCTTTTTTCACAATGTCAGAGGAGATTTTGATTCCTAAATGAAAGCTGATTCTGTGAAGAGGCATTACCCTGTCACCCTCTTGTCCTGCTTTTCCTGTTCCTCTCACATGTTTCCTGCAGGTATTGTGTTAACTTTTATGTTTTACACAACACTGGACAGGCTGTTAGTACTGAAGAGTTAATTACAGCAATTTTTGGTTCTTACATAGCATTAGTACAAATGTGATAGAAAAGTTAGTTATATTTATTAATCCTAAATCTTGAAATACGGTGATTTTATTCAGTCATTAAAATTCAAGATTCTTGGTTGTTACCTATGCTTCTTCTCCATGTTTAACTATTTTATGTTCTTAAGGGGTAGAGCTTCTGTTATTTTTGTCACCTACTAAGATACAATATACTTGGATAAAATTAGGAAACATTTTCCAAAATAAGGAAAAAAACTATCTAGTTGGAATAGTTACTTAATTTAATTTGCACAGTCAGTGAGCATGAATGATGGTAACCACCAAAAGGTCACGTTTGGCAGTGTGATTCCTTTTAATGAACTGGGAGAAATTATTTGTTGTTTAGTTCACTGTGACGTGATATGATTTGAACAGATTTAACCTCTCAGTTCTTTACAGCATCTCTTTCTTTGAGCTTTGCATGCACATTTTGCTGTACCATGGGAATAAGAGAGATTGTTTCATAACTGATCATAACTATGGAGAATATTTTAAATACTTCAGAAAGACCTTTTTCTAACCCAGACTATTTTCACTAAAACAGTTTCAGGAGTTTCTGCATGAACAGATATGCTAGCAGATTTGATCATGCTGTACTCTTTTCTGGATAATGACCCTTTCACCTAACTCCTCTTCGGGGAGAACAGGATATGTGAATGCCCAAAGGTCCAGTTAACTCAAGTTATAGATATTTCTTTGAATTGTACATACAATAAACTGGTATGAAATAGTATAGTTCTGAGGTTTTTATGTTCTGGGATATACCATTGAAAAGGAACAAGGGGACACCGGCCAGCTTTTGGAATCAAATGCAACATAGCTGCATTAACCAAAATGAGTCAGGCAGGTGTCTGAATAACAGAATTTGCTTTTGTGAGACATAAAGGAAATCACTGTAGCCATGTTGATTTATTGAACGAAAGGTGCCATTAAAAAGCATTGAGTTTTTTGTATTATTCTTACTGAACACTACTAGTTCTAGGCTTAGTCGAGATTTCTTTTCAGGAAATTGCTGGTCGTTCAGGAGCAGCCATACCTTTATTTCTGATAGATTTAAAGAGAAGTGTATATGGTCATCCTTTTGTTCCATAATTTCTATAAACGTTTAGAACTAGAAGGAATTCCTAGAGCTTGTTTCATTTCCTTGTTGCAGGCAGTTACATTTACTGACTTAAGGAGTTTTGTCTTTCAGTTGATTAGGCCTTTTTGAGTACCCACTGGCAAACTTTTTTGTTACTTAGAAACCTTTTTTTCCCTTATCAGTTCCCACCTGAAGGTTTAGGACTTGTTAAAACTGGTTAAACTACCAAGTAAAAAAACATCAGCAATTGCCAGAAGTATTTTTAAGGGTGCCGACATTGTGGAAGAAGTATCACTGGGTAATATATGTGGATATGCATAAACGGGAATATTCAGGTAAAATTAAAAGGTGACATGATCTGGATTACCAGAAAAATTAATTAAGCTAACAAGACATGTAAAACTAGATTAAACAAAATACTAGAAATTAATTCTATGAAGCATTCTTGCAGTGACAGAAGAGTTTTCACTATATGGTGAATTCAGTTATTCTGTATGGATTATCCTATGTATCTGAATGTCTGCATGTATTTTTACTCATGGATCTTTGCTAGTTTCCCGTTAAGTTGTTTTGTTGTTTATGTCAGTCTGGTCTGACTTGCACATAAATAAATTCATTTGAGTTTGTTTCCCTGTTTTCATGCCAGTCTTCATACAAATGCTTTCCTTCTAAAATAAGATGTGTTAACTGTGGGCTGGCAATAAGATAATAAAGGTGAGATGAAAGCCGGTTATTTATTCTGTTGGAAGCAGGGACCTGTGGCAGCTCTCTATTACTCTAGCCGTTGCTGACTTGTCTTTGTTTTCTACCTTCTGTCAGGGATCTATTCCTTGAACTTAAAACTTTGTTAAGGAGTTATAAATTTTGCCACTTCTGTGTAATCATTTTCTCTATCAATTGCTTCATGTCTGTTGATATCTTTCAGCCAGGTTTTTAGACTTGTCCCTTTTACATGAAAAATCTGGTTGACTTTAATGGAATTAAGTATTGTTCAGAATGTCCATGTGAGTTAATTGATTAATAAAACATTTCTAATTTACTGCAAGTGTAGCTCAAGTTTTATTTTTTTCTATGAATGTGATGGAACTTATTAAACAGATACAATAACATGTTACAGAAGAGAATTGACATCATTAGTCCTGCACAGCTACTAAATACAATGTCAGTATACTGATGAAAGCAAAACAAAAGCTGATTTTCTGAGGTTTGTATTGTTTAAATGTGCAGTGGAATCAAAGAAAATGCCCTCAAAGACACATTTTTCAAAAGCACTTCTCACCATCTTCAGCATTCATTTGAAGAATTACTCAGTTTTGTCATGCTCTGACTGCAAAAAAAAAAAAACAGTGTTTTTCTTCAGATAAAACCTTCAAATTAAAGCCTTTTATGTTTTATCAGCCAGCTGGCTGTGGTCAGGCCATTTGCTAATGTTACTACAGACTTATTTCTGCACTGTCCATTAAACCCTACTTAATGTTTGAGTCCAAGCACTGTAAAGCTTTCACTTGTGATTTTTATTGTGCTTTGTTTGGATACTGAGGAATTTGATTTCAACACCTGGTACATGCTGTTTTTTGTGCAGCAGCCCCACTAAGCTGTATTTGAACCTTCCAAGTCCCTCTACTTCTGCAGCCCACCATCAGGAATTCATGTTATTAGTGATTAAGAAGACAAAGCTAGGGAATTACGCAGGAAGTCTTTATATCTGATTTAATAACTTGGTGATGAAATGGCCTTGTCCTTCCTTTAAGGAAAAAAATAAAGAAATTACAGTGTTGGGGAATTAAAAATGTTTGGGCTGGTTTGGCTTTTGTTTGTTTTTTTAAAGGTTAGGGAGAGACTATTAGAGTATTATGAATTGCACCCTGTGTTATATCCAAGAGTTCAGGGGAGCTTTACCATAAGTTCCAATGTTACAAAATTTCTTTTAATTGATTTAAAATTTCTTTCAATTATCAGAGTACTTGTTTTAATAAGGGTAAGTCTACTAATACAAGGAAAGATATTAGGAAATGTTTGGACAATTTTTTAATTAAACATTTTATTCCATAAGCTTTATGTTAATTAGAAAACTTCTACCACAAAGCTACTTCTTGAAATCTTAATTGAAAACCAGTTTTTTGTTACTGCTGTGTTTTGATGCTCACAGACATTTAGTTTGTTAAATTTTTGTTGCAGGAGTGGCTGTTTACCTATGCCGTGTGATTCCCTGATGCATATGCTTATCTTTTGTCTATTAGCTTGTTATATTTACTGTCAGTTTTACCAAGAGTTTTAACTATAATCTTATACTAACCTATATGTGAAAGTAAGTAAGGGCTGCTAGATAACATCCAAACCAGGGTGTTACATTAGTCTTTAGTTCTTTGCCTCTTTCAGGGCTTTGCTGGGTGAGGTCTGGCTTAGGTCTCTGCAGTGAAGTAAGATGTTACTACCTTCTTCTAGCTACAATTACTTCTGATATGTTTTCACTGCAAATTACTGTAATTATTGTATCATTACCCTTTTAGTAGCATGGCTGAAGAAAATACTCACTCCATGCTGCAGTTACTCCAAATTGTGCTGGGTCTGTGTTCCCTTAGAGAGGAGCAGTAACTTCTGGCAGATGGGTGCAATAAGCAGCTGATGATAACATCTTAGACTGTGCCACAGCAGAGCTTATTTATTAAAACCCACAACAAAGAAGCATTATTTTTTATTGTGCTTCCACTAAAATTCAAAGTATTGTACTCTATCATCTTAATTTTGAACATCTAAGTTCTTGGGGCAATTGTGTGGGGTTTTTAAAATATCCTTGTACGTTGGCTTGGTTCCCTTGAATTTTTCAGTAATCCTTCTGCTACTATAGCTGTTGCTGTCACTGCCTAACTGTGATTTCTGTTGTTGCAGGAAAAAAAAAAATGCAAATGCAGATTCATAGTCTCAATGGGCTTCTAAGCAGAATTAAAATTTGTCTCAAAAAGGTGTTCTTGTTACTGTCTTTTTAAAATGTATGTACAGATCAAGTTTATATTTTAAAATGGACTGGCTTTTGAGAGAGAAGGCTGTAACTTGTGCTATCTGTGGCAGCTCATGAATGCGTTCAAACTTGCTAGCTGATGCCTTCAGGAAAGAAATACAGGAATTAATTACATTTCATCAGCATGCATCTGCGTCTGGATTTCAAAAATTTGGAAATAAACTGGACTATATACAATTCTAAAAAAAAAAAAAAATCTTCACTGTTCAATTTAAGATCTTGGCATGTTTTTTAAATGATTGGACAAAAATTCATTTTTTTTCCTGCTTGGGACAAAACCTCTGAAATAACATTAGATTTACAGTGTGGTGCTAGCACAGGAGATGCCATCTTTATAGCTAAATTTAAAACAGTGGTTTTGACTCTTTGTTGATAACTCCGAGTTCTCTGGTGCTTCTGTAAGTGTTGAACTGTTGATCCATTGGCTTCCTGAATCTCACTTCAGATGAGCAGTATGGCAGAGGCAAGCCCTGCTTTGAGCTGGAGGTTGGATGAGACCTCCAGAGGTTCTTTTCAGCTTGGATTTTTTTACAGTTTAATGACACATTTCACCTGCTACATAGTACATACTCCTGTAGAGGATTAGTATGCATTCAGAAGTAATTTGAAGTAATTCTGTAATTCTATGGTTTTGTTATTACAAACTAACTTCTGTCATTTCTGATGTTTAAGAGATTGTGCATTTGTTGAAGAACAGGAATTTGGCTTACATATATTTTTTAAAATAAGGTTAACTTTTGTAAAGTAGTATACGACCAATTGTCTTTTAAAAAGGAGTAGTAGCTGGTATTTTATCAGAACAATTAGTCATAAAAATTGGAAATTTATCTCTTTCACTCTGAAAAAAAACCCAACCCAAAGTTTTCTTAAGATGTATCCTTATCAAACCTGATTGCCTTGAAGGTGTTACCATTCCAGTAATACATTAAGGTGGAAGTGTGTGGCTGGGAAATATTTTAAAACCAGCATTCCTCCCTCTATTTCTGATTTCAAAATTAATTATTTGTGACTAATGTTAGCCTTTCTATAACAAGTCATGCTCTTGTTACATGAACAAAATAGCCAACTAACAGAATAATGGTTTACTAATATAAGAATCCATTTCTTTATAAATACCTGATTTTATTTGGAAAATTAATTAGTTGTACTGCATAACAGATGCAGAAAGATGAAGGTCTTATTAAGGATTGATAAGGAAAAAAGGGACTTGAATGACTGCTTTTAGTTCGATATTTTTCTTGTGTAGCTGCGTCAAATAACGGCAGTATTCTTTTGGAAGTGCTGTATAATTGTAAAAGACAGAAATCAAACCAAAGCAACTCCAAATGCTTTTCTCCTTGAAGCAAAACCAAATAAAAAGTGTAGGGAAGGATATTTTGAAAACTACTTTGAACACCATGTCTTAAACAACCTTGAAAACTGCTTTTTTTATAGCATTCTTGTGTAGTAACTTCCTGTTTTTAAATTTCTTAAAGCAAAATACGAAGTTTTTTAGATGATCACTTTTTTAGGAGGCCACCACTATTTATCGAGAAATCACTTTCATTGTATGGTTTGTCAGTATTTTGCAAAGAAAATTAAAACCAAAAAGTAAAATAATGTTTTTTGCCTTTCTAAATTTACCATGTAGGTTAAAAATCAGTAATCTCATAGGTAGTGTGTTTTACTCTAACTTATGTTGACAAGAATGCTTGCTTATAGAAACATCACTTCCACTTTATATAGTTTAAATGTTTAAGGATTTCATGCTATTACCCTTTCTGTAAGTTACAGTGGATGAGCTTCACCAGTTTTTCACTGTAAAGTGTGAGAACTGGTCCAAATGTTCTGTCTGGATGGGAAGCCACAGCTCTTAGAAGAAACCTTGCAAGGAAGAAGTTTGTTTGTAGTGTTTTCTGTATCAGAATACGTAAAGGACAACTGAAAGGTATTTTGCTTCTTGTAAACTTTAATGGGGGGATGGGAGGTGGAATTTAACATTAGAAATTCAGGTCTTGCTCCCCGTTCTTTCCTTAAAAGACATTATGGATGGCTGGAAAATTATGAGGTTTAAGGCTTCAAAGGTGGCAGGAGTGTATTTCCACTGAAGTGGAACACCACAGTAAGCTACTGACAGATGGAAGAGCCTCTTTCACACAATACTTAGTACAAATCTAGCTATGTTGGATTAAATCTAATTAACTGTTCCAATTTTCCTGTATAGAGACAGCCCGAGAAACACTTACGAGAGAGTACCTTTGGTAGTGACTCAGTGTCTCCTAAGTGGTGAATAAAAGGAAGTGTCTATTTCCATATTCCCTGAATGGGGGGAAAAAATAACTTTTATTTATGCATCATAACAACATCAAGAGAACAAAGCTGAATTGTTTCTCCTTTGAAGGTCACTTGTAACATTGATGCAACAATAAATATTGATGTTTACCTTTCACATTACTTACTTCTGCATCAAAATTAAGCACAAAATACTAGCAACACCACAGAAGAACTTCTCAAGACATTTGCCATTTTCCTCCAATGTCTGACCACTTTGTAAAAACATTACTGTTTCAGTTGAGGGACCAGTAATCCGATACACTTAATTAATTTTAAAATCAATACAGCAGAAATTGGGCTTTGTACCATCAGCAAAGATACCAGTTAGAACATCTGATCTGTCAGTTGATTTTTTGTAAAAAATAATTGTGTTTTTTTAAAGATATATTTTTAGCTTCAAATGTTTAACTTCATTATGAGATGAATGGTCTACAAATTGCCATTTACATTTATAATAAAAACATTTAAAAAGTATATTGCATGTGGTGTTTGTAGGGACCAGTTTGTACCCATTTAACAGTACTGACGTGTGTTCCACATAAATATCTCTGCCATAAAGGGATTTCCATGTAATCCTTGTTTCTACCTGGTATACACAGATGCCGATCCAGCAACATCTCCTGAAGTAAGAGGCACAACCTGAATGGACCATATTTGGCTCTATCACCTTCACCATGTTTCTACCAGTATTTAATAGCTCTGAAGTATATGTAACTTCACTTTTGGAACCTCCTCATCTTGGTGATTTTTTTTTTTTTTTTAACATAGTGAATGCTTTTTGTTTTTATATGTGCAGAGACTAGAGCCTGACAGCCAATCCATAAATGACCAGGAGTCTTTCAGTGGATGAATAGTCCATCTCTAATTTAAAAACCAACATTTTTGTGACTGGTACTGACTCTTGAAGGGTAAGGAACTAAACAAGTGTGACAATCACATCCAAATAAGACAAACACAATAGTGTAGTACAGCTCACTGTGGGGAAGAATTAATTTTTAAGATTGCAATACAGATTTGCATCTTTGCTTATTCTAGCCACTTCTGAGAGCTTGACCAGAGAATCAACAGTAAGATCATCTGCCTTCTGTCAGTCATCACTAGAGATTGGAGAGATTTTGTCACAAAATTGATTTCAAGATTTAAATTTGTAATTTCATATCAGCATTTGACATGCACCTCTGCTGTGCAGAGATGTAAACCATACTCATTTACTTTCCAGATGTCAGATGTTCCCTTCTTCAAAATATGCATGATACAGACTTTAGGATATTTTTATATTTTTACATAAAAAGGTATTTACAGAGACTGTATCTTTATCATCTGTTTGAAATTGTCTTATACTAGGGCAAAGCTAAATAGCATTACAGTAATTTGTTAGGCAGTGTCAGGCTGAGTGAATCTTGACTGAAGCTGCAAGAATGCAGATAGTAGCCACTGTGTATTTTCAGAAAAAAAAAAGTATTTCAGTATACAGAAGTACATGTAATACAGACACAATTTCAATACAATTTCTGAAAATTATGACAGAACACATTCAATATTTCTCAGTCTTCAGAAGATGAATGCTAAAATGCTAAATGCAATACCTGAAATCAAGCATCTATGGAATATACACAAGACAAGGTATATGTTTGGAATCACAGAACACTAAATGGAAAAGAATACATTTTTAGAGATACTTAAAAATATGCAATAACTTGGATGCAAATGAGTGTATCTCATCTGTAAGAAACTCAGTCCTCTGCTTCAAATTGGGCAAAGTGAGGACTTAATCTACCAGATGAGTATCATAGCTGTTGGATTTCTTTTTTTTTTTTAGCTCTGAGCAGGACAGAGCTCTTGCTTGCTCTTAAGCATGTTTGTGAAGTGTCCTTGCTGATCAAGACATCTGGATGTGTCCCACCATTTGTATTATTCTTGAAAAGAAGCCCAGGCCTGTGACAGGGGAGAAGGAGATCCTGCATGATACAGTGATTTTTTTTTCCTGGGGGGGGGTGGGGTGGGAAGAGGGGAAGTCTAGAACTACAGAGAGTAATGCCTCCCCCCACCCTTATGCTTTTTAAATAAGCAGATTCCAGCAATCCAATAGTTTGAGAAGTGTGACTTGACTGACATGCCTAATGGACAGTGCAAGAGGGGTTTGGTCATTTTGCATGAGATTATTCAGGACTTCTTGCTGTGCTGGCTTCTCAACTCTGCAACTCTGCTCCTGGTCGCTGTGTGCTGAACTTGAGCTCTCCAGTGCTCTGTGTATCACACCGACCTCCAGTGGGCAGCAAGGTGTCTAAAACAGGCTCCCAGTCTTTACCTGTAATTCCCTGGGCATCGCTATGTATGTGATAGAGTTCTGCAACACAAATTTTATTGACTCTATATATTGTCTGTTTACATGCAGTAAAGCTACTGAAGCCAGAAGGCACTGCTTAGGTACACTTGCCACTGCCCACCCTTTTTGCACACTGGTTGTGTCTGGGATTTCTGGGTATTGCACAACGCAGTCAGTGTCAGTCTGGTGTCCAGCATTGCAGTCAAATGTTTCAGGTTCCCAAATTTTGCATGTATCACCTTTCTGGGTGCAGAAAGAGTAGGTGTTTGGGGAGGGTATTTCCAATCTAAAATGAGAACTGCAGTGCCTAAGACCCACTGTGGGTTCAGCCTGTCACAGACATGTCAGTGCTGAAGTCAAAAACATTCTGAAAACAATATAACAAATATTCCTCAGTTTGCAGAAAGCATCATCATTAGTTAAGTGTATCTTTCCATGTAGTCTCTAAACTATTTAACTCATTCCAAGGCAGAGCACTTTACATCACAGACCTTTTGTGGTATATATTATTACAATCGGGTAGCACAGTGAATATGTACACATCATAAATATTTTGTATCCCTTTAATCCCCTGTTAAAAGTTCACTAATTGCTTAATCTGCTCAGTCTGTAATGACTGCCTCCTTTGTAGCATTTTTGTATTTTCAGTCTCCCTAGGGAAGGCAGGTGCTGCTGGTACTAAGTATTTCTGTCCACAAGAAATCATGCCAGAAACCCTCTTTATGAAAGTAGTATCTGGAATTGGGGGGTGAGGATTCACATTTAGTGGTGGAAGAAAACCTGGTCTTGTCTGAGCAATATGATCCAACAATAAGGCTCCTGAACCCTGTCTTTCTAAAAAAGCTTGATTTCTCTTGGTCAGAGTAATAGGAGGCATGTTCTCCAGTACTTCTCTAGAACTTGATAACAAAGAGTGAGATGGAGAGAAAATCTTTTTCTTTCCTATGACTGGCTTGCTGTCTTCAGCAGCAGCAGGATTTAGACTAGTAGTTAACTGAGAATCAGAGCTGTAGTGATTTGCTCCTAAATTTCTTTTCTGGATAATACTGCAGAGGTTTGAAATAAAGCTGTTTTGTCCTGAAACGGCATCCTTACCTGTAGGAATCCCACTGGGATTATGTTTCTCTCCAACACAAGGAGTCTGAGATTTTATATCATCATATGATGATTTCCCTGATGCAGTTTGAGCGAAGGTTTTAAATAAAGGAGCAGTGTCTTTTATGTCAATACTTTGGTGCCTGGTGATGAATCTTTTCGAATAGTCAAGGCCATTGGTTTTAAAACAGAACTCTTCTTCTGGAGTAATATCCTGAAGTTCTTGTAAAGAGGTAATTTTATTCTGGTGAAATAGGGATGGGGAGCTCTTTATCCAAGGCTCAGACCGTAGCTGCTGCACTTGTCCCAGCCTGGACCCTACTTTTGTTGAGCTGGATTTTCTTGACAGTGAAACTGTTTGAGATGAGTTGTCCACGCATCGTGGATGATCCAGCTCTTTAAAGCTGAATAGTGCTTTTTTAGATTCATTCAAACTTGAAAGTGGGAGTGGAGACGTAGTCAGTTCTATTTCCGATGGGGAAGTGCAAGCAGTTGGGGAATGGCATTCCTCAAGGTCTGTAGGAGGCACGTTTAAGTACTGCTTAGTTTTCTGCCTTCCCGATGGGGACTTGTCCATTGTGATGATGATCACTTCCTTTCCTCGCGCCCTGCAGGCATTGAGAAGAATTTCCAGGGTCTCTTTGTCCTCAGCATTTATTGCATACACAAGTGCAGAGCAATTGGAGTGATCTTGTAGGCTTGGGTCAGCTCCACTTTTCAATAGCAGAGATACCACTTCAGGGCCTGCTTTTTCCAAACAAGCATGCATCAAGGCTGTCTTTCCAGATTTGTCCTGTATGTTTGGATCAGCCTTGTTGTCCAGTAGGTATTTAACCATCCTTGCCTTGCTGACACTCTGGGAGTCTGCATGTTTTGTCCTACAAGCAATCATTAAAGGAGTTTCACCTCTGTCATTGCTCTCATTGATGTAGGCACCACCCTCTAGGAGCAGTCTGGTGAGGCGAAGGCGGCTTTGATAGACAGCTCTTATCAGGAAATTCCCCTCCACTGGCAGCTCCACCATTTCTGTCATTGCACTGGTCTCACACCTTCCTACTGGCTGGAAAGAACACCTGCTTTTCGGAGAATACAAAGATGCTCCCCAGAAAAAAAGAAAATAGAAAACAACAACAACAACAAAAAGATTTAATTGTACGAATTGCTCCTGTAAATATGTAAACACCCACATACTTTGTGAAAAAGAGTATGAAAATAAGGGGGAGAAGGTATTCCCACCTCCTAGACTTCAATAAATACAGTCAAAACTTAAAGTAATATTTGGATATAACATTTATAGATGCTTAAAGCATGCCTGTCATTTTTTCTTCTGAGTGTTCTCCCTTTCTTATACTCTATCAAATAAACTGCAAAAAAAGTTTCATTCTCCACAGTCTGATGGCTTTGTATTGACTACACAAAAGTGGCTGTGCTACAGTTGTACCACTCCTGATTTTCATCAGTGCAAGAAACAAGAACTGAATGATTCCTGCAGCATTTTTTTGACTGATGTGAGACAGAATATGTGAATGTAACACTTCCTCATGACAACGCTAAAGAAAGTTTGTGGGTCTTAAGCAAATGTAATAAAATATTTTTTATCAGAGAAGAAACTGTTAAACAGCTGGAAAATAAACATGATTGTATTTTATAAAAGTAATTACATTTGTGGAAGTACACTACCTTTCTTATGATCCGTTGAAAACATACTAGTCTGAGTGAAACAGTGTGAATGAAGTGATGCACAACTTGTCCCACTCACCGTGGGCATCAGTGGGCTGAGAAGAGTCCTGTACCTGAGCAGACAGTATCAGATCTACAACAAAATAAACATTTGATAGCATCAAAGAAAATTTGGAGGTTTCATAACATAAAAATTAGTATCTTAATGTGGTATAAATAACAAAAGGTCTTGTATGAATGTATGCCTGCATACATACAACTAATACAATTGAATTACTTTTATTTATGTCTTTTATGTGCTTGCTTACCCATGTGTAGGGAAAATCTTTAGAGAAAAAAAAAATCAATATTTAACAGTTGGCAGAGCAATATAATTTGAAGACAAGATTAGACATGAATATGAAAATTACATTTGTTTATCTACAGTATATTTCCAGTGAAATAAAAATGTTTAATTAGTTCAACAGCAAAGGAAATTAACAGAGACTTATTTTTATTTACCATTGAAAGTACTGGTAATGTTCTGGTGAATAACTGAGGAGCAGTAATTTCATCCTGGTTTTCTTTAATATTGGAGTTTTGAGTCCCAAAATCAAAGGGTGATATCAATGTAGTTTGTTCCTAAAGTCCAACAAACAAACAAAAAAGTCAGTTGAAATACACATGACATTTTTATCACAGATATCCACCCCCCCTGTTTATTTCATTCCATAGCATCATGCTCTGCAGCTACAGCTGCTTTTGCTAAGCAGTGACGTTCAATGGCTTATCAATCACAAGGAGAACAGTTAGCTCAGGGGCCTCATACTTGCAACATGTTAATTAAGTATTTAACTATTAATATAGTTGTTGTTTGGTGACATGGTGTAATAATGGTCACATGTAGGATTTGTTTGGGTAAGAGAACTTACAATACTTGCTATGTCAGGAAAAAAAAAAAAAAAAAAACAAGACGAGTCAAACACGTGAGATGAACCCGTTCGCCTTTGGTAGCATTTATTTCTGGGCACATGGCCCTGACAAAGACTGTTCATTGCACATGTATGACTGCAGTCCTGTTCTGAGAAATTAAAGAGGATAAAAGGGAGCCAGAACTTCTCTGTCCATCCTCATGAGAGTAAACATTCCACTTCTGGTCACTGCTGAGAACAGGAGCACCACTGTGGTACTATCATCTTTCGACTGGTTGGTTTTTTTCCCCTCCGTCTTGATAAAACATTTTTAAAAATTGTGTTAAAATTACTTTAATTACATTATACTGAAAGTACATGACTCAGCAGTGTCTATCTATCTCAGCTTTCACTGATGTGCAAATCATTATTACAAAATGCACATTTTTGACAAGTAATATATTCAAGATTATTATCAAGCCTTTTATAAAAGTAACCAGTTAATTTGTGCATTTAGGTTTCCAGAAACAAACTAAAGAGGAATAACTTTTAGTTAGCACAGATGCTGGAGTCCTGATTGTGTTCTCCCTTGGTTTTGACCTACCTGAAGTCATCGGTGATTTTACATTTCTTTCGTATTTATCTAAAGCTCTTCTGATACTTAACTGCTTGCTTTACTGAAGTGGTGTCATATAGCACTTCTTACACAAGACTTTTCATCTGTAGAAATACTTTTTATGGCCAAAAGAACATTAAGTTTTAAATAGGCACAGAGAGAGAATAATGCTACTTGAAGTCATGCGGCAGGTCAATGCTAAAAATCAGATTGTTTTTCCTGACGTTCGGTCTATTGCCTCCAATTGCTTAAACTCACTGTCTCCATAGACTTTACCAGGACTGCTAATGCGAGTGAGAGCAGAGGAAGGCTAGTCTAAGCCAACAGTTAAAGTTTGAAAGTTTGGAGTAGATTGTGTTGCCAGGATGTCATATGAACCTTGTCTGAAGAAAGCCCAAGATGTTTTTGTGCAGGCAAGTGAGCTGTTCCAGTGTGTCTGGGATCTCACCAGGCCCTGTAGGTACTACTAATTAATTTAATTTCAGACACCCAACTAATTATATACACAGGCTGGGACTGTCAGGTCAGCAAAGCAGGCTGGCCAGTCCCTGAAAGAAGGAGCACAGGCTGCTAAAATCCATCCATGTTATTTATAGGTTGACCTACGCTTTGCATTGCAGAGGAAGAGAGGGCAGCGTGGGGAAATAAATATAAAATGGGGAATAAAAATCCACAAATAGTTCAGTTTCAGATACTATGTATCATTAAAAGGAAGTGTTACAAATTTACAACTGGAACAATATAATGCAGAATACATTCCTGAATGCTGGATGAAGATAACCATGATTCCATCTGGAGAATCTATTAACTACAGGAGAACACACTTGGGCCTGCATCATCCTAAAATTGCCATTGTGGGAACAAAGTGCAGCTGGACATTTGTAAGACCCACACTGACAGTGGCTCGGTGGAAATACATGTGCCACATCTGGACTGGGTACAACCCGCTCCAAAAAAACCACAGCTAGTTATTTTGAAGTGAATGACCACAGTTCAAGCAGATTCCCTAAAAGAGTAATTTATGTGAAAATTCATCACCAACTGATGCTGAACAGATTGGTATTCTGAAACATTCCTAAACCTAATCAACTGCGATGTCAGAAACACTACATGTGTTACTGAGATGTCAGGACTGACACAGCTGCTTTTCAACTGTAGAAGTAAACTCGTGCCAAGGTAACAGTTTAAAGAATGAGGAACTATGCAACCTAGTGTATGACATTCAATCATGAATTGGTCTTTCAGATCATCCACAAATTTCTGGTGTTCTTCTACAATAATATTCCTGGAACACTCTTTCTGTCTAGGAAGAGCTTAATTATATTTTCAAAAAGTAGTATTATCCTGGAAAGTGCTCTGAGATGAAGTAGCACAAAGCACCTCATAGTTTGAAAGTCAATTTTTGAAGTTGATGATTTGTTTCCAAGAAGTAGGTAGCCGCCACTGGGGATTTGTGCTGGGTCTTATCCTGAGGTCAGGCTGGCAAATGTTAGAGTAATAACCCAGAGTCCTATTCTGATACAGGTCCTGCTGCCATCATAGTGGGAAAAAACACTAAAACTTAAAAGTTTTAGCACTTCTTCCTCCAACCCTTGCTTCTTGATTTGTAAACAGCATTTAATTACCAGGAAAAACTCTCACAGTATTTTGTTACATCTAACAGCATAAATAATCACAAAATTTAGGAGGGAAGAAGCTCACTGATGTTCTAATGTATAAACAAATGTAAACATAACTAACATTTTCACGAAGTAAAGGAGTGCTATGAATAAATGTTCTTGCAAGGTATTCCTTGTTTTTTCAGTGTGAAAGCCAAGTTTTTTGCCCTCTGCGCCTCAGCACTCCGAGTCACACAAACAAGCTTTCACAGTAGTGTTTCAAGAGTCTAGAATCATTCCAGTAAAATTAAGTCATCGATTCTCATCTCTCAGAAGAGATGTGCTTACACACTTAGGAGCATAAGCTTTTAAATATTTTTGTGATTCTTTATATCCACATTAACCCTGTAAATTCTGTCAGTGTGACTAGAACTCTGATTTCCTACACTGTTGTAAACACACTGAAATTTATCACATATGAGAGTACTTTTGATTAGAAGATTACTATTCTAACACAGCCAAAACTACACCACCACTGCTACACCACACCCCCCCACACACCCACACACCCCCCCCCCCCCCCCGCCAAAGTTGACAGAATCAAGCCCAGTTTTGGAAACCTAGCCTGTAAAGCTCAACTTTTCATAATGAAGCACCTGTCTCTTCAGCCTTGCTGTTTTGCAAGGTTAATTGCAGAATGTTTCTCAGCCGTCTTCTCACTTAGAATCTCCTGTGTTCGTACTTCTAAAGAAAGTTTGGGGAGGTCCACCCTGCTCATTAAATTCCCTTTTCTTGTGACAGCATTTATTAGCTTTCCAAGTAGTCTCTCTCATTTGGAGGTGTTTCCTATTCCTGCCTAATTACCACCAGAGAGTAATTGGAGCAAGGCGGAGAGCACTAGGAGAGAAAAGTTTTCACTGGGGCTCTACATTGTCAATGTTGTTCCTCACACCTGTTTCACAGCATCCTGACTTGTAACCTAATGGTTCTAAAGTTTTTCCTGAGGGAGATCTGAAAAAAAAAAAAAAAAAACAAAACAAAACCAAAAAGCAAAAAACAAAACAAAACAAAAAAAAAGACAGGCAACTTTTCTACAAAGAATTTACAAAGAACACACATGAAAAATATAAACGCAGGCTAGAAGAGTAAGTATGTTAAAGGCTTTTCCCTTCAAAATTCACCAAGAAGGGAGGGACTGGTGTCTGAACTGAGAGGAGCCTGAGGGAACCGCTTTGCGGTGGGTACATCCCACGTACAGACCTTCCGTCACCGACCTGAACCCTTCCTCAGCATTCTGGCCACCCTAACCTGCTATTAAAAAAAAAAAAAAAAGTTTAAAAAATCCGTGCCGTCTCCTTCGTGTGGAGAAAGGCAGAGGCCAGGCGACCCCGCACCGGGCAGAGGTGTCGGGGGGAGGGCGAGGAGGGGAGCGTTTTTACCTGTCGCCGTCGGCAGCGCCTGCTCCTCCCGCTTGACGGCCCGCCGGGCGGGCAGGGACGCGCCCGCAGCTCCCCGGGCCAGCCCGCACGGCTCCCCGCGCCGACACCGCAGGCAGCGCGCCCGAGCCCGGCCGGTGCCGCCCGCTTACCGGCAACGGCCCCGGCCGCTCCGCCCGGGAGGCACCGCAGCGCGCGCCCTGAGGGAGGCGGCGGGGAGAAGCGGGCTCCGCGGCAGCCGCCGTCCCGCCCCGAGCGGCGCTGAGGGGAGGCGCGGGGCGGCCGCCGCCCTCAGCTCACCTGCGGGGCGGGGAGGGGCCTCCCCGCCCGGGGCGGAGCGGGCAGCGCCCCCCAGCGCCCGCGGCCGGCGGGAGCGGGGCCGGGCGGCGGCCGCTCCCCCTCACAGCGCCCTCACAGCCCCCCCCCCCCCCCCCCCCGCTCACACACCGGCCTTAAACCCCTCACAGCCATCCCCCCGCCCCACACGCACCCCCTTCAACCTCGCACCCCCTCAAGCCCGCTCCCACACACCCCTCACACTATCCCCACGGCCCCCTCGCGCATACTCCTATACCCCTTCTCGCACCCCCCGAAATCCATGCTTACACCCGCACCTCCTCACACCTATACACCCCCGTATTTACACACCCTTATGCCCACCCACCACCCTCACACCTCTGCACTGCCGCACGTACCCTTACACATCCTCACACCCACACCCCATCATCTCCGTTCCCCCCCGACCTCCCCTACCCCTACACATCCCCACGCACACACACTCCTCCCTCTCGCATCCCCCTCCCACAGCACCTCCAGTCATTTCCTTCCTGGCGAAGAGCGTGGCCATCACCCCTCATGACAGAGATAACACTAAGATGTGTTCGGCTGTACTTACTGGTTTTCTTTTCGTGTAGTGAACAGTACGAACAACCTAAGACCGTTCTTCACCACCTCACCGATTCCTACAGCCCAGGGGCATGAATTTAATCTCATTAATAGGAATTAGAGAAAGGTGAGCCCAAAGAGATTCTTCCTTCAATTGTACTCAAGTTTTAGTCTGTAATAGTCCCCAGATGCTTCGGACATCAAAACAGACAAAAGGAAAAAAAAGGGGTTGGGTCCTATCTGCTTGTAGGAGGACTAAGACGTCCCAGTTCTCTCACAATGCTTCTTCATTACTAAACAATACTAAATCAATTCAGCTGGTTAATTTTTTTTTGTTACGAGGGTTTTTTTCTTCAGCAGAAGTACTCATGGACCCTGTTGTAGATGAAGGCCCCCATGTCACTGTGGGATTACCTGATCTCATCGATTGTCCTCTGCTGCTTGTTCTCTGACAGAAGCAATATGGTCAAATTTCCTGCCAGGAAAGACATTTTCTTCTTTCTTGCTATTTGACATTGCCCACCACCAGACAAATCTGACAGCAAGTCGCAGTTATTGGGATTTTCTTGCGTGGCAGGCACATGAAAAGTTTATCTGCAAAAACCGCTTTAATACAACATCAGTTTATACAGACTTTTTTCCTGAGAAGTAGGTTGCATTATGTTTTCCAGAGTGGCTTGGAATCAGCTTCAGGACCTAACAAGCTTCAACAAGAAAAATTTATTACAACAAAGACAAAGTGTTGGTTCTTTACCATGAAATTGGAAAAAAATTGCAAAATAAAAAATTCCTGTCAAATACTAAAATCAATCTCTTCTCACAGCTAGCTGTCACATAGTATTTCTCCAGGATTATCTCCTTGGGACCCATTTTCCTAAACTCATTGTCTCATAAGACTTCTGTTCCTACTCAGGCCTTTCAGTTTGCTGCTAAAATTCTATGAAATTTTGAAGCATGGTGAAAGAACCTTCTTTATTTTCATGTAAGTTTAAGACACCTTCACAGAATCACGGAACAGTTGAGGTTGGAAGTGACCTCTGGAGATCATCTGTTTTAACCCTCCCTGATCAACCAGGGTCACCTAGAGCAACTTGCCCAGGACCATGTCCACTTTTTTAATGTCTCCAAGGATGGAGTCTCCACCGCCTCTGTGGGCAATCTGCGCCAGTGCTTGGTCACCCTCCCAGTGAAAAACTGTTTCCTCACGCACGGAGGGAATCTCTTATTTCAGTTTGTGTCCATTGCCTCTTGTTCTGTTGTGGAGCACTACCAGAAGGAGCCTGGCTCTGTCTTCTTTGCATCCTCCTTTCAGATACTTGTATACATTGATAAGATCCCCCTGAGCCTTTTCTTCTCCTGGCTAATCAGTCCCAGCTCTCTCAGCCTCTCCTCATAGGAGAGGAGCTCCAATCCCTTAATCATCCTTGTGGCCCTTTGCTGGAGTGTCTCCAGTATGTCCATGTCTCTCTTGTACTGGGTAGCCCAGGACTGGACACAGGACTCCAGATCTGGCCTCACCTCTGCTGAGCAGAAGAGAAAGGGTCACCTCCCTCAACTTGCTGACAGTACTTTGCCCAATGCAGCCCAGGCTATTTTTAGCCTTCTTTATGGCAAGGTCACATTGCTGTCTCATGTTTATCTTGCTATCCACCAAGACACACAGGTCCTTTTCCATAAAGTTGCTTTCCAACTGGGTGGCCCCAGCACGTCCTGACACCTGGGGTTGTTCTTTCTCAGGTGCAGGACTTGGCACTTCCTGCCTGCTGAACTGTTGAGGTTCCCATCAGCCCATTCTCCAGCTTGTCCAGGTCCCTCTGGATGGCTCCAAGACCCTCCAATGTGTCAGCCAGTCCTTCCAGTTTTGGTATCATCCCCTAGGGAACATTGCTCATTACTGACCTCCAACTAGACTTCGTGCCAACGATCACCATTCTCTAGGCCCGGTTGTTCAGCCAGTTTTCAACCCACCTTTCTGTCTGCTTATCCAGCCCATAAGTCAGCATCTCTATGAGGATCTTCTGGGAGACAGTGTCAAAGGCCCTACTGAAGTCCAGGTAGACGATATTCACTGCTCTCTCCTCATCTAACGGTCCAGTCATTTCATCATAGAAAGTCATCAGGTTGCTCAAGCGTGACTTCCCCTTGGTGAAGACAAGCCAACTACTTCAAATCACCTCACTGTGCTACAGTCTTGTTTATCTGCTTGGCACCTCTCATGATGTTTCTGGAGTATCCTTAAGCACACCTGCAAATGACAGGACTTCCTGCTGCTATCCCTGATATTCCAAGAATATTTTCTTGAAACTCTGATACCCACAAAAGCATGGTGTAGCAGTTCTACACAACATTTTTCAGACATTTTGACTGCCTTTTGTCATGCTAAATTTTTGTGGTGGCATTGCATGAACAATACAATAGATGTGGGTCCTGCAGAAACTGTTTTGTCTCCCTCACAGACACTGTTAATTGCGGTGGCTGTAGTGCTGTTATTGTGCAAGGTCCTGTACTCATCTATTTAAAAAGGCACCTGCTACCTCAAAGATGTTGTCTTGGTATATAATAAAAGACAACAGGTCAATGCAGCAAACAAATAGGGGAGGTGAGGGCAAAGTGACAGCGAGACAATCCATCATGCTCAGTATAATAAGTAGCAGCCACAGGGCACCAGCATCCTTGATGCTGTGAAGGGCTTTTTTAGGCATCACAGGAGAGAGAAGTTTCCAGGAGGAATGTGAAGGAGATTTGTGCCATTCTACTTTTTAAAAGTGCATGACAGGATCAGTTAGATACCGGCATGACTAAGAGCTGGATGAATTGTATGAATAAGCCACTAAGACAAACAACATCCCAAGGGCAGGTTCTTCAGTTACTCTTTAACCTTGTCTTTCAAAAACTAAGTTGGGAGAATGTCCGCAGACTTTTTTTTCTGCGGCATGATTCTAATTATCTTTGTTTTCTTTTACTCTCTGCACCTCACCCACATTGTTAATACTCAGTCTTTGCCAAACAGCCTCAGAAAGGCATGTATATTGAACACCCACTCTTCAGGAAGGTTACCGCTCCTCTCAGACCTGTTGGTGTCTGAATTATATAAGATACGGAGGCGGTGTACACTTGTGTATGGTTCATCAATTCTGCTGCTGGAGCATCTTCACTTCTGCGGTTTGTGCAGCTCTCATGTACACTTTCTTATTCCGCCTTCCGTCCTTGCCTGTATTGTACTGTTGTACTTATGATAGCCAATATAAATCTTTTACCCAAAAAAAAAAAAAATTTGTATCGCACTAGTTCTTAGAAGAGCACTTTTAGGAAGATAATTAGATTTTTTTATAAATGTCACAATATCCTCCCTTTTGGCTACTTTTAATTGGATATAAAAACAACTGTTGATATCAAGAAGTTAATTTTTATGTTAAGAGTGGAGGAGCATGGAAAAACAGAGTAGAGGACTACAGCAATGCAGTGCAAAGTTTATTCTAAAATACAGATGTTTGCATATGCACATAGCATATTAGTTTTTCATACTTCTTTGTACGCCTCTCAGGATCTCTATCAACCCAACTGTCTCTTATATTTCACTGCTAGTTGGGCTAGCTAGATAACTAACAGGGGAAAGTTTTGTGGTCACATAGTATTAATATTCTTTTAAATATTTATTATTGTTTTTTTAAAAATGTTCCACTGCACTGATTCTTGATAAACTGTTGTCCAAATACAAGCAGGCAGACAGTAAAACTAAAGAAATGTACTTATTTTTCTGGTAGCCAGCTTAACAAGCTTCTGGAATCCCAGAGCTGGACTGCAGACCTCGAACGCAGGAACCTTGTTTTGGGAAGGCAGTTTCAGAGCTTAAACCCCAGGCTTCACAGATGGGACCCTGGGCACACCTGAGAGCACTCCCTCTCCTCGTGCTGATGGGGTTTCCAAATGCTACTGACCACAGCCGAGGGCTTTCCTGGGTCCTTGGGCATCTGGGGAATCAACTAAGCTAGCTGCCTCATTTTGTTCATGGAAGAAAAAGAATGGAAATATTTTGATTTGATCTGAAACAAAACTGGTTTTGGATTTTACTTTCCATGGAAAACGGTAAACACTGGTTGTCATGTCTGTTTGGTAGGAACCATGACTGTTTATTTATATGTTCATGCATTAGGGTGTAAATTATTGAACATGGAATAATCATAGAACCACCACAGAATCACAGACAGGTTTGGGTTGGAAGGGACCTTAAAGCCCATCCAGTCCCACCCCCCTGCCCCGGGCAGGGCCCCCTTC